TTCACCATTGCGACCCCCATCTCGCATGTCCAACCCATGGGAAGACATTCAAGATCAGGCTGTCGTGACCCCGCAGTCTGATATCCGCCCCGTTACTCCTCCCGGACAGGAAGACGAGGCAGCACAAGCCTCAACAGTCCTCCTGCAGTTCCCTCCTGCACCTGGTCTTGAAGAAGCAACGGGGGCCAATGGAAACGCTGGTACCGCACGACGTGCTTCAACCCCCACGCTTTTAGATCAAGCCAGCCACCCTATTCACAGTGAGGCTCCCCTTGAAACACCATCGCGGCGCACTTTGCGCAGCTCTATCTCTCGTTTCTCCCCTGGGCCTCTGCTTCCCACACTTTCCGGTGGCTTCACTGCAATAGTCGCCGATTCTATCCGGCGTGGCGATGGTAGCCCTCTCAAGGATCGGACAAGGCGGAGATTGGGACGTCGGCGTCAACTCGACGGCGCTTTTGCAGATCCATCCCTCGAGGGAAATAGTGATGCGGCGCTTTCACTTGCAACTGCTCGACTCCAGTCCGCCACCAACCTAGCGGACAGATCCGCGGAAGCTGGCCGTTCGACCCCAGCTCTTGCGACAGAAATAAACACCGTACCAACACAACCCACCAACGAAAATTCGACCCGTCTTCGCAGCTTGAGTGACTCGTGGAGTGGTGGGCTTGCGTGGCTGGGTGGTGCTCTCCGCAAACCCCAGAACACCAAAACAGCCGACAATGTTGCTGTCACTGGAACGCCAACACCAGATAATGAGACACGGCTTGAGCGAAGCTACAACACCGGTGATTCCGACACCGAGACGGAAGCTCGGCGATAATCAACCCGACTCACTGGCTCCGATGCATATACACCTCCCCTCTTTCCTCTATTACCCCCCTTGGCGCTTTTTTTCTGGTAGATTTCTACCGGCATATTCTTGTAATTGGCATTGCATTCTGCGAGTATATGTTTAAGAATTTATTAATGTAACTATCATTTCTTTCTTTTCACATTGTATACTCCACCCACATAAGGACCAGCTTTATTCCACCAATCTTACCTTTAGCCTCTTATCCGTTCAATTTATCCATAGTGATCGCATCATTCTTCACCCCCTGGATGAAAGGGGCAGCCCAATAGGTCAGAAAACCCGGGAGCACGTACCATCACCTCAGGAGGTGCAGGCAGCTACCCCGGATGTCTTGGTTGTCTTCGGTTATCCTCCACTTTTCAAGTCAATTTACCCGGACAGCCGACAGCCCTTTCCCCTCAAACCCCAGAACGCCATGCCAATGTGGCGGCGGGGGATGCTCCGTCTCCTGATAGTGCTAGCGCAGTTCAAACAACGCCAAGCAGGCCACTACTGCAGCCGTTGAGACTAGCTCGATCTGTTTGAAGGTTACCAGTACTGAACACGGCCTCATTTCCGCTGTAAGATGGTGAGCTAACTGCCTTTTGCACATGCAATGGGACTAGTCTAACTCTGAATCGCCTGTCTCCACAGTGCAGGGGAGTCAATTGCGGGCCTGCATGAACTTATATGAAGAGCTTCCCCAGGAATCTCTTTTTCTTCATTCCAATCCGTTTGGTTGTCTTCTCGTCAAAATGGTGGCCAATCTGCTTTCCAATGGGCTGCTGCTCATGCAGCTCTTTGCTGCCCTAGCTTTGGGAAAGCCGAGCTCCAGCCCTCTCTACAAGGATCCCAATGCTCCAGTGGAAAAGAGAGTAAAGGACTTGCTGAGCCGGATGACTATTGAGGACAAGAGGTCCCAGTTGACTCAGGGTATGGTTTTGTATTAGTCGCCATAGGGAAGTGTTTTAATTGCTCATTCATTCTTGTGCAGGTGATATGGGGAAATGGATGAACGAAACCACAGGAGCATTCAACTACACCGGCCTGGTAGAGAACATGGCCCAGCGCTCAGGCATGTTCTATGGTATGAAGTCCTCTGTTTAGCTGTTGGATCCTTTTCCATCAGTCCACAGAAACACAAATACTGATAGTTTGCAGTCGGATACCCTGTTCCTTGGGATTGGATCTCTGAAAACGTCAAGAGAGCCCAGGACTACCTCCTCCACAACACCACTCTGGGAATTCCTGCGATTGTTCAGTCTGAGGGTATGTGCTCAATGGATACAGTCTCTATCTATATTGGATCCCGAGCTCATGACATTTCTTGCACTAGGTATCCACGGGTTTTTGATTGGTAATGCCACCATCTTCAACTCGCCCATTGCATATGGATCCTCGTGGAACACAGACGTAAGTGGCTATTATACCTGCACTGTCATACATACTGTTCTTGATGTCTAACACGGTATTGTGCAGCTTATCGAAAAAATGGCGGAAATCGTGGCACAAGAAGCCTTAGCACTTGGTGTTAATCAGCTATTCGCCCCTGTTGTTGATCTCGCTCGTGAGCCTCGATATGGTCGGGTGAGTTCATCTATATGTTAATATACCCAGCGCAACGAAGCTAACAATCGAGACAAAAGGTCGAAGAAACCTTCTCCGAAGATGCTTTCCTCTCCGGCGAAATCGGTTATCACTACGTCAAGGGAGTGCAGGGCAAGAATGTGTCTGCTATGGTCAAGCACTTTGCGGGATTCAGCGCCCCCGAGCAGGGACTCAATACTGGCCCAGTTCACGGTGGTGAAAGAGAGTTGCGCACAACGTATGTCGGCCCCAAGTGTAAAGCCTGAACAGTTGACTAACCATTGCATAGTTGGTTGCCTCCTTTCAAGCGAGCTATCATCGATGCCGGTGCTTGGTCCATCATGGCTGCGTACCACTCGTAAGTTTAGCCTGGTCCGATTTGCTTTAGATCGCCATTATAACATCTGTTCCTAGATATGACGGAATTCCCGCAGTCTCTGACTACCACACTCTCACCGAGATCCTGAGGGAAGAATGGGGATACGAATATTTCGTCATGACCGATGCTGGAGGAAGCGACAGACTGTGCTCTTACTTCAAGCTCTGCGAGAGCGATCCCATTGACATGGAAGCGGTTACCACGCAGCTGCTGAATGCTGGTACCGACATTGAAATGGGAGGCGGTTCATTGTGAGCTCTATTGAAATCCGCACGATGCAGCTACAGACACTGACTACCGAATAGCAACTTCCAGAAAATTCCCGAGCTTGTCAAGTCCAGCAAACTTGATATTAAGGTGGTCGACACTGCTGTCTCTAGGTTGCTCCGCGTCAAGTTCGAAATGGGTCTCTTTGAGAATCCGTACCCTGCTGCGCCTCAGAACGAATGGCACAAGCTCATCAACAGCCCCGAGGCTGTGAAGATTGCGAGAGACTTGGATAAGGAGTCTATCATTCTGCTTGAGAACCATGATGATATTCTGCCTCTGAAGAAGTCGAGTAACATTGCGGTCATCGGGCCTATGGCTCATGGTTACATGAACGTAAGTCAACCTTTTCATTTCGCTTGTTAGACGGGGATATTAACAACACTTATAGTACGGTGACTACGTTGTCTACAAGAGTCAGTACCGGGGTGTCACTCCCCTGGATGGTATCAAGGCTGCAGTTGGGGACAATGCCCAAGTCAACTATGCCCAGGGATGCGAGCGCTGGAGCAACGACCAGTCCGGCTTCGATGAGGCAGTCGAGGCCGCAAAGAAGTCCGACGTGGCTGTCGTGGTTGTCGGAACCTGGTCGCGCGATCAGAAGGAAATCTGGTCAGGAGTGAACGCAACGTGAGTAAACCAATCTTTTTTCAAGGTATATCTAGAAATTTCAGAACTAACAGACACAAAGAACCGGTGAACACATCGACACAGATGATCTGTCCCTTGTCGGCGCCCAAGGACCTCTGATCAAAGCCATTGCCGACACCGGCGTACCCACAATCGTCGTCCTGTCAAGCGGCAAGCCCATTACAGACACCTGGATCGCAAACTCAACCGCTGCCCTCGTGCAACAGTTCTACCCATCCGAGCAGGGCGGTAACGCCCTTGCCGACGTTCTCTTCGGCGACTACAACCCATCCGGCAAGCTATCCGTCAGCTTTCCCCGCTACGTAGGCGATATCCCAGTCTTCTACGACTACCTCAATTCCGGACGTCTCATGAACAGCCCAGGCCACAAGTACGAGAACGGAACTCTTGTTTTCGGCCAATCGTACGTTCTCGGTGACGCCTCGCCGTGGTACCCCTTCGGCTATGGCAAGAGTTATTCCACCTTCAAGTATGGAGCTATCAAGCTCGACAAGACTAAGATTTCTGCTACTGAGAAGACTGTTACTGTCAACGTTGATGTGACTAATACCCATGCCACCCGTGAGGGTACGGAGGTTGTGCAGGTCTATGTCAAGGATGATATTGCCTCTGTTGTTGTGCCTAATCGTGAGCTCAAGGGATTCAAGAAGGTGGTTATTCCTGCTGGAAAGACTGAGACTGTCAAGATTCCCATTCAGGTTAAGGATATTGGTCTCTGGAATACTCGGATGAAGTATGTTGTTGAGCCTGGTCAGTTCACTGTCCTTGTCGGCAGCAGCTCTGAGGATATTCGTGGTAACGCTACGTTTATTGTTCGGTGATCGTTGAGAGGTTTATGTTGAAGGGAAATTAGTTCTTAGTATATAGTCCGATGTGTGTGTTGTTTGGTGCGTGTTAGATCACTGGTTGTATATATCTTGCGTTATATTTGAAAATGAAAGAGTCGAGAATTTTCAGATATGTATCCAGTCACGTTCTCCTACATCTTCTCTTCATACTTTAAGCTTATTGTACTTCTCAACGACTAGACAACCTTGGAGGCTATGTATACTACGCCAATAATCCCTCCATCTATTATGTAACCACATCTATGCCGTATAATTCTACTAGGCTGGGGTTAGATCAGTATTCAAGTCGTTACCGAACTACTCGATCGAAATAAAGGATAATCAATTGGATTCGGAGCTTCATAAATTGCGTTATGGGATATTTCATGAAAAACAAGGATAGCATTAGAGGACTAAACGCCGTTTCCAACCACTGAGAATGGATGTTGCGAGACTATGCCGGGTTATCACCTGCAGCACGAGACCCTGCTTGACCAGCAGAGGGACCTCGACCAGGATCCGGAGAGACCGAGAGCTCTGACGGCTTGCTAGTACCACTCGCAGGTGGATTGCTCTGACCCTCCGCTCTCCGAGTTTTGGCACCCTCTTTCAATTTCTCCCAGCGGTCCCGGTATCGCCCAAGAACATTTTTCAGCTTGTCGTTCTCGTGAGCAGCAGTTTCAAGTTTCTTCTCACTACGCTGTATCTGCTCCTCGAGTTCTTTGATCCGCGCGTCAGTATCAGCCGCACCCGGCGGCGCAGTCAGCGTAGCAACAGGAGAAGTAGTGGCCGTCGAAGGCTGGAAATAATCAGGCGTCCCCGCGCTCTGGCGGTGCATCATTCGGATTGATTGCTGCAGTGCCATCGACGAAGATTGCGCGCTCACTTCCCACATATGCAATCGCGTCGCAAGCGAATCGGTCAAACCCCTCAAGGTCTCATTCTCCACCTGCATCTCCTCCATTGTCTTTTGTGTCTGTGGAGTGGTAAGCTTATCGGGTGCGCCGCGGCGTCCTGCCCATATGCGTGAACCACTGGCACTGTGACGCATTTCGGGAGACGGAGGGGTTTCTCGCGCATCCACAAAGTCATCATCGCCATCCTCGATGCTGTTCCTGCGTGCCTGCCTTTCAGCTCGGGTGAGGATTCCTGCGTAGGACATAGTCCCACCCGTGGTTGGGACTACATAGAATGACTCTGCTGGGTTCCCGGGACCTGCCCCAGAGCCGTCCCGAATCGACCGCAATGCGGCTCGAGAGAAGAGTTTGTTCACGTCGAGTTCACCCGCAGTCATGGACCGGTCTAGAACAGCATGCTCACGGTCCAGTTTCACTTCAGCTGAGGACTTGCGGCTCTGTTCAGCGCGAACTGGATCCGCAGATCCCATTTGAATCCCTGCGAATGCCAAAGGCCCTGACACCTTAGAGACCAGTCCTCCGAAGGCTGAGTAGAAACGGTTGAATGCTTCATCGGTAATTGCGGGCTTATCTCTCGATCCTCCGGATTCAGCTGCACTAGGAGGTACAGCTTGCTGGGAAACCACCTCAGTGGAACTGGGTGTTGGAGGAGACCATGGTTGTCTGGGTGCAGAGACACGATTGTGTCGATTTTTGGCTGGTCCGTCACGTAGCCTTGTTTCGCCGGCTTTAGCCCTCGGTGGTGCTTCGGTCATCTTTGCTGCGACATGTTGCGATGTAAGTGTTGGTGACACTGGTGATCCACGCCGGGGGTGCGATGGGATTCCTCGGGCGGATGCTAGGTTACTAGCGATAGAGGATGTATCCCGACTTGGCAGACGAGCGTTGCCCACCAATCTTGGTGGTAGGTGTGCATCCTGGTTCGCGCTTGCGGTCTTTGCGCCCCCAGACTCGGCTGCGGTCTGCTGGGTTGCTAATGCTGAAGAGGGAGTAGCAGATGTCGATTCAGCAGGGATGGTAGTTGGATGTTCATGCTGGAACCGGAGGATTTCAGCGAGCTTCTTGTGGTGAGTTTCGAGCAAACGTAGGGTCCGTAGGGCCTATGACGCGTTAGCTCGGAGCCGAGGCGGGGGTAGATCTTCTACTCAATCAAGACTCACCTCCTGGTCGGAGCTGCTCTGTGCAGCCGTTGCAAATTCACCAGCAGCTAGATCATGCTCCTCGCTGGCAGCAACTGGGTTGGCCTTGCGAGTCTCTAGCACTGCGTTCCGGGCATGAGTGTGGGCCTGGATGTGGTCAGATTATCCTGAAAATGAGGGGCTGAGGTCTTACCAAGGCCAAAGGAGCTACTTCCATGGCGAAGATAAGTTCATCTGTAGGAGTTAAGAGAGAAAAATCAGGTGCATTCCTTTGATGGGATTTATCCGGGGAATGTTGAAGTGGTGACGTTATGTGCCGTGAATGAGGTTCGATTTTTGACCGTGACACGGAGGTACACGAGGTACACGAGGTACATTGTGGTATATGAGGTAGACGAGGTAACCCTTACAATAAAGCAATGCTCCTAAATCAAGCTTCTAGAATAAATATTGTCTATTCAATCAAACCGAAAGCAGCGGAAATGTGAAGTAACATCCACATTCTACAGTGGAGAAGCGGAGAGTAGATGCTTATAGCTATACTGTCAAGCTACACTACTACCCTGAGCCACGGGGAATAGGGAGAATATTAGGAATAGCAAAGAACGAGAGACATATTACTACAATTAATAGCAATAAGAATATCAAAATAAAACCAATTGAACCAAAAAAAAAACAGTCTGTCTCACCAGGCCCCCATCTAACTTGGCGGGTGACTAAGTTGCGGAGCTCCAGGGGATGTTCGGACAATTCGACACTTGTCTCTCTCTCTTCACTTCGTTTCCCCGTCTATGTACGGAAGTTCTCTCACTTAAAAAGAAGAGAGAAAGAGAGTCTGCAATACATACACCTCATGACAACTCTTCCTTGAGTCTCCCGGTCTGCCCGCACCAACCCCCCCCCCTCTCCGATTCCCATTCCCTCCACATTCCTTCAATCATGGCCGAGTCTTCGTCTTCAAGCTTGAAAGGCGAAAGCAGATCGCGTCGCTCCTGGACAATATCTGCAGAATCAAGTGCACTCGAGAGCAATGGTCGGTCATCCCCGGATTCCACCGTCGAGAGACCGAAAACCCAGGGCGGAGAAGTAGCAGATCCTAAGGCTGGTCCTAGTGGATTCTCAAAGCTACTCGATGCCCGTCGGAGGCGGAAAGAGAATAAAAAGAAGAATCAAAAACATACCGACGAGCCGGCAGTGCCGACTGTGGTTTTGGAACACGACCTAGAAAGCCAGTCCAACGAGTCTCGGGATGGAACCTCTGCAGCGCCGTCATCGAAGGCAGAGAGCTTTGCGCCGGAGGGCGAAGGCAATAGTCTGTTGACCGATGATGAGGAGCCGGACGGGTAAGTTGAGCAGGCCTTCTTATTGTCTTGGACTACTTCTAATACGCTGAGCTTTTTGGTTCCATTTAGGCCTCCGCCGCTTACCTCACATAACTCCCATACCGGATTCTACACCTCGTCCTCCCCATTGTTCAAGACCAAATCGGTGGATGCCGCAAACACGGAAAGCTCTCATGCCGATGCCGAGTCAGCTGTTAGCGGTAGTGCCACTGGGTCGGATTCAAACAAGAGTGAAAGAATGTCCCGACGCGCAACATCGGGTATGGCATTGGATGTCCCCACGGACCCAAATGGCAAGAAACGCAGTCCATCCCCTGGACGACGCCTCAAGGGCGCTTTCAGCTCAGACAAGAAAGCTGCCAATGACGATTCTGAGGCTTCATCAATTAAGTCCGGGGGCAACAAAAGCGGGCGAGGTCTGTTCGGATCCAGCCGGCGGAGTAGTCTTTCATCGAAACGAGCACAGGCAGCCCCCGATGATGTCCCGCCTTTGCCTGCGCCAATTCGAACTGATCTAACGGACGACAAGCCTCGTTCGCTTGAAGCGAGCCCCATGCCGAATACCCCACCTCATACTGCTATTCCTGCGCCAGCGACAACTGTAACTCCTCCAACACCAACTGAGCACCGCCCCCTCAGTGCGCAAATCCTGTCTAACACTGTTACCGACTCGCCCGAGTCTATGCAATCTGAAAATTCTCCGTCTTCCGGAGTCACCACCGTGAGCCCCTCTGGAAACATGATCTCTCACCGCCGGGTGCGGTCCGCGTCTGCAGCTCATGGCCCAAGCAAATTGTCCAACTCAATATCTGCACTGACACCTCTCGAAGAAAAAACCCCCGGGGTGAAGAATGCGACTCCAAGCCAGCAAAGTGGCTTCTTTTCCTCTGTGTTTTCAGTTGCGCAAAACGCCGCCACTTCCTTCAGCAACAGCATAAACGCGCAACAGAGAAATCGTCCAACTTCTCAACCTGTCCCTGCTGATGCTGATAAATCTATCAATGAATCCACTGCGGAGGAGAGCGAAAGAACATCAGATAACGACAGCAAGATTGCGGAAGGGAGACCGTCTGCCGTAGAGACTCTTGGGGCGGGAGATCTGAACTTTAGCCATCTGGACATTGACGCACGACCTGGTGAGTCAATCACGACTGCCGACGGCGTGGTGATCACAAAGCCAGGGGGCCCCGCTGACAAGCGCAAAAACACAGCAGTTTCCCGGCGAGATGAGGAAGCTGCCAAACTTGAAGACAAACGCGCGGCGCGCGCTGTTCAGGTAGCATACGAAAGACCCTCGGAGCTTTCATTGGCGGGCCCTACAGAAGACGCACTGGAGATTCAGTCTACCACCTCACTTCCGAAAGATGGCTTAATTATGGGCGATCAAACTCCCCCCAGTGGTAGTGTCATTGATGGTGACCTGAGCGGCGGCCTCAGACGCACTGGTAGTGTGCGCAGCAGACTTGCCCGGCGTCATCGGGGCTCATCTGGGGCCACAACCTCGACAATTGGAGCAATTGGCGTCAATGCCATTGCACTTGGTACTCCTGGTGTCAATTCCAGTGTACCCCGGTTGACTGGCTTTGCGGTTGCGAGTAAAAAGCGCAATCGGGACTTTCACCAATTATTCCGGAGTGTACCTGAAGACGATTACCTTATCGAAGATTACAGCTGTGCTTTGCAACGTGAGATCATTCTTGCCGGCCGCATCTATATCTCAGAAGGACACATCTGTTTCTCCAGTAACATCCTGGGTTGGGTCACGACTCTAGTGATCAGCTTCGATGAGGTTGTTGCCATCGAAAAGGAGAACACGGCCATGGTGTTCCCCAATGCCATTGCCATTCAGACTCTCCACGCGCGTCATACTTTCCGCAGTTTACTCAGTCGCGAGTCCACATACGACCTAATGGTTAACATCTGGAAGATCAACCACCCCACCATCAAGAGCTCCGTGAACGGAACCCGTGTGACCCATGGCACCGGTGATAAGACAGAGAAGGTTGGGGAAGAGGAGAGCGAGTCCGAGAGCGATGTCTCCGATGAAGATGAAATATACGACGAGGACGAGGAAGGAGACCATGCCGATAGCTTCTTTGAGGCCGGCAACAGTGCCAATGCTAGTGCAACATCATTGCCAGTCCGAAAAGGATTAAGCCGCAAGACTTCGAGTCTATCCGCGAATGCAGCCACGCCAGTGGCCGGCACAAATGGCAATGGCGATAAAAAGAACGGCGACAAAGGCACTTCCAAGGATACACCTCCTGATTTCCCCGGCCCCACTACACATGCACCCACGGAATACGTCGATGCCAACGGACAGTACGAAAAAGTCATCAAAGATGAAACAATCTCGGCACCGCTCGGCAAGGTATTTTCTTTGGTTTTTGGCCCAGCGTCAGGCGACTTTATGACCAAGTTCCTTGCCGACAACCAGAAATGTGGAGAGCTGCAGTTCGAGGGAACAGCGAAGGGTTTGACGACCGAATGCCCAACTAGGAAATACTCATACATCAAACCTCTCAATGGCTCCATTGGTCCAAGGCAGACAAAATGTATTAGTACCGAGACCATGGACTTCTTGGACCTCGAAAAGGCCGTTCTTGTCACTCTGAGCACCCAAACACCTGATGTGCCCAGTGGGAACGTTTTTGCTACCATGACCAAGTACCTCTTTACATGGGCTCCTGGAAACCAAACTCGCTTCCTCATGACCTGCACTATTGAGTGGTCAGGCAAGAGTTGGCTTAAGGGTCCTATTGAGAAAGGCGCAATTGATGGACAAACGACCTTTGGTAATGAGCTTGTCAAAGCCCTGCAGGCTGGAGTTGTTCCCCGTGCGCGTGCCAATGGCGCTGGACGAGGCAAAGGAAAGCGCAAGAAGGGCGATGGCGCAGGACGGGAGTCGACCGCAGCTGCTGCGTTGAAGGTTACTGTGGATTCCAACGCCGGAAAGCGAGAATCATGGGGACTATTCGAACCGGTCCGCCCCATTCTGGAGCCCTTTACCAGCATTCTCAGTCCGCTATGGAGTAGCAACCTCGCTATCCTAATTATCGGAATCTTGTTTTACATGGCGTTCTTCCGATCCTCGCCATCATCGTCCACGCTTTCGCATGAAGTCGGCTGTCCCGGTCACGGCTTGCCTCAGAGACTGGCTGCATACGAGGAGATGTGGCGACGTGAAGAGACTGAGCTCTGGAGCTGGCTGGAAGACCGTGTTGGTATGGATGGAATGGTTTTTCCAAACGTTTACCGATCGCCCGAGCCACACCCAAGTCGAAGGTCATCTGGATTCAGTACAAGTGATGAGCGTGAGCTCGCCGCACGGCTTCGGGACGAGAAGATCTCTGACCATGAGATGGACCATGCCCTCCGTACCACACGCCAACGTCTGGATGTCCTTGAGGAGATGATGGGCAAACGCAAAGCCCAATGGGAAGTCGAAGAACCAATCAAGTCTGAATTGTGATGGGCATCAATGGCTGTCCCTCCTGCACATAAAACCAACCAAACTCTCTCCCTATCCTCTCTTCTTTCGAAACTTTCTCTTTCTAGAGAGAGTCCTCAATTGTCCTTCCCAACACCACCCAAAATCTATTTCCTTGTTTCTACAATTTGTTTTATCATAACCATTTGTCAGGGTGTTATCCTGGAGTTATGGGAACAAGCAGAGCTGTTCCCTTACTGTTGAAATTCGCCTCTCACATTCATTCTAAAAGCCCCACAGTCATTATCCCAACTCTCCCTGCCGTGTCCTTCGATACATGGGCAGGTTTTCCTTGCATGTACATGAGCGCCAACTATCTTGTCTCTACCGGCTTCGATTTCCTTACCTTCTTGCTTATTGTTCATCTGAGCGTGCTGGCTACTTCATTTCTTTGCCCCATTGGCTTCTCTGTGAATATCTCGAGCTAAAGCTATGTGATTTACATATTGAATTTAGGCTATGCCTGACAGCGCTTCTTTCCATTCGTAATACTACAGACTGGACGAGTGAAACACTATTTTTGTTGCTTGAGCTTGAGATATACCTCGACTAATCAACTAAAATCCTAAGCATAAAGAACAGTGTACAACATCAGACTGTGGTCTTCACATGTTGCTAATACGTTAATAATAGGGTAATTCTTGCACGAAGACTTGATCGCCGATCGAAATCTAGCAGACACACTCCCCTCGCTTGAAGAAACGGAAAGAGAGAATTTCTTGTCCTTTGCAAAGATGATGCTGGCCTGGCTTCCGGAAGAGAGGAAGACGGCCCGTGAACTGATGAGCACCCGTTCGTCCAGAGAACGAAGAAACCCAGCAACTGATGGAGTAGCACAGTATACGGCGAGATATAGCCAAAAGATCAATGAGTATAGCAAGATCAATGAGTATAGCAAGATCAATGAGTATAGCAAGATCAATGAGTATAGCAAGATCAATGAGTATAGCAAGATCAATGAGTATAGCAAGATCAATGAGTATAGCAAGATCTATTGATCTATCATGGACCTATCTATCAGTTGTAATACTCCAAATATTGCATGTTGTATACTAGAACATCGTTTGGTAGGAACTATGTTTCTCACCGTCATTATACAGTTCACAGCTATCCATTTCCAATCATCTAGCTATGACAAAAAGATCTAGAAAGACATCCAAAAAGACACCCAAAAAGATGTATAAGAAGACCTATAAGAAGACCCTCAAAAGGACTTCTAAAACGATTCTTCATATAATGTTTCTAATTTCATAGATCCTTAAATCAGATGATACCATAAATTAGTAGGAACAAAACGAAAAGTAGGTGAGACGCCAGCACTATCTTTGCAAAGAAAAAGAGTCAGGTCGAAGTCAAGTTAATATAAGGTCAAAGATTAGGGCTGGTGAGGTTACTTGGTATGCAACGTACCTGCCTACGACGTAGCTGCTCTGGTAGATTCATTCCGTCTTTTCAATGTTCTTCTCAGATCATCATCTCCATCACCTATATTTACATCATTTACTTCCTCGACCTACCAAAGTGAAGATTATCATGTTCCTTCTCTTTCAAGGTTCCTTCTCGCTTTCCACATACGTAATTGTGGAAGCGTCAGATCATCAATTCCATTGCAGTGTTTGAAACGCACATGTCCACCCGCCATATTAGGATGGAGCCACCAGAGACCAGCGCCAACAGAACACTGGCCGTATTGGAGAACCTTCTCCTCGATCCTCATCTCGAGGAGATCTGCTTGAAAGCAGATATGAGCTCCTGTGATGAACCCCCCCCATCTCCACCCTCCACCCTCCACGCCAAAGTGAAGTTCCCAGAAGCGAACACTAGGGGAGGCTGAGCAACAAGCCTCACCATACCGGTGAAGCTGAGATTCAACCCAAAGACAGACAAACCCTCCTTTCATTCTCAACTGATATTTCCGAACTAATCCCTCTCTCAGACCGATAACGAGTATAACACGCTGCATGGGGCATTCTCAGGTTCAGACAGCCGATTCGGTCCCTGTCTAGACGTGTGTCTTGATCTCGTTCTTTGTGAAAAGTGGGGAGATACATACTGACCCTTCTTGCTGGGGAAACTGACCGACCCCACATTCATCCACTACCACCAATGCCCACCAGAGGCGAGCAGTCAAGGAGGATCTGCCCGATGAGATAAAGATCGAGGGAACCTGCTAGAGAGCAGAGACGACCCAAATCATCCGCTTAGTTCGAACAAGTCTGACTGCCCTCCTCGAAGGAATCGTGGGGTATATTTTACCTCGTCTACCTGGATCACCAACGCAGCGATGGTGTTGATTAAGCTCATTGTGAGTAACATCCGCAGGAAGGTGCTGGTGGCCATCCGGGGCCTGCTTGAGGACGGCTGGCTAGGCCAACATAAGAAAGTTTGTTTGCGTTGGTTGGGTTCTTCTTTGATCACTGCTTCCTATTTGATCACTGTTACATCTGAGCACTCTTCGATCACTGCTGCATCTGAGCAGTACTAACCGAGAAAAAACCAAGGATGACGAGACGAAGGACTGAATCCCTGGCGAGTCTAATAAAAAGAGATTGAGATAAGACGGGCTGAAGACATCAGGGCCTTAAAACGATGGCTGGCTCTGATAGAGGACAAGGTTGAAGCTGGCTAGGGATATTTGCAGAGTTCCTGTGTCGAGAATACTGGCCTATTATATTACTTAGCCAAGGCTTCATGGAGCAAACAACTCCTTGAAAGGTATAGAGGGCTTCTAAGCGCAAGCTATGCTTAGAAGAGAAGGCACGCGCGTGGACTAAGGCAGGTTTGAGACCAAATATCTTTATCAGACTACGATGCTCCGTTCGATCATCTTCCTATTCTTCTTATTCCTTCAAACCACACGAGCTTCACGACGTGTTGTTACACCTTACATTACTAGCTGTCATTATTTTCATCCAATATCTCCTACACAGTCACTCTTCCTTGACCAGCCCTCGAGCCAACCTTTACAGTACAACAAAGCTTCACACTAAGCTTCTGGGTTTGGCTCAAACAACCCTTCCAAACCCTTGCCACCCACTGTCTGGCAGCAAAAAACAACCGCTCACACACATTCCTCTTACTTTGTCTTTCAAACCAAACTCGTTGAATGGACTTCCTATGGATCTCATACTCACAAATAACGGATCTCCTCCCACCTAACGATATCCTCTGTCTTTCAATGTACAACCGTCGACTCTTTATGGCCCTTAACCACAACAAAAACACATTTCCACGGCCAATAGGAGGCGACAAGCGACAATTGCTGCACCGGATCGAACGTGACCTTCCGCATCATTTCATGTGCCACTGTTGCATTATTCTCCATGAATTTGATGGACAAGAGGACTTTGGGCTGAAAAGCATGCCGGTCATGAGCAGATGTCGGCTTCCATGTGTCGTCAACTATCTGTGGAGGGAAGACGGACTGCAGATGCAGGTACATAACTTCAGTCTTCATACAGACTACTGCCTCTCTTTCCTCCATCTCCGACTTGCTATGAAGCGATTCTACCACGGCCCTCGGTTTGGTATTACCACTGAATCACTATCACCTGTCGAAATAAAAGAGCACGCCAATTCAACCACTCTGTTTCCATTGAAGCACAAGTTAGATTGTCGCTATTGAAATTCAGGAGTATTGTGGTCATCTGGCCCTTGCCATCACGTACTGGATCAATTTGTACCCTGGGTTGAGTCCTGATGATCCTCTTTGGAGGATTCATTCAAACGAACCATGGTGCATGGATGGCTCGGATTTGGAACCGCACATGGCCTGGAGCCCTCGAACCTCGTTCGAGAATGTCTCTGGTGATTGGTCACGAGAAGCCTTGCTTTTGCGCAATCTGTCGTATTTCAAAAGCGAAAAGTACAAAAGCCTGATGGAAATAGGCCCATGGAACACCTGGGTCTTACAGTCTCCAGAAAGCCGAGTTGAGAACCGGGGGTTCACCTGATCCAATTTTACACGCAGATATGTCAGGGGGTGTACCAATCCGAAATGCAGGTTTTCGTGCTGCAGATTCAGCTCCGAAAGAGGCCAATTTCCGATACCCTAGGACCTAATTTTCGCCGTTTTGGAGGCGGTTCAAGACTTGCTCGCTGGTTTTGAAAACTTCGTTAAAAACCACCATCTCGAAATATATCGACTTCATCCCCACCCAAGCTCTGCGTGATTTCATTTGAAAATAATGGCAAATCAAGAACAGTGGATCAAGAACATAGGCAAAACGGGGCCAGGAGGAAAGGGACCGGTCCAGTACAGCCCATCACGACGAAACCTGGCCTCGACTGAGCACTCCGATGACCCGCGGCCAGACCTGGTTTCCCAAAACCCTCCTCGAATCAGCCAGAATCTGGGCAATGAGATCTTCTCAAACCCCGAACTCCTTGATCTTATAGCCAAGAAAGTTCAGGACGAGGTTGACAAGAAGGTCCCAAGTAATAAGCCAACGCAGACTCAAAACGAAGACGTCGACTAGAAGGAGGAAGCAAAGCGGCTACAAGCAGAAATGGACGCTTTGAAGGAACGAGGAAGCGATAAAGCTCCTAAACCGGGACGAACCGGCAAGTCCATCCCAGCACCCTCTCAGGGGCCAAACCGCGCAGCCCCGGTTACTCCCCAGAAAGGATCCCGAGCAAACAAGAACACGTCCCAAGCAAAGTCAGGTTCGTCCCGGCTTAGCCAAACAGACCCCGACCAAGAACCCAAACCTACCCCGACCCACCCTCCAAAGCCAACAAGCAAGCCCCAACCCCAGCAGTCGGGGTAATCACGACCTCAGCCATTGCTCATCCCATACAAGGTTCCCAAACGGCCGGCTAGCCCCTTTGAACCTGACTTACTTCCAAGACTGAAGAGATTGAAATTCAACCCTAAAGCAATCGCTGTGAGAAAGTCTATCATGGATGTTCTTGATCAATGAAAGCGATAAACGCCAATTGGAATATTCAAATTATTACATGTATGTAACTACATATTGTACCCGTACATCCATCCACTTAACCCCCACCCCCACCTTCTTCCCCCCCAAGCTCTGCATCATTCCATTTCCCATCGCACCAAAGCCGTCCACTATTTCGTCTCGTCGAGTGGCTCTGTTACTTCGAAGATTCATTTACCAACCGTCGCCTACCTCGTTGACCCTCATCACCATCGCTTGCACCACTCGGCAGGTTGGCGTATTCATCTTATGGGTGATGGTTAGCTCGATCTCGGTTTGTGGTCAGATCGCTCATAGTGTCGCAAACTCGATGGTTCTTGGCATAATGAGGGGGAAATAGAGGCTATTTAGCTGGCTATCCTGGTCCCGTTTAGCCTTGATCTGTCACACGCAGAAGCTGCACTGATGCAGGTGGTGGGGCCACCGGGGCACGCTGGAGTGCAAGTATTGCATGCGACTCCATGGCACATTCTCCCAATGTGTCTTTTAGAGGGTATGGATGTCCTAACAGCGTGCGGGAACTGCCACTGGGCAGGCGGGCACGCTAAATGCAACTAGAGATGGACATTTACGACCATCACTATGCGTGGCTCTGGGAGCACTGAGATAGTGATAGGCGCGGATATCCCTGTCTTGGCGGTATCAACCGTTGAACTTCGGTCTCATCAAACTCCGGCTACCCAACAAATCCCTTGCCACAACGACGTTTCTGCGAACACTGTTGCCGATCCTCGTACAGCCTCCCAAACTTTCCGAACGGCCCTCCCGAGACAGATGCCCGCCTGGTCAGCAATCTCACCGATGGGCACTTCTTCAGCACATCCACGCATAGAAGGGACGGAAGGATGTACAGTACGCAGCGGGATACGCGACCCTATGCGGTTCTAGGTGGCTTCACACCCAATTTACACAAATTTCTATCTAAGAGCTCGCGTAGCCGTCCCTTCGTATACCCCGTATCTCTCATGGCCCTATGTACCTTAGCAGACAATATTTATCACGAGACTAGCTAGTGCGTTAATACCTTACTCCGTACTACTTATCGCAATGACTCGTACACATGTAGTTGTTGAGTCCGTTTCTACCCCAGGTGGATAGGATCTTGCTCCCAGCTTGTTTGATCTTCCTTCCTCTCTCTCTCTCACAGCCAGCTAGCTCAATACAACCCATGGTTTCCGTTCCCAATAGTCGTTTTTGGTTTGTACTTTGTACCTCCGCTACAAAGGCACGTACCTCCCAGAGCGTAAAACCGACCTCCGACCTCCGACTTGTTTACCCTATATTTTCTTTGTTTCCGCACGACTTTATCTAAACTTGCATTTCTAAGATATCGGGCTATGCTTTGAAGGAATAGAGGCATGGTCGCGCCTACTGGCCAGGAAGTTGTAATTCTCCCTACTAATTAATCACTCTAGAGAAATAAGATTATTCGGCCGAGTTTGGGGCCTCTGGCCCTGACAACGTAGGACTTTGATAATTTGGTCATCTGGCTCAAGATGATACAAGGGACGTTATATGTAAGACAACACCCCAATAATATCTTTGGATGTTCTTTTTTCTTCTCATTGTTATAACGTTCTAAAACGATGAAGAATAATAGCACAGAGTAGAATCTGTCTAATATGTACAATATACGAAGGCGGAAAAAGTGTAACCCACACAGAGGACTTTTCTATGTATAACTAGGGACATTGGAATGACTTCTGTCTCTGTTTATTGCAACCAGCTCATCCCACTGGCAATATATTGTCACTCCTAGGAGAGATTGACTAGTAATTCATCTATCCCTGGAGAGACACGACGACCGAAACATCGACAATTTGATTGAGTATCGAAAATGCGCTGTAGATCACAAAGGACAACCTTGAGTATAATTAAATAACGCATTCCAGCTTCTGATTAAAGAGGTCCATCTCGCTGTTCTTCTTGCATTTGCCCTGTATGAGATTGTTCTTCTTTGACAACTTATTGGCCGCGCCATCGGAGGGCAGATTTATCGTCTTGAAGTATTCATCAGCCCGGCACTTGTCGGCAGCCTCATCGTCGCCAGCCTCATCATCCTCCATTCCATTGGAGTTATTGGCACTAGATCTTCTAGGCTCCCAGCTGGATCTTCGTCGTTGTCCCCAGATTGATTATCACCTTCTTTGTTGGATTGGTCTTTTTTTTCTGCTCGAATTTTGTCTTTGTTTCGGGTTTGGTCTTTGTTTCGGGTTTGGTCTTTGTTTCGGGTTTGGTCTTTGTTTCGGGTTTGGTCTTTGTTTCGGGTTTGGTCTTTGTTTCGGGTTTGGTCTTTGTTTCGGGTTTGGTCTTTGTTTCGGGTTTGGTCTTCGTCTCCGGCTTGGTCTTCGTCTCCGGCTTGGTCTTCGTCTCCGGCTTGGTCTTCGTCTCCGGCTTGGTCTTCGTCTCTGGCTTGGTCTTCGTCTTCGTGTCTGACTTGCTCTTTGCCTCTGACTTTGGATTAACCTTCGCTTCCGACTTTGGTTTAGCCTTCGCTTCCGGCTTTGGGTTGGTCTTCGCCTCTGGCTTTGGCTTGGGCTTTGCGTCTGGCTTTGCTTTAGGCTTTGAGTCTGGTTTCGGTTTGCTGTTCGTCTCTGCTTTGCTCTTAGTCTTCGTATCCACCTTGCTCTTTGTTTCCGGCTTGCTCTTTGCCTCCGGCTTTGGCTTGATCGTCTCCGACTTCGGCTTGATCGTCACGAACGTTATTATTGGCACGATCGGTCTCGCCTTTTGTTCTTCTTCAACCATCTTGATGCTTTGGGGGGCTTGTCACTATTAGGTCGTTTGTAGTCCGAAATCTTTGAAAGAAAGCATCCCCCCAGAATCGAGGTTAGCGTCTTTATTAGTAGCGTAGTTGGGCACCTGAATACTCCGTACTAGCGTCGTCATCAGCCTCAGCCTCGTATTCATCTGCATCGAGGTTAGCGTCAACAGAACATCGCTTCCTAGCACGTTCCTTGCCTGCGCCTTCATCGCTACTGTCACGTTTCTTGTTAGTGTCGCTAATCGTTTGCCGTTACTAGGGTGTTAAAGAAAGATGTGGATTAAACAGAGAGACCCACAAATGCAGGGTAAAACCCCGCGATGTAGGCTACGATGACCGATTCCATAATCGGGCCGCAGTGCATATTCGGACACAACAGGGCACTTTTATTTCTCTGATTTTGACTGTTTCTTTTGCCTTAGTGCCTTACCCTAAATATTTCTACCACATATTGTCGCAATAATCAGTACTACTAGTGTGTTGAATGACACAAAAATGGACATACATAATCAGAAAGGTGAACCTCACCATCTACTACGCTTGCTCCAAACAGAGGAGCTGCTCTAGAATAATTCCAACGAGTAATTATGTGTTGTACTTCCGAGATATTTGATTAGATCCTAATCTGTAAGTCATAGATATTGAATCGGCAAATCTTTTAAATGCGCTTTAGTCTAGTAACAATGCAATTTGAACCTTTGATTTTTACTCTCCTACGATCTAGTCAAATTGCCCGACAGGGGACCGTCGGATCCCAATTATGGTGGCCGTACAGAGGAGAATCATAGGGTGACAATGTGTTTCATTGCTATGTCCTGTCTGAATGCTGCCACGAATCTGTAGCAAAGACCTATTTTTTTCCCCTTTTTCTTTTTAATACACGAGATGTGAAAATCCTCAAATCCCTCAATTGCAGATGTAATGCCCCATTTCCATGACCTTTTTTTTCCTTCTTCTTTTTCAATAACCTGATATGCGAAAATGCTCAAATCCCCCGATTGTAGATGTCCCATTGTAATGACCTTATCAAGTGCAAGGTCCGGGAAGTACGTACAACAAAGCACTTAGTCCCATGCCGGGCCGTGTCCCTTCGTGCTCTGTCTCCAGCCGCGGTAAGAGATGTCCCGTGCATTGCTTTGGCTTCGGTCTCCCTCTTCTCCATGCGCGGTGGCATCATCAGCAGCCGGGATGCTGGGCTTGCGGGATTCGTTGACCAAGACTTTGCAGTAGTAGACAAACAGCTGGTAGTCCACGGGGCGTCCCGAATCCTTCACTTCCTCCTGAATGAACGGAACCTTCAAAACCTCTCCGTGCAGCTCGTTCAGAAGTCGGCCAAGCGCAAAGTCGCAAGAGGGCTCGTGGCCCTCTGTCTTCAGACGGTTGAATTGGTTCTGGTAGGCCATGATGAAATCGGCAGGCGTAGCAAAGTTCTTCCGCTTGAGCTGTTCCCATCTCTTCAACTCGCCCTCAAGGAACTTGGACTGGTTGTGCAGGCTCAACAACCTGATGGTGTTGAAGATCTCGTCGGCGTAAGTAATGTCGGTTGCATGTGCCTTGACCTTGAGTTGAAGAGCGGCATCGACCTGGTTAAACAGCCAGCCAGCAACAACGACAGTCCAGAACTTCCATCTGTTGTAGTTGACATCTGCTGGGTGAGGTCGCGGAAGATTAACATCCACAATTTCATCGAGTTTGAACGGCCGCAAGATGTGAAGGACCTCATTGCCCCAGACCGTAAGACTAGACTCCGGCTTGAGCTTCGAGACATTCAGAAGGGTCGCAGGAGACTCTTTAGGCAGATCCGTAGCCTGAGTGCGCGGCACTGGGAAGGGTTCCGGCTCGGCATCATGCCTGCCGCCACGACGGGGGTCCGAAAAGAAAGACATGATAGCCAGTGAAGGAGTAGATTGGGTTGAAAAGATGAGTGAGATAACTGAGCTTTACAGTTTAAAAGAAGCCATTGTCAACAAATTGTTGTATCTTGATAGAGGAAGTGTCATGAACTCACTGTTGGTTGTGCTTTCCGATCAAAACTGCACGTTTTTCCAGCTGAAGAAGTATCCGCAGTTGTTGTAAAAGGAAAGAGAAGATGGAAGAAGAGGAAGGAGAGAAATGAATTTAAAGCTTTCGTTTGATCAAGAAAGAGTACGAGCTAAGAAATCGTAACTGCGTAGAGACGACATAATAGAACGCTTATGTCGGCGGAAGTAAAGTCTAGTATTCTCATTCTATATGCAATATAATGTCATTCTATTCTCAAATGCTATAAAAGGCTCTTATCACAAGGCTGAGCTACTAAGAGAACTTTGAGTAATATAATTTCAGCTGAAAAAATGTACTAGCGTGCATGAAGCGGATTTTCCTGCTACTTTCTCTATGTCCCTTCCCGATCGCTGCTACGGCACATTTTGGTCCGCAATTGATGTAAGAGAAAAGAGAGATGGAGCAAGAGGAAGAAGAAAAATAAAGTTAAAGCTTTCGTTTGATCAAGAAAGAGCATAAGCTAAGTAATCGCAACTGCGTAGAGACGATATAATAGAACGCTTAAGTCGGCGCGCGTAAAGTCTAGTATTCTTATTCTACAAGCAATACAATGCCATTCTACTCTTACACGCTAAGAAAGGCTCTTGTCACAAGTCTGAGCCACTAAGAGAACTTTAATTGGTGTAATTTCAGCTAAAAGAATGTACTGGCGTGCATGTAGCGGAATTTTTTGCTACTTTCTCCCTGTCCCGATCGCCGCTACGGCGCATTTGGGTCTTGATCTGCAGATCTTTAAAGTAGATGATTCTCACATATGCATTTAAAAATTTGTTGAAAATTTTATTTATTTTACCGTTTCTTCTGAGTAGGCATATGTCAAGGGAAAGAACGTAGTGTGCGCGTCCTTTAGGGCCAGAAGGTCACGTGCATGGTGGTATTGTCCATGATAATGTATTTTCAAAAATAATATCAATGAAACCGCAAAAAGAAGAGAAATAAGATGGCCGTATTGTTAAAATGTTAACAGTATTTCTGGACAATTCTCATATATCCAGATAAACGTTACAGCTTCGTAGCGAAGTTTTTCATCAACGTTGCCGGGATTTCTAGTTTCTCCAACTTTGTAGGGTAAAGGGAACCTGATAAGAGCTTGCTTATTCGGATGCTAATCTTATTTGCTGATATAGAGCGGAATGCAAATATTGAAGCTGCCGTGGACCCATTCGTTAACGCCTCTAATCCGGCAAGTTTCTGAAGGACCGAGACCGAGATGATATAATGCAATATTCTCGATATCATCACGTTTGCTGTATAGTGATATAAAGAAATCAATACGCTATTCTGGAAATCCCAGTTCAAGGAGAATGTCGTCCTCTTGCTCCAGCGCTGACTCTAAAGTTATGTTACCCCGGAGGAGTGGTAAGGTGGCCCCGTGACATGTTATCGCGAGAGCGGGTTGATCGATCTAAGAGGTCACCCAATACAACAATGTGTACTATTCGGTTATGCTTAACTAATATGGTCAAGGTGTTCATTAGCTTGAGGCAATTAGATGAACTTCGGTGGGAGGCATCTCCTAAGGCTCCCCCTTCGAAAGAAGGCGATTATACTCTTCACCGCCTTGGTCTTTTCTAGCCACAATGTGATATAGGGACACTAAGGTCATCCCTTATATATACGGGTACATTAGCCCGATACTGTCATCGAGGGATATATTTAAGACTAGGTTTGTATTTGCTGCGAAGAGGATATGGTTTCAGTACACGTTGAATTAGGATACCATTTATGGATGAAAAAGAATGTTAACAAAATGCTAGCTCGGCCAAACAATATTCTTGTTCTAGCCGCCGCCACGAGATCCGAGCCCTTATGGCGCAGGCCCGGCCCCACCTTTCAAACTAACTTTACCTTCCAATAATAGCCGGAAGGTACAGTTACTGTCAGAAAGCGGCTAATTTAACCTGACATTATAGACACTTTTAAATATTATTTCACAGGCTCATGTAGCCCTCTACTGTAAGTTTTGAGATAATAGCTAAATGTCAGATTAGGAGTAAGAATGGTTAAGAATAGTATCACTCTACGTCACCGACAGGTGGAGACTGCATGAAAGTGCAACTAAACCCCCTCCCTCATTTGGCGTGATTTACCCCTCTCGTTTCCTCGTCTTTCGGTGCATGGATGCCGCCGTGAATAGAATGGCGGACGTTGCCTCTTAATAGAGGAATACATTTGCAATGCTGACGAAGTGCGGCCAGGAAAATGATTCAAGATTCCCTCCCATGCCAACTTCCCTTCCTCTCTCAATTCACTGGCAAATGGTCTTCTTCGGCTGAATAGAGCCGGCGTTTGCTTTTCCCGCGAGCTGGACGGCTTGGTATTTCTACCCAGTTTATTAGTGATATGTGTCGAATACTAAAGGTTGCATACATGGTGGAAACAGGTATTAATACCCAGGAAAATCATGTGACCAATGGTACCATCCATACCATACAAAAGTGCATATTACAGTTAGTCATCTATGTCCGCACAGATTGTTGAAACCGCGGGTTTTGTCATTTTAGTTAGTTAGAGATTCCAATATATCTGATTTTGTCCATACGTTGTCATACAGCCAGATTTCTGTCAATATGACTAGTATATGGAACCAATTATTACAGCTAATTTACCGAAAATTGTGGGGCGCTCAGAGCGGGTAGAAATAATTTCCCTGTCTGAACGCCCGGGGGCCTTGGGGTGGACCCAAACGTGATCTATACCGGTGCTTGATTGAGTTATATACGTCATAGCAAAAGCTATGTCACGTGATCCTGTCGACATTTTCGAATTGGGTCACGTGCTTAGCATTACTATTCGGAGGAAGCGTGAGATGTCCCTTCCCTGCACTGAGGCGATCCCCTAAGAAGTCCCCAATAGAAAAGGTAGGTCACTCCCAGTGCGAAACTGATAAACCAATCATACTCCTCCTTAGGCTGCGGCGATACTTACGGGACAAATCTAACATCCAGCCTTTGTTTCCATCACACACAAAGCAAGGCAGACAGGCTTGAGCTATTCTCGAGCTAGGCAGCAAAAGCCTCGACAGGAGTCCATTTGGCGAAGACATATCTGCCAATCATCTCCATGTCCAATGCGTATTGCACAGGACTCCTGCAGAAATGACTAGCCCCCTCATCCACTCGATCCAATAACTAAACTACATCGACGATGCTATTCCTAGAGGACTATCGATTTCTTACTACAAGTTGAGTTTGATGACGAGAGACCAATGATATATAGAAGTAGTATCTTATATCTGATTGTCCAATATGTTCAATCTGACAAAAAACCTCTATAATATCAATTTGCACACTCGATTGACCGAGAATGAGCAACCAAACCCATCTTGTTTATGTGTGCATATTTCTATTGAGTTTGAAGCAAGATAGGAGCGGTGAATTCGAGCATCCACTGACTGCTGTTTACAGCGACAGCCTTTGAGCAGCAAGAAAATCTTGGCAGAATTATTGGCTCATATGAGAACGTCCTAAGGGTACAGGGCACACTCGCCATCCCTTCATTTGCACATAAGGTGGCTATGTGCATATGCCAAGTAGACTAGTGGTCCAGGTGGGTGTTGGTAGACTAGCCAATGATATAGTATGCTTCACTTCAGCTGGGAGGGGCCAATACATTACTCTCTCTGTTGAAAATTTGTCTTGCTTCGCCCGACATGCCTATTCTGAATTCGAAGTTGAGAGTTCCGGGCCGGTCTCTTGGGCACATAAGATCTTATTCTTGATATGAATATCAGAAATGCTCAGCAATAAAAAAACCCCAGGACACCAAAGAGCAAAATATTTTCCAAAAAAAAAAAAAACCCAATCTGTGTAGCTGCAAGTCAACATAAGTAGGCGCTAAGCCATAATCCCTGATAGGCCGAGGTCGAAACATGCCCAGCCTGCCCGACTGTGGGCATCTGAGCCTCAGTGTGGATTTGGTGGTTGCCTGCTTGAGAGTATTTTAAATATGCATTTCCCCCTCCCTGTACCTGCTAGCTGAGATTTTGGGCTTTCAAATACCAATGAATGATGTCCAACAGTACAGCAGGCCATGCTCGCTGGGTCGACGAGCCCGACCGAAGAGGAACATGGGCTATTCTCTCAACTTGCATCCTGACCATTACCCTCTGTTGTTGGTCTTCTGTTTATCCTAACATTCCTCCAAGATCGGCAGGTACATTAAAGAAAGAGATGGGAAAGATAAATCTCTTCTTGGTCGGTCTTCTTGGGCCAGAATTTTTTCTACCCATTTCTGTTGGACAGTGGTCATCCGCTCGGGCTTCAGTCAAGGTATGTATAACATCCTCCCGGATATAAGTTGGCTTCCTAACAAACTGGGTAGAGATTCCGCGAGGCAGGATACGAGAACTGGACTATAGCTCATGCATTCTTCGCTGACATGGGTGGATTTCTCCTTGAATCTCCTGGAAGCGAAATGTTTCCAATTGACGCCGAGCAGCTATTCTGGTTGATCAAAGATGGGTTCATAGTTTATCCAGAGTTGGATGTCGAGGACATCCAAGATAAAAGTAAATCTGAAGGCATGGCAAGGTGAGTTATCTTATTCTCCCTTATTTGCGATTTCCTGGATAGTGAAAAGTTCTGAGGCTACTTGACTCTCCCTCTGACTTTCCAAACTCCTGCTTATGTGTAGCTTACGATATGATAGCAAGTTCATTTCTAACCTCATTTTAGAGTGATCACAGTATTGCAAGCAGCTTGGTTTTTAATCAACTGTATTATTCGTCTAGCCCAACATCTTTTTTTGACCACTCTCGAGCTTACTACTCTATCTTTCATTCTAATCTTCTTCGTCACATCGTTCTGCTGGAAGGATAAACCCAAGGACATTTCACGAGCCATTATCCTAACTACAAACACCCCTATTACTACTATTCGCTCAAGATATCATCCATACCCTGAAGAAAGATGGTACCAGACACCACTCGGTTTTCTTTCGCGCGATGAATGGGTCGCTGGTCGCCTGTGGCGTTATTATGTTCAGATCCTACACTATTTACACATTCCAATTTTCGCCCGACCGAGCACTAAGCCTTACGATCATTTCCCTTCCGATACCTTCCTTCGTCCTGATAGAGCAGCGGAGGGCATTGCTCTTCCATTCGTGCTACTGTTTGCTTGCATATTCATATTTGCTTGGAATTTCGAATTTCCTACCCCCACGGAAAGGCTTCTCTGGCGCATTGCAGCAGTCTATCAAATCGTCTTTAGTGTTGTCGGCGGAGCAAGTATCGGGTATGCTGATGAAGTCATTCTTCCTAAGTGGTTGGAAAAGACTGAGCTCTTTGAATACCCACCAAAACGGCAACTCCCTCGACTTGCATGGAAATTGAGAAATATTCACCCCGATCGAGATCCAGACTTGACCCTTCCTTTGAGAATACTTCTCCCAAATATCCTTCTTTCTGTTGCATATTGTTTATCTCGGGCATATATCTTGGTGGAGGATCTTATTGGGCTAAGAAGATTACCAGAGGATGCTTTCCAGATAGTAAGCTGGTCGAAGTATATCCCTCATTGGTGATAACCAATTGTACATCGATGGGACATCTAACTTCGACTTTAAGTATGACATAGGCTTTTTATATCTAGAATTCTAATACTTCTAACTCTCTCTCTCTCTGCTTAAAAACACGCTTCTAGGGTGTAAAAAGAAAAGTTTACGCATGACTAACCATAGTATGAGCATTGCAAAACAAGGGTATAATTTAATCACTAAGAAAGTCTAGAACATACGACCATTGCACGAATGACTCGCAGACTCATCCACTTGATCCAATAGCCCCAACGCAAAGTCGCTGACTACAGCCTATTTGTACACTGCTGTACATAAAAGCATTGGGTTTTTTCAAGACCCAATATTGTCGATCAACTTTCCAGTTATGACTACGGTTTATTGTCGAAATGGGATATGGCCTCCCTAGGCCCTAAACAGGAATCATGGTTTTTGTTATGGTCTAGTGGAAAAGTGGCTGTATTTTTCCCACATTTATTGCTATTTCAATTTATTGAAGAACATTACCAAGTAAGTTAGTTTGATTTGCAATCGAAACGCAGAACCTCTATAAAGTCATAATTGCGGTGCAAGGCATATTGTTGATAGTTGGCCTCTCTGCACTATAAGTAGCCTGTTACCTATCATCTATCTACTTCAGGTTTCTGTTGCAAGTTTAACACCCCTATAGTCTCACTGATGACTGATACCTAATAGTTCTGAATTATATACCACAATCTGTACATTATATCTATTTATATGACATTCACAACCATTTAACCACGGCTCGGCGCCATTCATTAAGCTTCAACGTTTCCACCTGCCATGTCCCGTTCCTGAGTGGAAACAATGACTTTATTTTTGGGCAGTGACGTTTTCCAAGCCCTAATTCCTGAATTGAATCCCTCATCAATCTGCTCCAGCGTAATCCCAGCAGTCTCTGGCACCAGCAAGAAGGTTAAAACCCCGATGACGGCGGTGACACCAGCATAGAAATAGCCCACATTGGGACCCATATTCCCGTAATCCGCGCCTAACATGTAAGGCGTCCAGAATGTTGCACCAAAGGCAAATATACCATAGAATACTGTTGTGTTGGCTTGTCCGAAGGTGCGAAGTGACACGCTGTGCATCTCCACAGAAGATAGATTGGCACTCGCAGCAATAGTCCCACCAAAGACAAAAGCCCACAAGCACAAAAGAACAACCGTCACTATCTCGGCATTTTCATTCATTCCAAGAGCGGTGCTCACAGAGGAAAGAGTGAGCATGCAGACAGCCATGACAATATAGCCCCCAAGCATGGCAATTCTCCTTCCACCGTATTCAACAATGAACGGGCCAAAGAACGATCCTCCTAGGATGCACAAGCCAATGATGACATTGATCAAATATGGGTCGCTGATGCCAACTCCTTTAAGGAACAGTGTAGCGTATGGTTGTACAAATTGGATACCAGTAATGGCGATTCCAACCATGATCATGGCAGATGTCAAGGTGCGAACGATATGCTTCTTGCGGTAAATATCAAAGTAAGAAACGGATTTGAGAATTGCACGCTCGGTCGCAAGATTGGTTCTGATATAACCGATCTGCTCGGTGATTTCCGGCGAATATGGACTTTGGCTGTATAGCACACCGAAGGATTTCCGCGCTTCTTCCTCTCGGCCATGTCCCATGAGCCAGCGCGGTGACTCAGGAAGCATCAAGATACCAGCACCAAGAATAACCCCCAGGGGAATTTGGCATAGAATGGGTGTCTTCCACTGCCAGTCGTTTGTTGCTTCCAGACGAGCAGAACCCGCACACACAGCAAAAGCAGCAACATTCCCCCCGGCGAGTCCAACATTATACAACCCTAAAGACAAGCCGCGCTTGTTGGCGACGATGCACTCGGAACCATAAGTGACACTGGCTGCCATCAGCTGTCCAATTCCTACAGCACTGATCGATCTGCAGACCATGTAGCGCAAGAAGCTTCCACTGGTGCCAAGCATTCCAGCGGCGCCGATAATAGCCAATGTGCATCCAGCCTGGATTGACCCCCTGCGCCCAATGCGTTGACCGGTCACACCCGCAATGCCGCCTCCAATGGCAATGAACAGGAAGTTGAGGCTGATGAGGGATTGTTGTAGTGGTGTCAACGAACAATGCTGGATTTCGGCATATGTTTTTGGGTCTATTACTTGCTCGCAGCTTCCAAATGCGTGCTTGTAAGAAGGCATTACCAGGACCGTGCCGGCGTAGCCATTGTCAAAATTGGAGATCCATGCGGCAAACGAGACCCATAATGAGAGGCGTAACATCGATCCGGTCGTGCTCGGAGCATTATTTGTGGTAATTTGCTGGGTAGTGGAATTGATGAGCGTGTCATTAGAGCTAGACTCGGGCTCTATCTTTGGGGTTAAGTTTTGCAAATTCATGTCGGGCAAGTTTTGAGTAGAAAAAATGAGAGTCTTGCTTGCTGCGTTCAGTTCATGGCTATTTACGATGAATATATGGACCGTAGGGCGGGGTATATATGAACTCTTTAGCTGGAGCTCCTGCATGCTACATTCCAGACCCGCAGCCTACGTACGCCACTATATCAGAAAGAATGTGAGACATGATGTCCACCAATAAGGAGGCTGCTAGTTCCCAGCCCTGAGATACCGATGGAAAGATCAGAGGTAGCATAGACTATAATATAAAATATCCCGAGATTTCGTTGTTTCTATGGTTGCATCCAAAGTACATAATTTGTCAAGAGGTTGAGGATCATCGGATCTTATTGACCTTACCGATAATTAGGGTCGTCCCGCACCGAAAGTAACATAGGTCCCACATATTAAGCATCATGCAAGATTTCAATGTCAACTCAAAATTTCGGGGCATCACATTTTGAGAATTTGCCTTCGATACAGCGAACCATCGCAAACCCGAACGCCTTACACTCAAGAATGGAGAACGGAATCACGCTCCTGAAAAAACATAAAACAAAAAAAACAGCCCTTTATGACCCGGCTTGTGAGGGGTATTATAGGGATGCATCACTGCACCGAAACCTGCCGTCAGGATAATCTGGTATGCTGGACCAGACCCGCTTCTTTTCTGATATTTACTACGCTTGTTATATTTGTCGACCATATAGTATATAACACGGTTCCCTGCTAATTAGGTTTGAAGGGAATATACAAAGTCCATGGCTGCTTCTCTAGATCTATAAAAATGGCACGTGGGAAGGCAAGCGCATTACACATTGTTTGGAGGTTGGCGGCAGAGGCTTTTGGTGGCTGCGGTCGCATTAAACTCGCCAAATCATGGACGCCCAGAGTAAAACACTTTAAGCTGAGACCTACCTGAGACCATTCGTTCTCAATGTCGTGATCCGGTACCTCCAGATAGGGCATAGTTCCGGTCACGTGCCAGACCAAATAACACGACGCTCCACCAAAGACCGGGGGAACCGCCGACAACTGAAGATGGAACTCAAGACCGTTTTGATCCTCACTGCGATATATATTGGTAAGTACTGCCACGCACCATTTCCTGCGATCTCAACCAGTGTCCGACAATAGCTTTGGACCACATCCAACAGAAACAAACAACCAAACACTAACCCCTCATAAGCTGTCCGCCTCTTCTTTAAGTCACGCAACTCGAGCCCAGCAGCAACCATGTCTCACGGAAAGGTCACCGAGATCGACAAGTAAGTCATTCTTGGTTCTGTGCTCGGTATATTCAATACTAATATCCGCCCAATAGCCAAGTCATCTTCAAAGCCCTCACCTCCTCCGGCCCCGTCGTCGTCGACTTCTTCGCAACCTGGTGTGGACCATGCAAGGCCGTAGCTCCCGTTGTCGGCAAGCTGAGCGAGCAGTACACAAACGTTCGTTTTATTCAGGTCGATGTCGACAAGCTGCAAAGTGTCGCTAAGGAACTGAGCGTGAACGCTATGCCCACCTTCGTGGTGTTCAAGGATGGCAAGGAGGTCAACCGCGTCGTTGGCGGTGACATGAAGAAACTCGAGGCGCAGATTAAGGAGATCTCCGCATAGACGCTTTGCGCTTTGACTCGGTCTATGGGTAGCCTTTGAGAATCTCAAAGCGCATCCATCCACTTATACCCGGGGAATTGTATGGTTGTTTATCAGTATAATCAGTGTAACTCACGAATCATGAATCGAAACTGTGACATAATTCTATGCAAGTAAACGTATCAATTGACGTTGCACCATGCACACCTCGAGATAAGGATCACTGTTATCAATTGATTCCGCTGAGCGTCCTATTTCGACCTGGACTTGGGCATTAATACATATGCACCGGATTTTAGGCCGCACGAGACAGCTTTCCCTTTCTGTTTTAGTGCCCATCGCTTGCCGCCCTTTGATCACTGAGTAAAATAGAGCACGGTCTGGAGCCCTGTAGGCCCTGGCGGCTAGGTATAGGTACCTAGGGACTATCTCGGACCTATACGTGCACCTATACAGGGTGTCTCGAAAATGGTGTCACAAACTTTTAAAATACCTGGTTGCAGTATTTTTCCAATTGCCTTGTGACTAAAATAAGCTATGAAAAGTAGAATTAGAAATTAAAAAGCTAATTGAGTTCAAGGCCACCTCAAAATCTCCAAGAGAACGCCTCTCAATTGTCGGCAGCCTGAAATTCAACATCCACAGAATTCGTGTACCGAATCAACTGCGGACTCAAACTAAATGCCGTGGAAGCACCTGAATCAGAGTCCAAGTTGGAATCAGGGTCGGGGAATACAACCGGTGGAGCTATGTTAGACTGAGCCACATGTTGTTGCTGCATTTGCTGCATTTGCTGAGGTTGCTGCATTCCCTGAATCCTCATCTGGTTCTGCATATATGGATTGTACAGCCCAGAATTCATTCCAAACCGTACTCCGCCCGCTGACTCCCTGATATCCACCGCTTCGACTACTCGTCCAATGACCCTAGAGTAGTCGTTTGCTTTTCGGACGGCGTCGCTCATTGCCTCCGTGCGAGCTTCGGAACTCAGGGCCTTTTGGGTGGCCTCGGTAAGATACCAATCCAGGGACAGGATCTCGACATTAGGGTAAGAAATCAGCTTTCCGACAATCTCGTCAAGCTTCTTGAAGTCCTGGAAGACTGCGTTGAGCGACAGAGTCGCATAGTAGACTGTAGGTAGAGGATTGCCCGACTTATTCATCGGTACTTGAGATCGTGTTTGTAGCGAGGTGGAAGAGAAAGAGGTCACTGGTGAGCCTGCGATTGTTTCGCCGGTCTCCGTTTTGGGGGACAGATCTTTGAAAAGCCGGTTGATCTCATTGGATGTCTCGCTCACCTCCTTGGACACGCTTTCTCGGTTTGGCCCACTCGCCTTGACGATGAAGTTGAGGGCACCGCGTTCCGGCTGCCGGGTGATGGACGATGTTCCATTCAACACGATCTTGAGTGGGGCCATTTTGTTTTGGAAGTTGCAAAAGAGAAGTTGTCTTATTTAGAGGCAGATATGTGCCTTTAGTACCAGAAAGTGGATTGGTGGTTGACGGAGCCGCATTGCGGGGTACTGACCGCTTTCCAACTTCTACCTCTTGTTGCTACAAGCACTAAATGCGGGAGAGAGAAAAGGAAGAATCATGATATATTCAATCTAGCAAAAGCAGGGTATTTATACCTTGAGAAACAAACAAACTGCTCAGTCTGAAGCCTGGACAAAGCCTGGCCTGATTGTCTGGACAATCAGGCATCAATGGGATGATCCAACACTACCTACTGTTTGCACTCGTGGAACTGTCTGTTGCCAAATAATAGCCCCCAGGTTGTTAGACAAGAGAGTGGCAGAGACCCGTCTGACAGACACAAGTTGCAGGTCCTCTTGTTGTGTTTGACTTGTTTGCATTGGGAATATCGATAGTACGGTAAAGCCAGGGGTTGTGGAGCATTCTCAGACGACGCGAAAATCCCGCAGTGATATATCTATAGACCTGTGGACCTAAACTCATGGTGCATTATCAAACGCTGATTTAATTTTCTCTCAGACCATTTTTTCTATAACATATATTCAACATGTCATGCAGCGACTGCTCCTCGGACAAAACCTCAGATAAACCCTCAGACACGTCCAAGTCTAGCCAAGACCATGACGGGTCCCTTCTACAAAGGCTCTTTCAGTTAGTCGTCAGATATCTACCAGAAGGATCGGCATTGCTTTCATCTTCGTGTTGTTGGCTGCCAGTATGTTCTTTTCCATGTTACTTGGCTGTTGAATGCATATGCTAAGTTTATAGACTGTCCTCGATTTTCTCTTTGCGGGTTCGGTGGCCACTGCTGGAATCGAGAAACTGCGAAATGCTTTTCTAGCGATTTCCATTCTGACCCTTATTTGGGGCGTGTGGCGCGAGGGACTTAGTCGTCGAATGGTGTGGCGGATTGCGATCTGTGTCGGGTTGTCGGCTTGGGAGCAAGTGAATCAGTGGGGAAAGGTCGATAGCAAGGGGCAGCACAGCTGCCATTAATGGACGACGGTTTTAGGACGAAGAATCTTGCTTTTTTTCGTTTCTTTTTTCATACTGCTAGTGTGAGTGTCGAGACTGATGTAATGAATTATCAATAAAGCGCGAATCTTGCTCGGCAGATTCCCAGACTGACCTAAACAGGTCCAAAGGGAAGTATTATCTATTGCTCGAACTGGTCGGAAGCAGTATTCGATAGTACAGGTACTACTATATACAAAAAGTCCCCAATGAATCAAGAGTGACCTGCAATTTCCCAGGGCCGTTAAACAGACTGAGCAACCCCGTCCGCCTCCCCGCTGCGCACGTTCTTGCCCTTCGCCTTAATAGTCTCTAACACGGTTTCGTAGGGCAGAGAAGGATCAGCCACCATGTAGACGGTTTGCTCTTCCAGGGAAATGGAGGAATTCTTCACGCCTGCACCGCACAAAATGAAGACGTTAGTGCTCAAATTATAATCATGATATAATGACAGCGCTGGACTCACCGTTGAGGGCTTTTATAGCTTCGTCGACGGCCCTGGAGCAGCCATTGCAGCCCATCTGGACGTTAAACTTATACTGGCGATCCGACATGGTTTCGATGGTGGGATTTCCGATATTGATGGAAATGAGAGAGAGAAAGATGACTGGAGTAGCGAATATGTATTTTTGAGCGAGGCTGCAGTTGAATTGTCCAAAATAGCAATTAGTGAATAAATCGGCGCCAATTTGTCTTCTCTCTCCCACCAACCCCCTTCATGCGGCATTTATGCGCAAAGTGCTCTGATTGATGCCGGCTGGGTCTCGGTGCCGGCCCACTGCGCGAATTGTGCGATTCGTAACTTGCAATTTGAAAACGCCCGTCCACTAATCACCATGTATTGCATATGATTGTCCTCCCTTCACCGCGGGATCACGCCGTGGATCAGTTCTTGTGCATTCCGTCGCGTGTAATCTAGCTCGGCAGCGGTCCAGTCCTGTTCTGATAGCAATTGGAAGAAGCCCGGTCAAAAGCAACGTAGTTCAAGCTCTACCAGTAGCTAATTGGCGGCTGCAACGCATCAGCCATTGCGGTCAGCCTAGACGAAGGACTTCCAGACGTCCAGGCCTACGTGGAAGCGGGCCGGTCTCAATACTTTGGGCTGTCTGGTCGACTGTGCTGTTGGCGACTTCTTCGCCATATGGATATTTCAAACCTACTATCCTATCTTGGGATGGGAACCATCATGACGGCTTCCAGGGATTGTCGATATTAAATAAATTTTGTTACTTGCGCTAGTATCCCTGGATGGATCCCTGGATGGATCAGATAATAAGTGATCCACTTGTCACGTGATTAGGCTATCCTTTGTTCTTTCTTTTTAGCTGCAAGGTGAGTGTCCAGACTACCCATCTAGGTAGGTATGCTGTGAAATACCTAGTGAGAAGGACCTTTATAAAGCAGCGGTACCCAATTTAAAAGATCGCGATCGCTTAAAATCCAGGATATAGAGCGACATATTTACGGATAATTTTGCGGAAATACTAAGAGCATTGATTGGTCTAGAAACCCCGAATATGCAAGGTGGCGCATCTCCTGCACGTGGGATGCTACCCTGTACAGACATGGATTGTGTGTTCGCCCAATGTATCAAGTGGGTCTATGAGATGAAACTGCTTCCAAGGTCAAACGTGTCACATCCTCGATTGGCCTTCTATGGAGCTTTGGACATGAGAAAAATGTGTGTCACTCACCCGAAGATATCCCGGGGCTAACCAGATGAGTGCTGGCGCAACTGGCCCAGGAATAAATTGATTTTGCCGATTCTCTCTGATTTTGTGAAGGGAGAAGATATTTCAAGGTTATTAAGTTGCCTAAGTGTAAGGCCGCGTTCGTTATCTACATGCCTTAAGGGCATATGGTCATGATGCTAAACCACAACCTATGTACCCCGTACACATCAGGCAATATGCGGATGGTTCGTGTCCTCACGATATTGAAAACCGGATCTCCATTCAGGGTCTATCCCTGTTCAGTATATTGTCTTTGCCTATACCCCGTAAAGTGGAGGGCACTAATTGGCTGTTCTCCACAACCCCGGATCGATAAACGCGCCCTACCCTTTGCTCTAGAACGAGATCTCTGCAAGATTTGATGGAATTTATAATCAGAACTGCAAAGTGGTCATGAGTCACCACGAGTCATGTCAACTAGATTTTTACGCTTTAACCCCGTTTAGGAGCCCGTCTTCTTGGCATCTTCAAATCTGGTCACTCCACCGCGGAATATGCCGTCCCTAGGATTGCCCCCCACATTAGTTCGGGCTTTGGAGGATTTTGCTTGGACGCAATTTCCTTCCGAAGCCTAAGATCCAACACCGCTATTTTCATTATTTCTGAAAAACATATAGTTCCAGGGTTTGGTGGAGCCTAGGGAGGCGTTGAGATATTACCCGACTTAAGCCAAGGATCCTTCGGGCTTAGCCTCTTCGCTATCTTCTAGCTTCTTTTTTTTCTTCTCTAAGAGCTTTGTTTCAGGGGCTTCAGACGTTGATAGAATTTCACGTTCTGTTCTTTTGTACCTCCCCAGGAAGTAATTCAATAATTCAACAAACTCTTGGGGAAGTACCCGTGGACGTGCCCGCGGAGAGTTTATACGGGATCGGCCCTCGGCACACCTTAAAATCTTCCACACCTTAAGATCTTTAATGGAAAACATCGAGTCGGACCACAAGCTGACCATGGCGGAAACCAGCAGCAAATCAGATGCGGATACCCTGGATTCAAACAGCTATGGACGCCAGCTGGAAGAAATTCGCATCGCCAACACGCCGGCCGATACCTCATTCCAGACGGGTGTCGATGTTACGACCGCCGAGAAGGACTTTTCGGAGTTGAGCAAACAATTCTCCAGCATCTCACACCAAGCCCAGAGATTATCTAAACAAGAATCACGAGCATCCAAGATGGGAGTCACCACTAAAGATATCGAGAAAGCTGAAGGTTCTACTGGATCGGATGATTCATGGGATCTGGAGACGACTCTCCATGGTGATCGTGTCGCCTCCGAAGAGGCTGGAATCAAAGATAAGCACATCGGTTGGTAGACCCCCACATTCAGAAAACAAACAAGTACTGACTGTCTTCTCAGGTGTGATTTGGGACAACTTGTCAGTTCGTGGAATGGGCGGCGTCAAGACATATATCAAAACATTCCCAGATGCAATCATCGATTTCCTCAATTTACCAGGAACACTCATTGACCTCTTCGGGTTGAGAAAGAAAGGCCAAGAGTACAACATCTTGGAAGGTTTCCGGGGTCTCACACAGCCCGGTGAGATGGTCTTGGTCCTTGGGCGTCCCGGATCAGGCTGTACGACTTTCCTCAAAGTGATCGCGAACCAACGGTTTGGATACACCGGGGTGGATGGTGAGGTCCTCTATGGTCCTTTCGACTCGGATTCGTTCTCCAAAAGATTCCGCGGAGAAGCCGTATACAATCAAGAGGATGATATTCATCAGCCTACCTTGACTGTGAAACAAACCCTTGGATTCGCCCTCGACACAAAGACCCCTGGAAAGCGCCCATTTGGTGTATCGAAAGCCGAGTTCAAAGAGAAAGTGACTAATTTGCTTCTGAAAATGTTCAATATTGAGCACACTGCCAACACTGTGATTGGCAATCAGTTTATCCGTGGTGTCTCTGGAGGTAAGCAATTTGTTTTAGATGTGCAGCTCCATGGGATTGAAGCTAATTAGAACAGGTGAGCGGCGTCGCGTGTCGATTGCAGAAATGATGATCACCTCTGCGACTGTATTGGCTTGGGATAACAGCACTCGTGGTCTGGATGCCTCAACTGCCCTCGATTTCGCCAAGTCCCTGCGGATTTTGACCAACATATACAAAACAACAACTTTCGTGTCACTCTACCAAGCGTCCGAGAACATCTATAAACAGTTCGACAAGGTCCTTGTGATTGACAATGGCCGTCAAGTATTCTTCGGTCCTACATCCGAAGCACGAGCATATTTCGAAGGCCTCGGCTTCCGCGAAAAACCTCGTCAGACCACTCCCGACTACTTGACAGGATGCACTGACCCTTTCGAAAGGGAGTTCAAAGATGGAAGAAGTGCCGACGATGTGCCATCCACGCCACAAGCCCTAGTCGAAGCCTTTGACAAATCCGTCTTCAGTGAAACGCTAGACCAGGAAATGAAATCATACCGCGACCAGATTCAGAAGGAAAAGAAGGTATACGACGATTTCGAGATCGCCAACAAAGAGGCAAAGCGCAAGTTTACCTCTGACTCATCTGTCTACTCGATCCCTTTCCACCTGCAAACCTGGGCTTTGATGCAACGGCAGTTCCTCCTCAAATGGCAAGATAAGTTTGCCCTGACTGTCTCTTGGGTTACCTCTGTTGGTATTGCCATCATCTTGGGTACTGTATGGCTCGACCAACCCAAGACAAGCGCCGGTGCCTTTACTCGAGGAGGTCTTTTGTTCATCAGTCTGCTATTCAACGGCTTCCAAGCATTCTCGGAACTTGCAGCCACAATGATAGGCCGTTCAATCGTCAACAAGCACCGCTCATTCACGTTCTACAGACCTAGCGCACTTTTCATTGCGCAGATCATTGTGGACACTGCGTTTGCCATTGCAAGAATTCTCGTCTTCAGTATCATCGTGTACTTTATGTGCGGACTGGTTCTTGATGCTGGGGCGTTTTTTATATTTGTTTTGATTATCCTCGAGGGCTATGTGACAATGACAGTCTTCTTCCGAACTGTCGGATGTCTGTGTCCTGACTTCGATTATGCCATCAAGTTCGCATCCGTCATTATCACATTCTTCGTTTTGACATCCGGATATCTTATTCAGTGGTCTGGCGCTCAGGTGTGGCTGCGATGGATTTACTTCATCAACCCCTTCGGTCTTGGGTTCGCTGCATTGATGGTCAACGAGTTTAGGCACCTTACTTTGACATGTACGACAGACTCACTCGTGCCAACTGGAGCTGGTTATAGCGACATTGCGCACCAGGCTTGTACCCTAGCGGGAGGCCACCCTGGTTCAGCAATCATCTCGGGTTCCAACTACATTGCACAAAGCTTCAGTTATCTTACTGGGGATCTTTGGCGAAACTTTGGCATTATGATTGCTCTGATTATTGGTTTCCTCTGTTCGAACTTGTATTTCGGGGAAACACTTCAATTCGGTGCAGGCGGCAAAACCATCACTTTCTACCAGAAAGAAAATGCTGAGCGAAAAGAGCTAAATGAGGCATTGATGCAGAAAAAAGCAAACAGACAGGCAAAGACTTTGGAGGCTGATGCAGGATCAAACCTCAAGATTACCTCCAAGTCCGTGTTCACCTGGGAAGACGTCTCTTACGAAGTGCCTGTACCCTCCGGCACCCGGCGTCTTCTGAACTCTGTTTACGGTTATGTTCAGCCTGGAAAATTGACCGCACTCATGGGAGCATCTGGTGCAGGAAAGACAACGCTGCTGGACGTTTTGGCGGCACGGAAGAACATTGGTGTTGTCACCGGCGATATTTTCGTCGATGGCAAGCCTCCAGGCACCGCGTTCCAAAGAGGGACATCCTACGCAGAGCAACTTGATGTTCACGAGGACATGCAGACGGTACGAGAAGCGCTGCGTTTCTCTGCGAATCTGCGCCAGCCATTCGAGACGCCTCAATCGGAAAAGTACGCCTACGTGGAAGAGATCCTGACCCTCTTGGAGCTGGAGAACCTCGCAGATGCAATCATCGGCACACCTGAAACTGGCCTTTCGGTCGAAGAAAGAAAGCGAGTCACAATCGGCGTCGAACTGGCGGCGAAGCCTGAGCTGCTTCTATTTTTGGACGAGCCTACCTCTGGTCTGGATGGCCAATCTGCCTGGAACATTGTTCGTTTCCTTCGGAAGCTAGCGGCAGCAGGCCAGGCTATTCTCTGCACCATCCACCAGCCGAACTCCGCTCTCTTCGAAAGCTTCGATCGTCTGCTCCTACTCCAAAGAGGAGGTGAATGCATCTACCACGGTGACATTGGCCATGACTCCCAGATCCTGCTAGAATACTTCCGTCGCAATGGAGCCGACTGCCCCGTGGATGCCAACCCGGCTGAGTGGATGCTTGATGCCATTGGCGCTGGCCAAACACGTCGGATTGGAGACCGTGACTGGGGCGACATTTGGCGCACTTCTCCTGAACTGGATCAAGTCAAAGAGGAAATTATCCAGATCAAGGAAAATCGTGCTCAGGCCGTTCGGGATAATCGTGACGAGAATAAGGTGGATAGAGAGTATGCTTCACCTCTCTGGCACCAGATCAAGGTCGTCGGCCGGCGAACGCATCTATCATTCTGGCGCTCAAGAAACTATGGTTTCACAAGGCTTTACACCCATGTTGTGATTTCCATCATCACGGGTCTTGTATTTTTGAACCTCGATGACTCTCGATCCTCGCTACAATACCGCATCTTCGTCATTTTCAACGTCACCGTCCTCCCAGCTATCATTCTCCAAATGGTTCAACCGCGATACGATATGGCACGTCTAATCTTCTACCGCGAATCAGCATCAAAGACATACAGCCAGTTCGCCTTTGCACTGTCAATGGTAGTCGCCGAAATCCCCTACAGTCTCTTGTGCGCCGTCTGCTTCTTCCTGCCTTTATACTACATCCCTGGATTCCAGACCGAGTCCAGCCGAGCCGGCTACCAATTCCTCATAATCCTCATAACGGAGATGTTCTCCGTGACACTAGGCCAGATGATCTCAGCTCTGACTCCAAACAGCTTCATTGCGTCTCAGCTCAACCCACCCATCGTGATTATCTTCTCTCTATTCTGCGGCGTCGCAATCCCCAAGCCGCAGATGCCCGGCTTCTGGCGTGCATGGTTGTACGATCTCGACCCCTTCACTCGTCTTATCGGCGGAATGGTCGTGACAGAACTGCAGGGCCGGGATGTGGTTTGCGCAGAGTCGGAGTTGAATCTTTTCAATGCCCCTGACAATCTCACCTGTGGCGAGTACATGAAGCCATTCTTTGATCGCGGTGGTAAGGGATACATTGTCGATGATGCGGCGCAGGCTTGCAAGTACTGTGCGTTCAAGGTTGGAGAGCAGTTTTACGCGACGTTCAATATGTCTTTTGATAACAGGTGGCGGGACCTGGGCATCTTCGCTGCGTTTATTGTGTCCAACTTGATCATCTTGTTCCTCGCGGTAAGTGGATATATTCTCTATCTTGGTTGTATATTAGTGATTGTGATTGTGATTGTGATGCTGATTGATTTTCATACAGTCTCGCTTCCTGAACTTCAACCGGCGATAAACACATCCATGTGCAGCGGCATATGGTCTCCAATCCCCGTCAAAATTTGGCTAACCGTTAAGTATCTTTGCGTAGAAAGTCTTTCCCATCCAAACTGCAATGTGTGGTTTAAAATTTAATCAAAAATGCACTAGTTTTTTCTTCTTTATAATATCGATAACTCCTTACTCTGAGTCCCTAGAAGTAATCCACATCGTAGAGACCCTAGAATCTTCACTCCTCGTGGAAGACGACCGGAAGAAGTATGTCAGAGGCTGTATAAAAGCCTATTCAGAACTGCAGAAACTCACATATATTCACCGAAAGGACACATAAATAGATACATTTCAAAGCCCTGACACCTCTATAAGCCTTGCTCAAACACTGTACATAGAGTCAGCTCTATTAGTGTTGTCCCAGGCAGACCCGTGAAATATCAAATCGCATCTGTAGGTCTCCATCATACTGCCAAGTAAGAATTTGGATAATGCGACGCGTACCCCTAGGAAAAGCCCCCAAGACAAGGGCGCCAACAGCTTTCCCCAACGGCGTTCCCATGATTTCCTAATAATCATCAGTATCGTACAGCCATGTCCTCAGTTGAGCATCTCCAGCAAGCTCAAGCTCATATCTCGGATAAAGCACCTTATCCACAAAAGTATGTGTCTCCTCCAGTCATCAGCGCCGCAAAGGTCAGGCCACACACGGGCCGATAGCCATCCGAGCCCCATATAGTACTCTCCCCCAGATCCTTTCTTTTTTTACCCCTTCACGAAATAGTCTTCTCCTTCTCTCAGCCTCTGCTTCTTCTCTCTTATTCAAGACCTGTTAGGAACCACAATGTCTGTCTCTCCTCCGCTTTTTGTGGAATTTGTCGCATATTGACCCTTTTTCTCCTAGGAATTCTACCGTGCTGCCCCCCGGCACCTATTGGGGCCAATATCAGGATATCACCAAATCCAATACCCACCTGAGCGTGGCAGAGAGATTGTGGGTCGCATGGTATGCGTGGGTGCAGAATGATGTCCTGGCCACTGGCATCATGTCCTTCGTCATCCACGAGTTGTTCTACTTCGGCCGCTCTCTTCCGTGGATCTTCATCGATAGCTTGGGTTTCTTCAACAGATACAAGATCCAAAGTGTAAGTCGCAAGCCTAACACCTGGCACTAGCCGAAATCAACCTAATTCCAGCCGCCATCGAAACTAACATTCTGCTTCAGAGCAAAGTACCTTCATTACGCGAGCAATGGGATTGCGCCAAGTTTGTGCTTCTGAGCCACTTCACCGTCGAACTTCCTCAAATCTGGTATGTTCCTGCCCTCGACGGAGTGGTATTCTACCGGACGTTTGCCTCTCGGGCCTAATTGAGTAGTTAACGGCTCTTCTAGGCTTTTCCACCCAATGGCCCAGTTCTGCGGTCTATCAACATCGATTCCTTTTCCGTCTCCCTGGACTATGACATATCAGATTGCAATATTTTTCGTGATGGAGGACACTTGGCACTATTTTTTCCACCGAGCTCTTCATTGGGGTCCACTCTACAAGGCTATTCACAAAATTCACCATCAGTATTCCGCACCATTTGGTTTGGCCGCCGAATATGCTTCTCCTATTGAAGTGATGATTCTCGGCTTCGGGACCGTCAGCTCCCCGATCCTCTGGTGTGCTTTCACCGGTAACCTGCATATTCTCACTATGTATATCTGGATTGTGTTGCGCTTGTTCCAGGCTATCGATGCCCATAGTGGCTACGAATTTCCTTGGAGTCTTCACCATTTCTTGCCTTTCTGGGCTGGTGCTGATCATCACGACCTCCACCATGAGAAATTCATTGGGAACTACTCAAGCAGCTTCCGCTGGTGGGACTACCTCCTTGACACCGAATACACTCCGGATGCCCTGAAGCGCCGAAGAGGGAAAAAGGTGAAGGCAAACAAGACACAATGATCTGAACGTTAGCAGTGACGGTCTGCCTATTTTCTCTTCAATTTGGGCGTTGGCTCTGTCTGGAGCTATTTACCTGATAGATGATAGCCTTTCTTATGGTACCCAGTCCGTTGCGACCCCATACCCCTTGCGGGTATGGGGTCGCCACCATCTAATTGAATTCACCATATAATTGAATTTCTGTTCAACGCAGCAAATATTTTTTGAATATTCTCAACAACCACGACCCCAATAATTACACAAAAAGAACCAAAATACTACCAGATAATATCTGCAAGTGGATCCAAATTTAACCCGATTGGACCAAGCGTAGGCGTAGGAGTGAGCAGTATACACATGACCTGGCAGGCTTCCAGTTCATGCATCACAAGTCTGAAGTTCTCGATCTCGATCTCCAAGACGATGAAGTAGTCTCTTCGAAGTATTACGAGGAGGTTTCCAGTCTCGTGAAGATCATGTCAGATTCTGGCTTGCGATTCTTTGAGCATAACGCTGATTCCAGTACAGGACAGGGGCTAGCTTTGCTCATTGCTACATGCACTTCCTTCGGGCCTCGAATTACGATAGTCGGCCAAAGACCGACAAATTCATCATTCCCCCAGCACATGCCGTCCATGTCGACTACAGTTATAACGACGCCCCGGAGTACATACGCACCTTGCCAGAGCGACCTCCAGACTGGGAACGTCTCTCTCGATTCCGATGGGCAATCTTCAGCTGCTGGCGACCGGTGAAAAAAGTGACCCGTGATGCACTTTGCCTTGGAGACAAGAGGACTATCCCAGACAGGGACTTGATAGATGGCAGTACTGATATGCCCGTGAATGGTCGGCAAAGGAGGACGGGTTTGTTTTCGGTCAACCACAACTCCGCGCACAGGTACTATTACAAGAAAGAGATGGGACCAGAGGATGTGCTTTGGATCAAACTTTACGACAGTAAGACTGATGGAAGAGCGAGGTGTTCACCGCATTCGTGAGTTCATCTGGTCTCGATCTGCAAAGTCGATGCTGACGGGTCTGTTGCAGGGCATTCAATACGGCCAGTGACTATGGTGAGGCCAGACAGAGTATTGAGACCAGATGCATAGTTGTATGGGAAGACGAATCGTTGCACTGAGAGCCCGGTGCCACATGAAATTCTGCCTTTTGGAAGTCGCTCGCTTTTCAACACGCGTACACTGATAGTATCTAAAATATGCGCCGAGACAAATGCCGCTCCATATCCCATTGACAGTGCTAAGGCTGCACTTTGGTATCTCACAGGGGTAGTAGCCAATAAAAACTCGCAATATTCAAGGTACATAAGCTACCACCTAATTTACACTATGATATAAGTCCCAACAATTTCCCGAGTTACAAAGAGCTACATTGCAAGTCTGTCAGCCCCACCTAGTCTGCCGCGCTGCTTTCCGACGATTGAGGGCATCGTCGTTCAAGGCCCCTAGAGCTGTGCGTTGACTTTGTGACCGCGGCTGGCCTAAACTGTGGCCTTGGCAAGCTAGGCAGCGCACGGCACTTCCAAAGGGAGACTGCGACAGGCAGTGCCACTACCTCCCAAGATAGCACACCAGCTGCTCGGCCAGCGGATCGACCGGTCCAACCGGCCCGAGCCGCTCCAACCAACAGATCAAGCCAGACGAGCCGACCGGCTCAATCTGACCGACGGGCTCAGTGGCCGGCCGGTCAGAAAAACCTGCCAGTGCTGAACCAAGCACCGGTTATCCAGCAGCGAGCTACAAGCAAGGAGCCAGAGCGACCCGCTCAATCGAGCGCCCAAACGAGCCCGGTTCATCCAGCTCGCTTAGCGCTGATCGCGCATCTTGTTTGCGATCGCTGCGATCCGAAGCTGGTTGATACATCAAGCAGACGTCAAGACCGCTTTTCTCAACAGCACTCTCCCGAAGCCCGTGCATATGCAAGCCCCGAAGGGTATTGACCTTCCACGCGGTATGCTTCCGGGTACTTCGAGCGATCTATGGCCTTAAACAATCCCCTCGACAGTGGTACCAGACGTTCAAGGTCACCATGGAAAGCTGGGGTGGGCGGATATCCGCATATGACCCAGCACCGGGCTCATTCTTCAACTGCACGTCGACGATATGATCATCTTTGGCAGCGATCTACAGGCTATCCTCTCGCTAAAGGCTCAGATCGGAGAAACCTTTCGAATGACCGATGAAGGCCAGTGCTCCTGGTATTTGGGCATGCACGTGGAGCAAAAGCCCGGAGACATAAAAATACACCAGAAACAGAATGTCGACCAGATTTTGGCTAAGTACGACTTTGAGAATATCACGCCCGCTTACACGCCCGCGCGTGGCAAACTCACGAAACATTACTGCGGCCAGCGAGCGACGTCCATTCCTCCCACCAAACGGATTGCATGCACTGGTCATTGATCAGCGCCAGTAACAAGCCGGATGCTGATTCAAGTAGTATGGAGAAGCACTTCTCGTAGGGAAAATGCAAAATATGTAAATGCTTAGGCGCTGCTGTATATTTAGCTACGCGGCATGAGAACAGGCCTTCATGATGGAGTCAAAGAGCGGGTGTCCCCCAATAACCCATCAAACACATGTGCACATGTCAATCGAAAGTGATCAAAATCGTATGCCTGACCTGATGGCTTGTAAGTCTAGTCCGAAGATGATCCAACTGTATGAGTTCCTTCTTTTCTATCAGATTATTGTGTGGTGGCTGTGATCTTGACTTGGCTTGGGTGAGCGGGACACCGCCTTGATTATCACAAAGGGATTTGTTGTCGGATTCTGCCTGCGTGTGATGGTGCTCCTCGCGCCTAAGCTTTGGCCTTTGATTGCTTGGGGAGATTGGGGAGAATCTGGTCGTATAGTCTTTTCTAGCCTTTTATTTGCTCTATTGCCATCACAATCTTCACTAGACTCTTTAGTAAGATTAGTATAAGCGAAGGGTTCGTTCTTTGTCTCCAGCTCGTCTATAGAGAGATCAGGTGAGTCCAGTTGAAAATGTGCTTGGTTGTAAGACTGGCATCTATCCTCTATGCTAAGTCCGATAGGCTTGAGGATCCGGGGCTCTATGACATTAAGATCTGGAGTTATTGGCGGGGAGGTGAGTGAAGAACCTGTTGCAGAAGAGTAGGATATAACTGAGCTACCTCTACTACTTCCACTTGAAGTGTCTCTGACTTCCGAAATGTAATATCGTTCACGGCGTCTCTTAGGCCGATCCTTTAGCTTCAGAGAAGATACTTGCGGTTCTATCTTATAGGTACGCTTTCTCTTTCTCGGAAGCTTTGGATTTAACTATATGGCTTTGTTCAGCTTGTGGGTGTCATATAAATGATATTGAAGGCCACGCTTATCCGCGAAAGCTTGGCTATATCCGCAGATTTGCTTCGCTCCAGACCCCTGGTCTCCAAGCATATGCTTCTCTTCAATATGTTGCTTTAGATTTCCGCTTTTCGACTATTGATATAGTCGGTCTTCCGGTTCGAGATCCAGGTTTATGTCCCACAAGCAGAAGGGGCAATAGCCTGGCCGGATGACTGTGTGGCGGTATACAATCACTTCACAGTGCTGTGTTTCCCATGACTAAAGATGAAAAAGACAGTGATCTCGCTATTAACTTGATTGCAACTATTCCATGCACTCGTAACAAAATTTTAACTTTGATTCTGAGATTTAAATATCCAAAGCAATCTCACGTCGAACGCAGTTGTGAATGTGAGCACTTCTGTCGGCTTTTTTGAGACTAAGGATGTCAGCATTCATTTCAGCATTAGTTAATGGGGAAACTCACCTTTTGACATCTTCGTGGTAACCTCCAGCGGGGCAGCGACCTTGAATGGGGCTTTCACCTGGAAGATAAACAACATCAAAGTCCCGCGCACATTGACTTTTGAGATCTTGCACGAAAAGAAGCATTTCGTCAAAGGAGAGCTCTTTGGTATAAGACATCACTGTTGCGATTCGGGAAATCTCGGGTATAACTAAAGCCCATTCCTTAGGTTTTTAAGTATAGTAGCTAATGTCGGGGGGTAATTTTTTAATAAAGTTGGCCCGTTTCTAATTTCAAAAACAGGCGAAAAGTTCAATGTTACCTGGTTGAAGCCCGAAGATGTTGGCAAGGGGGATGTTCCCACCTTGAAGATTCTTGAAGGAAGTGGCATCCAGCCCGATGAACTTCTAGCATATAGTGTTTTTGGTTATCAACTTCATCTAGCCGAAGGCTTTGCTTTACCCGCTGAAGGTCGATTGGGGAACAAGTTTCCAGGTTTCAAGCCGAGGACTGTCAAATATTTCTTGAAGTTGGTTTGGGGGGCGCATGTCTACATAGTTGGCTAACCACGGATAACAAGACATTTTGTTTTCCTATGTGTACCAATACCAATCACACCAAACCTCACTCATCTCTGCTGTGGACTAGCTTTCCTTGAACCCACACATTCTTCACGTTCCGATCATCACCACTCCACATCCACTTCTGAATCTGTTCTTGCCAAGTCTCATTTCCAAACAAATCAACATTGCCAAAGGAACCAGTCTTAACAGCTCGACCAGCGAAAGCAGCCACATCAAGTGGGCTCGTGGTGCCGTTCGTCACATTCGCACCCAGCTCAATCAGCTGCGCATCCCAAATCATGCCCTTATCAAAGCCACCAATGTCATCCGCCATGTCGACGACTGCTGCCCCGCCACGGGTGGCTAGATATAGAACGTCATCAACCAAAAGCTTCTCACTTCCATCCGATGTCTTATTGCCTGTCAGCTCTTGGTACTCCGCACTATATTGAACCACTCGAGACACCAGGCTGGCCTGTCGGGCAACTTCAAGGATACTAGCGCTGTACCCGCCGGCCACATCCGTGCCTAGACCAACCGTGACGCCCTGGTCGAGCATGAAGCGGACAGGGGCAAGTCCTGACCCCAAGGCGGAGTTCGATGACGGGCAGTGCGCGACCTTGGAGCCGCGGTCGCGGATCAGAATCATTTCATCCTTAGTGAGATGCACACCGTGTGCGAGGATGGTACGGTTAGTAAGCAGGCCCGCGGTGTCATAGACATCAGCATAGCTGGATGACTCTGGGAACAGCTGCTGGACGAGTTTAACCTCGTCCATATTCTCGGAGATATGCGTTTGGATCCAGAGGGGCGGGTCATAAGATGCAGCCAGTTTGCCAAGGCCATCGAGGGAGTGTTTTGAGCAGCTTGGGGCAAATCTGGGGGTGACGATTGGGTTGATCAATGTTCCGTTCGGGTCCAGCTTATGGATATAATCGATGGTCCTGATTGTTGCGTTGAGGCCTTCATCGGCGGATTGGTCGATGTAATAAGACGGGCACAGGTCGGGGTTGTCCATGCAGACGCGGCCGATGAAGGCGCGCTGGCCGTGTTTGTGGCAAAGCGCTGCAAGAGCATTGGTGGCCGGGACGTGGATGGTGGCAAAGTAAGATGCACAAGTTGTGCCGTGGGCAAGAGACTTGGAAACAACTTCATCATAGACGCGGAGGCCTTCCGGGGGTGTGTCTTTGGGGTCGATGTCCTTGTTCCCTGGGTCCAACTTGGAGCCGAAGCTAGCTTCCACTGGGAAGGTGTATTCATTCAGCCAGTCCAGGAGGCCCTTTGATCCGAATAGCCCTAAGTTGGGGTACTGTGGCGCGTGGATGTGGGTATCAATGAATCCAGGGAAGAAGAACTCGTTCTGCTCATCATTGGACTGCACAATTGTAACATCGGCATCGGTCCAGCCGTGGCTAGATAGGAACGATTGGAAGCTGACATCGTCTTTGACTTTCCAATCATATCCTTTGATACGGCCATCAGCTGAAGAGACCCACAGCACACCTTGGGTTCGAGCGAGCTCCGGCTTGGCCGAGCTCGAATCGAGCTGGGGAAGCTGAACGAATGTACCACGATAGATGGTGTACGGGGTTGCTGCAACCATGGTGCCGCAGGCAACCAGGACTATAGAAGACAACCATGATGTAGACACCCCCACCGAAGATCCGAAGAGGTTTAGAAACATAATAAAAACGAATGTAGATCGATTCTCACTACTTGGATTGTCCCACCATATCGAGAACAACGCAGATTATATATGCTTATCAATTCTCTGGAAGTGAGCGGGGAATAATGAAGCACCAAGAAGCCGGCATCAGAAACCGATTAAACTGTGAAATTGATACATTGTGAATTGTGGTGGCTGCACCTGTCGCATTGGACTGTCATCGCCCGCGGTAGCATCGTCTGGCGATCGCTGAAACCATTTTAGGGTCTGGAAGATAGCAAAAACAAGATAGTTGACGATCGCAATCATCTTTGATTGTGCTTGGCTCGGTGTTCGGCCGCCTCCGACTGATTATGTATGCCTAACCGAGCCACCAGAAGGGCAAGTACAACAGGGGGAGCCGTATTTAACTCCCGCTCGGGCCTCGGCGGGCTCGTCCCCACCACAACTTTACCAATCCAATTTGATCTTTGACCAGCCTCAATCTTTTGTGCATCTGCAACAATCAATTCCTCTTCCTTTTCGTGTACGCACAAAATCCACATGCCCGCCGGCCGGCGCTCTCCCTCGACGCGAACAGGCTAACTGTTTGCCTACTACGCCTTCGCTATGCACCCAACTCGAGCTCCTGTTGAGCAGTTTCTTGGTTCCTAGTTTGAACGGTGACCGCCGATGACCGAAATTTTTACCCCGGATTTTTGACCCCGGATTTTCAAGCGACCATGGTGCATCAATGGTCAACATCTTGCATATAGATACCACTCTACGATATTATTATTGATATAATATTCGTGCAGGCGCTTGTCAAAAGGATTTGATATCACATTTCTCCCAATCCACTCTCTTCAATTTTTGTGTATCTCATTCCAGCATGGGCTTGAAGCCGTATCTTGGCCTTCGCGGCAATGCACTTCTCAGAGCAGCGGTCGCACTGGTCGTATTCCCAACTTTTACCTGTTATGGCTACAATATGAGTGTGGCCGGTGGTCTTTTGACACTCCCCGCCTTCAACCAACAGTTCCCTCGAATGGACACTATCAACACGGAGGGAGAGATGAAAGCGCAAAACTCGACAATTCAAGGTCGGTCAATATTAAGATAGTCTCTTTGTATATTCTAATAATCTGTGCATGAATAGGCACAGTGATTGCTCTCTACACCGTCGGTGGTATCTTCGGAGCCTTGTCATGCGCGTATTTGGGTGATCGGCTAGGGCGGAAGAAGGTCATCTTCTGGTCTAGTCTGATTTGCATGATTGGCTGCATTCTGATGGGAACCTCCTTCGATTTCGCCCAATTTATCGTTGCAAGACTAGTGCTTGGTGTAGGCATTGGTGGGTTCACCGCTACCGTGCCAGTCTGGCAGTCTGAGATCTCACCAGCACACAAACGAGGCTCGAACGTGGTTACAGATGGCGTTTTTGTCGGTGCTGGAGTCACTCTAGGACTCTGGGTTGATCTCGGGTTTTACTTTGTGAAATCCAACTCCGCATCATGGCGATTCCCTCTTGCTTTCCCGGTGGTCTTATGTATTATGGCTATGGTTTCCATCCCGATGCTCCCGGAATCCCCCCGTTGGCTGATCATGACCGGCCAAATCGAAGAGGCCCGGAAGGTAATGTCGGCCCTTCTCGAGCTAGAGCCTGATTCAGATGAGATCACCGATACTATTAATGATGTTCAAACTACTCTCGCTGTCTGTGGAAATACTTCCTGGACCGCTATGTTCACAAATAATGAGCAACGCCTCTTCCACCGTGCATACCTTGCCTGCACCGGTCAGTTCTTTCAGCAGATGTGTGGGGTGAATCTGATCACCTACTACGCGACCAATATCTTCCAGGTAAGTTAATGCTATTGACTTCTCCTTTTCTATACACCTGACTACGCTGTATTCGCGGAGGTCACTGATGTCTTTGAATATACCATTAACTGGCAGCGCTCTAGGAACATCTTCACATGGACGACGTGAAGTCCCGTATCCTGGCTGCGGCAATGGGCATGATGCAGCCGTTCGGTGGCATGCTCGCTTTTTACACTATCGATAGCCTTGGTCGCCGACCACTCATGATATGGAGCGCAGGAGCCATGGCTGTTTGCATGGCTATTCTCGCCGGTACAACATCCCCCCAGGCCGCGAACAACACTCCTGCACTAGTGGTCGCCGTCATTGCGCTTTTCTGCTTCCAATTTATCTTCACAGTCGGATACTCTGGCCTGACCTTTCTCTACGCTGCTGAGTTGGCTCCTCTACAGATCCGTGCTACCGTCAGTGCCTTCTCCACTGCCACCGTGTGGGTTTTCAACTTCCTGCTTGCTGAAGTAACTCCCATCGGCTTCAATACCATTGAAAATAAGTACTACATTATCTTCGCGGTTATCAATGCCGTCATTGTGCCATCCGTGTACTTTTTCTTCCCTGAGACTAAAGGGCGGTCGCTTGAGGAGATTGATGAAATCTTCGCCCAGTCGAAGAGCATCTTGGACCCGCCTCGCGTGGCACGCCGCATGCAAAAGACTCTTCGAGGCAGTAAGCCCGTCGATCAGTCTGGCTCGGGAGGTGAGGAGAACAACAATGCTATCATGGAAGTGGTCAAAGCTTAACTTTGGACCCAGTCGCATTTTGATCAGCATTTAAAATGTCTGATATGGACTTTTGGGGTGACCGCCAGCGAATCCTCGCCCTGTATCTTTTGTTTTCTATTTTTTTCCAGTTGCTGATAGTGTTTGTCGGGCCCTGTACTAGGACCAAGGTCTTCAGAATGCGATAAAACAGGATTATGAAGCACATGTCCACAAGTCAACATATTGCAGTAGAGACCTAGTTTATAAAGAAACTTGGCGTCCCGCCATAAAGAGAGAGATAAGTTACCAACGCAGTCCGTCTGTAAACATCCATAGGTAGCATCATCACTATGACAGCTTCGCATAACAATGGTCGTATAAACTAAGCTTAGGTTCATTCTGTGCCATTCGTAGCTTGTCATGCGGCTTCTTTACTCTCAGTTGCAATGGGAAGACCGGGGCCTTGGTATAGCACACCGATGGTGGGAACATCATCAGAGTTCCTGTCGCTGATCTCATGAATTTCTCTTATGTCAAGGGACGATATCTGGGAAAGGGTATAAGCCTGCATGGCGTGAGTATTGGCTTCCATGGCACTCTGGGGCAGAGAGTTGCTAGCACTAGGGTCGAAAATCGATACGGGCATGACGGTCTGGAACGATTGTTGCGTTGCGTATTTTCGTCCACAGGGGAATATCTGTGTTGTCGTAACACAATACTACTTAGAAATCAGCGGGGTCAACTGACCAGCGAAGTAGCGGTCACCAAGCTGAAAAGAATGGAAACTTCGTCTTTTGGTGTTGTATCTCGCCAACACAAGAGATACAGTCTGTCTCTCTGTCTCGACAAGGCATGATAATAGTTTCGTGTGCTTATCTTCCACACAGAGAGTCCAGCCTCAGCGAGGAGCCTTGATCGTAGACAGAAGCAGTCTCTGATTTGAGGATAGGTTTCGCATAGACAAGGGGTACGCGTACAAAGATGTGCTTCGGCGGAATAGTTGTAGAAGCAAGTAGGATACAGTAGTACCAATGATAGAATTAAATGTTGACTGACAATTCACCCAAGGTAGAGGGTGTGGTGTTGTCAGCTGCCTCTTTCCCACTGTCGCATATCGCAATTTAAATCTTACCAGATAGCCACATATGGTGTTAGCATTGGTTTCTTCACGCAAAACTTCTGGACATTGATCATGACGCTTAGGGTGCCTTACATGATTAACCCTGATGAAGGTAACCTCCGGGGCAAGACAGGCTTCATCTTTGGTGCATTCTCAATCATTGCCTGTATTTGGACTTACTTCTGCTTGCCAGAGACCAAAGGCAGGGCCTTTGAGCAGCTGGATCATATGTTTGAGCAGAAGATCTCGGCACGCAAACTTACCGAGTATGACCAAAGACCATATGAAGGATGACCTCAGGTTAGCGTTCCTATTCCTCCTAGGCAGAAGTTGGTCTCGGTCTTAGATCGATGCAACCCACAAAAGCACTGCTAGACATCTATATAATATACACTACCTTGATACCTATTACAATTATAGTCTACTCTCTCGATCTCAGTAGATTGGTAATCAACGTATCCCAAGGTTGCCAAGTCTTTACGGTCAAAGCCAAAGGGATGTCACCTTGGTGCGAGAGCATTGTATCTTATGGTGGTACTGCGCCCTACGAACTCTAACCCTACTTTTCAGCACTATATGGCTTACTAGTGATCAAAGGTTATACATAGAAAACTCTCAAACACAAAGTATGCTTTTTTTCCCTTTTCTGTCGTCTAGCTAACAAACTGAAATGGGGGAGACAATATCTGTGAAAACAGGCATCTGAAAAGACAAACTGAGAAGAATCCGAAAAGACCTCCAAAAAAGACTACCAGAAAAGACTTGACACGGTCGCACAAACGGTCGACTATTCTTGTCTATAATCAATATGGATAGCCTCTACTGTACTCCGGTATATACTAAAACAAGGTTCACACTACCTCGGCAATCCTATTTTCTGGCGGCTTAAGTGGACCTTGGCGTTATAAATGCCGAAGAGGACCTCTTGATATTATTATTATTATAGATGAGCGTCTTGCCTTTTTCGAGAATTGTTATATAATATTTGACTCAGGTGAAGCTATTGCTATCAATCATCCATGGCACTTCGTTATAAACAGCTTTTCGCCCTTGTCTCTCTCTCTCTCTGCTTTTGTCTTAATGGTGTTTTCTTCTTTTCCTGTTTATATTTCTCTATATATTTCGGCAAGTTGCTTTTCCTGTTCCAGACTTGGCCGCAGCGAAACCGAGGTTTGAAGGTTAGCTTTGGCGAAACCTACGGTGACCGCTTCGTTATGAGACAAACGTTGTAGTAGCCATTCTCGCCCGATAGGTCGGGCCAAAACTTCAGCAAGTGATCAGTCGAGCGGCATAATCCCCGAGTTCTCGGACTTCCACCGACCACAACAACAGCCTTTGTACTAGACAAACTTTGGCGCTCAGCCAGACTTGTTAAGATGGACTAGCGCAATAAACCGGATTGACCGTATTTTATATTTGAATATTCTCTACTCGTCAGCCAAGACCAACCTTCCCCACGTTTTGACCAGATCGGCTGCCTAGGAACCGATACGACTTTTCATCTCCGCGTGGGGGCCCCGTACTGTGTCTTCCCCGCAGATGATCCTTTAGCTATTCCCTTTGAGGCAGGTAAGCTCTGGAATTCGCGGGGAAGTAAAAGATGGCTGTTCTTTCAAGACTTTCTGCGGCTGTCTTGAATCAAGGGGGAGAGTCGGGGTCGTCCCGAGGTCATTACTATCACTTTATTATCACTTTATATATTGCGTCTAGCCCAATCCCATAAATTTTTCCTCTCCACTTGCTATTATACGAAAGTAACTCACTCCACTATGGCGAAGCATGTTCCCCCAGCAGTTGACTCAAAGGCCAATATCGCCGAAGTTCCCACTATCAGCCACGCAGAAAGCAACCAAGAACACTCCAAATTCAAGTCCGCCAAAAATGCCGACGGCGACACGGCTATGGCGCTGTTCGATGACCCGGACCAGCTTCATGAAGAGGTCGATCCTGTGGAAGCGAGAAAGCTATTGTGGAAGATCGACTTCATGATTCTGCCTTACTTGGCTGTTTGTTATGCATTCTTCTACATTGATAAGGTCAGTCTCTTTGATTGAAGATAATTTGCCTATTTCCCTTCTTTTTGGCCGAAAAGCTGTGCTAATATCACGCGTTTTGAAAACAGACAACGTTGAGCTATGCTGCTATTTTTGGGATTCGGGAAGATCTCGATCTACATGGAACCCGGTACAGCTGGCTGAGCAGTATTTTCTACTTTGGTTTCTTAGCATGGGCATTCCCTACCAATTTTCTTATGCAGCGGCTTCCAATCGGTATGATTCTCCCATTACACGCCTGATAGTTTGACTGGATATCCATCTGATACTTGTTTTAGGGAAATATCTGGGCGCGAATATCTTCATGTGGTACGTTGGACTGATATCGAAGATAGTACAACCAGGTACTAACATTCTTCTTCAAGGGGAGTCTTCCTCATGATCCAAGCTGCCTGTAACAGCTTCGAGACTCTCGCTGTTCTTCGAGCCCTTGGTGGTGCCGCCGAGGCCTGTTCTGATCCAGCTTTCATGCTCATCACGAGCATGTGGTATACCCGTCGTGAACAGCCAGTGCGTCTCGGACTGTGGTACACAGCGAATGGCCTCGGTATTGCATTGGGTGGGCTATTAGGCTATGCAATTGGTCATCTTAAAGGTGCACTACCGTCTTGGAAATACGAGTTTGTCGTGATGTATGTTTATCCTCATCCTCATTCTCATTGAAATTGTCCATTTTACTTATCTTGTTTAGTGGTGCCCTGTGTTCTACCTGGGGTATTGTCATGTTTATCTTCCTCCCAGATTCACCCGTTACAGCAAAAGGTCTTACCAAGAGAGAGCGCCGCATGGCTGTCGAGCGTATACGAGAAAACCAGACTGGTGTTGAAAATAAGCATCTCAAGCCGTATCAGATTTTGGAGGCTTTCAAGGACTACAAGCTCTATATGTTCTTTGTTCTTGGCATGGTTTGTATGTGACTTGTGCCATGTCCAAACTTGGAAATAGGTTGCATTAACTAACATCTTCATAGGCAATATTCCCAACGGTGGTATCTCGAACTTTGGCACCATAATTATTAAGGGGTTCGGGTTCTCAACATTGGTGACTACTCTTATGCAGGTAAGATTGATTTGATACCCACATATGCATATGTAGTGTACTGTTAACACGATATGCACCATAGATTCCGTACGGCTTTATCATTGCGATCTCGATTTTGACATGCGTCTACCTGAACGACCGCTTCGAAAATCGACGATGTGTTTTCATCCTCATCTTCCTGATTCCTAACCTTGCCGGCTCCTTTGGTCTTCGCTTTGTTCCCGTCGAACACAGTGTAGGTCGCTTGATTTGCTACTACCTGACAGGTCCATACAATGCTGCGTTTGTACTCGTTTTGAGTATGCAAATGGCCAACACCGCTGGTAAGTGACATCTCTCTTCGGTTGATGCTCAATTCAAACGATCACAGACACTAATGTTATGGTAAATTTAGGCCATACTAAGAAAGTCGTTACCAACGCTGTGCTCTTCCTGGGTTACTGCACTGGAAACATTGCAGGGCCGTTCTTCTATAAAACCGATCAATCGTGCGTTTCTACTCGGGAATAGTTCTATTATTTCCAGAATTAGATAACTGACTTGAACTATAGACCTACCTATGCGCTTGGCATCTGGTCCATGATCGTCTCGCACTTGATTGAGGCCGTTTTGATCAGCATCCTTGGTCTACTGCTGCGCTGGGAAAATCAAAAGCGCGATCGCATCCAGTCCCAGATGGAAGGTGGTCTCGAGGGGAGAGATCTGGATGCGACTGCGTTCTTGGATTTGACGGACAGAGAAAACCTGAAGTATGTATCTTTATGATGTCCCCCTTCAAATCTAGTAAGAAAAAGACTAACCATTTCCAACAGCTTCCGATACATCTATTGAGTATTGGATTTCCCACTTCACGAATACGAATATACAACATTTTGGAGTGGATATTGTTAAAGTATTTATATTGTGTATCTGAATTCAATTGCACAAGTGACCCCCAAATCATATAAGATTTGAGGAATAACCCCATTAGTATTTATATTGCTGTAGAGAAAAACGGAGAAAAGAAAGCGAGAAAAATACTGCGAGTGGAGCCCCAATGGAACTAGCGCATACGATCAGGACCCACCAACCTGTATCCACTATTCAAGATCACGTGTGGTCGCACACGCTAACCTTCAGATCTATATCCACTGTTATCATATCAGGGCGCAGGCTCGCACCATGATAACATGGCACTTTAGATATAAGGCTAGCAACTTCTACAGCCGCTGGGCAAGGCCTTCATCTAATCTTAGTCAAAATCCTGGATATGCCATGATCCGTTCATATTTCATGCACAACACCTAATAGGCCTAGTTGAAACAAAACTAACAACAACCAGAAACAATGTAGCATTGACATCACCAGCGGGATAGACTAGGCTGTCAATACATGCGTCATGGCAATGTCCTGGCAGTCTGACCTCGGATTCCCTGGCCCTAGAAAATGAAGCTCAGCGGTAGGACGAGAAACAGCCAGTACGCGTCTCCCGGCTTCTGCGTTTCCTCGAAAAATTAACGAGGAAATTCAAGGAGATTTTTGATCCGATTCCTACACCAGATCTTACACCAGCCAATTTTGAATTGTATCTTTTGCCTATAGGCAAAGTGCTTCGAATACATTAGAGCGACGGATCTGCAACACATCCAAGGTTGATAAATCCGCTCTATCAAAGTTCGTCAGCCCTCTCTCTCATACAGATCACTAGAAGTATGTTAAAAACCTACAAAATGACTTTCATGGCAGCAGGCGGGTTGCTTCAGACAAGTTGACCCGACAGCAGCGCTGACGATAGGAGTGCCTACGACGATGAAAATTAGTCTATAGCTGCGAGGTGGGGACAACAACTGTGAAGTAAACCTAACTGTCAACCTACATTGTATGCCAATGAGAAGCTTCTCGGCTGCTTGAAGGCCAAGTGAGCTGAAAAACTTTGCTACCTCGGGTGAATTGCTGCTTTGTAAAGACTCGCAGCACAACTGTTTCCCGACGTCACATTTTGATAGTTTTGGGCTTCCAGTTAAAGGAAAAGGGTGGGGCGATGCAGCAACCGAAGAGCCCGCTATCAGGGTGGCAATAAGCAAAACAGAGATCATTTTGAAAATTTGATGCTTCTAGAACAATCTGGTTAAGAAAACTAGATTGGGTGGTGTTTGCACCTTAAAATTGCCTTTTCGTGGACTAGATAGGATGGGAATAAACTGGATTATTATTCTTCAAAAGGTTTCGAACAATTGTTGTGGCAGAAGTCTTTGGAATGTGTCATCATGCCAGCTTATACTTGGAATGTGTGACCTTGCAAGCTTATATGTACTTGGAATGTCTGATACTTCGCTGGATAGCCTCTTATAGGCAGCATTTTAAGCAGTGATGTTTCTTTATTTACCTTCGGGTGGTAAGTAGCGTAATCTTTTCTTTTCATTCTTGTTGAAATGCCAAAGGGTGTCACCCTTTACAACAATTCCCCAGTAACGACATTTAGCTTTTACTAGTCATTTTGTCATTCTTTTAGAAGGAGCCCCAAAGCACCTTTGACTATAAAGGCAGCAGGTGCCAATCAATAATAACGTGTCACCATTTCTTGCCACAAGTAAAATCTACAGCATTTCGTTCTAATTTTACACCAAATTCTACAAAGATGATTTATTGCCGCCTCCTCATAATGACAATGATTTATACGGCCGCGCACTGCTCGTCTACAAATCGATCTCAGTGGACACCTGAGGATGTGCACTCTACGCCATCAGTATCACAGTGTGATACCGGGGAACAGCGTTGCTGTAACTCTTTGCAAAAAGCTAATTCTCCCGAGGTCTACTCGCTTGCTCAATCTCTCGGATTGAAAATTCTCGATAAGGCTATGGTCGGCATTAACTGTACGTTCATATTTTCTACCCCAACATGAAGACGCGTGGCGATGAAACAAGCTAAATATACTCTAGGTTCTCCTCTCCTAGCTGCCGTTGCCGGAGGGTCAAGTTGTAGCCAACAACCCGTATGCTGTGACAAAACTGAATTCGTGAGTTTATGAATTCTTTCACCTCTTGTTCCTCCCGAAAATGGCTAATGTTGATTGAAATTAAGAACGGGCTTATAAATATTGGATGTGTACCATTGAATGTCGTCTTGTAAAATCAATCTTTATTAATCTTACCTTGGATGGTGCATGGAGGTTGATGAACACGTTTTGGATCAAGATTTTACAAATATACAATATTCCAAATACTGATAAACGCGATTTATGCACCTAAGAATGCTAAGTACAACAGAATCGCTTAGACTTGCATACAGTATGGAAGTTTGAATCCATGAATATGAAGGTCGAGACCTTCGACCTAAATTGGGTCGTGCGGACGCCCAGCTCTACTATCTACTTATTTTTATATAGGAAGAACTTAGGGATATATAAGGACAGTTAATTATATATCTAGTTTAGTTCTTCGTCTTTAATTATATATTATTACGTTTGAGATCGCACAGCTCGGGGTTAACCTTTGTTTATTGGAAATGGAGCTGGGTGACGGATACCTTCAATCTCCGAGACCGCCAGCGGTGGCAAGCCTTGGACGGCCGCCCGCGTAACACTATTTTGAGATTGCGACAATAAATGACGGTGCTGAGGGCGCTTGAGAAATGTTTGACATGCCGCCACCTCTCCCATCACCCCAGCGGTGTTGGGCAACGAAAGGTTACAAACAGACAAACAGAATCCTCCTAGTAATGGTGTAATAACGAAATTGGCCAATTCATTACCAAATCAGGCCTGGAAGGTCATGGGCGGCAATAGATATATGATAAGCGGTGCGAAGAGTGTATCGTTGCTCTCTTTGATGAAACCCAGGAGCCTTATATTGTACTGTCGTCGAGACGTATGTTTTCTGGCATAATATTAGCTAAAATGACAAAACAGACAATCTTAATAGACATGCTGACAGTTTGTGATATGAATTTTGTGGGGTATTCGCCTTCCACGGTATACTACATCCTATATCTGAGGTCCGGCTTCCGATGGAACCCATCCGGAAATCCCGCTGGGTGTTGACATCATGACTACTACGTTGGTTCAACAACAAAGCAAAATATCCACGCCTATATTTCCAGCGTTTCAGAGGATGCTGAGCCAGTTCCCAAGGATCGTCCCTGAGAAATCAAATTATTTGCACAGTTGCCTTCTCTTTGTCCTGGGCCTTTACTTCAAGATTATCTTAGTAACCCCGTGTCGAATTATACTCCAAGATTGACTTCATCCGTGATGACTCCGAAAAATGAGAACTACGAGCTCAACAGAGCCAGCTCCTCCCATCACGATGAAAACTGCGAAAATCCGCCGAGCCCTACCTCTGAGGTCGATACCGAGAAAGAGAAGCGACACGGTATAGTTTTCGACTATATGCGCCCAGAAGACCGCGAAGAATTGTCGCGGATTGCGTCGAACTTCCCTCGGCAGCGGGCCACCGATTCTGACATCTCCGGCATGACAGCTGTCGAGCGCAAAGATACATTGGAAAATGTCGAATTAGGGGACCCAGTCCTAGATCCCACGAGCGATCAATTTGATCATTACAAATGGGTTCGCATGATGCTGAAACTTCTGGATAAGGAGGGTGTGCCTTTTCGAAAGTCGACCGGCGTTGTTTGGAATGATCTCAACATATCCGGGTCGGGATTTGCACTGCAGTACCAGAAAAATGTGGGCTCAGTTGCATTGGCTCCCTTCCGACCTCAGGAGTATATCTCTTGTGGGAAGCGTACCTCGCAGAAGCAGGTTCTGCGCAATTTTGACGGTTTGTTTAAAGCTGGTGAGCTGTTGATTGTGCTTGGACGACCCGGGAGTGGCTGTTCGACATTACTCAAGACGCTTGCAGGTGAGCTGTATGGGTTGAAGCTAGGAAAGGGCTCGGATATCCAGTACAATGGTATCCCCATGGAGAGGATGCATAAGGAGTTCAAAGGAGAAGTTCTATACAACCAGGAGGTTGACAAGCACTTTCCTCATCTTACTGTCGGCCAGACACTGGAATTTGCTGCTGCTTGTCGGACCCCAGAGAATCGGTTGAAAGGGATCAGTCGGACGCGTTTTGCCAAGTATATCACTCAGGTGGCCATGACTGTGCTGGGGTTAAGTCATACGTACAATACCAAAGGTGTGTTCGAAGGTAATATATGTACCGAAGATCAATGGAGCTAAAACGTTATTTAGTCGGCGATGACTATATTCGAGGTGTGTCTGGCGGTGAACGAAAGCGAGTCAGGTATGCAGCTCTAATAGTAGTGAGACTCAACCTATGCTTACACCTATATTTAGTATTGCAGAGATGATACGCAAGTCAATGATTCTGGCCCGAATTCTGAGGTTTAAGCTGACATGGTTTTAGTTTCTGGGGCCCCAGTCGGAGCATGGGATAATAGCACTAGAGGCTTGGACTCTGCCAGTGCTTTGGAATTTATCAAATCCCTCCGAGTTTCCGCAAACCTGACAGGCAGCGCTCATGCAGTTGCAATCTACCAGGCTTCTCAGGCAATCTACGACATCTTTGACAGGGTTATAGTGTTGTACGAGGGCCGGGAAATCTTTTTCGGTCCTTGCAGTAAAGCGAAGGGTTACTTCTTCGACATGGGCTGGGACTGTCCACCGCGCCAAACTACCGGTGATTTCTTGACCTCCGTCACAAATCCACAGGAGCGCAAGGCTCGAGATGGCATGGTGAACAAAGTTCCTCGCACGCCTGATGACTTTGAGAAGTACTGGAAGAACAGTCCGCATCACACGGCTCTGCAGAAGGAGATTTCTCAGTATCGAGAAGAGTACCCAGTTGGCGGAGCTGCTGAGATGGACTTCACCGCAACGATGAGACAGAGGCAGGCAAAACATGTTCGACCAAAAAGCCCCTATGTCATCTCAATTCCAATGCAAATTAAACTTTGTACGAAGAGAGCTTATCAAAGGTCAGTTTACTCTGTCCCCGAAATCTTATCTGGTCATAATTGACAGTGCCTAGAATATGGAATGACAAACCTGCTACACTGACAACCGTTATTGGGCGCATTGTTATGTCTCTCATTATTGGATCAATCTATTTTGGGTGAGTTCATATTTGCTAATGCTCGATGGCTTAATGCTTATATCTGCAGAACACCTCAAGCATCTGCAGGTTTCCAAAGTAAAGGCGCGGCGCTTTTCTTCTCGGTTCTGTGAGTAGCTCCTCTTAGTCAATAACTTAGTTTAACAATTATCCGCAGGATGAATGCTCTCATCAGTATCACGGAGATCAACTCGCTCTATGACCAGCGACCTATTGTTGAGAAACAGGCTTCCTACGCTTTTGTTCACCCATTTACGGAGTCTCTAGGGGGTATCGTTTCTGATATACCTGTCAAATTTGTGTCTGCCGTGGTGTTCAATGTCATCTTCTACTTTTTGGCCAGCTTGGTAAGCCTGGATACTGTCCAAATATGTTTAATGGCAGATGTCTGACTGAAGTATGCAGCGATACGAACCTTCTCAATTTTTCATCTTCTTCCTCTTTACTTTCCTGAGTACTCTCGCAATGTCTGGTGTTTTTCGAACACTTGCTGCATCCACAAAGACTCTCGCCCAGGCCATGTCTCTGGCGGGAGTAATAGTGCTGGCTGTTATCATCTATACTGGATTCGTGATCACCGTGCCAGAGATGAGCTCTATTCCCTGGTTTAGTTGGATTCGATGGATTAATCCCGTGTTCTACACCTTCGAAGCTTTGATTGCGAACGAGTTCCACGGCCGTCAATTTGAGTGCTCACAATTCATCCCCGCGTATCCAAGTCTCACAGGGGATTCGTTCATCTGCGCTATCCGAGGCGCCGTGGCAGGCGAACGGACTGTCTCTGGCGATGCCTATATTGAGACACAGTATACCTATACATATGCGCATGAATGGCGCAATCTTGGTATCTTGATTGGATTCTGGATCTTCTTCATAGCCATATATCTTCTTGCCTCTGAGCTCAACTCGTCGACCTCCTCCAAGGCTGAATTCCTGGTCTTCCGTCGTGGCCATGTACCCGCTCAGTTGCGCCATCTTGATAAGGCAGGAGGTGATAACGGCTCAGCGAGGGTCAGTCAGCAACAGAAGCACCCGGAGGATGGGACAGAGCCCTCGGCTATTCCAGCGCAGCACGACATCTTTACATGGAGAAATATCTGCTATGACATACCAGTTAAGGGTGGCGAACGGCGTCTTCTTGATAATGTTTCTGGCTGGGTCAAACCTGGCACTTTGACAGCTTTGATGGGTGTATCCGGTGCTGGAAAGACAACGTTACTCGATGTTCTGGCAAAACGTGTCTCCATTGGTGTCGTCACCGGAGATATGCTTGTCAATGGCAAACCATTGGATACTAGCTTCCAGAGAAAAACGGGTTATGTCCAACAGCAAGATTTGCATCTCTCAACTACTACTGTCCGAGAGGCACTTCGGTTCAGTGCTATGTTGCGTCAAGCCAAGACTGCATCTAAGAAAGAGAAATATAAGTACGTTGAGGAAGTTATCGACATGCTTGGTATGCAAGACTTTGCAGATGCCATCGTCGGGACGCCGGGGGAAGGTTTGAACGTGGAGCAGAGAAAGCTATTGACCATAGGAGTCGAGCTGGCTGCTAAACCTGCGCTTCTTATTTTCCTCGATGAGCCTACGAGCGGGTTGGACTCGCAGAGCTCATGGGCTATTTGCGCTTTCTTGGGAAAGCTTGCTAAGCATGGCCAAGCGGTTTTGTCGACCATTCATCAACCCAGTGCGCTGTTGTTTCAGCAGTTTGACCGTCTACTATTCCTCGCCAAGGGAGGAAAGACTGTCTATTTTGGAGGCATTGGAGATCAATCGCGTATTTTACTGGACTACTTTGAAGGTAATGGAGCTAGGGTTTGTGCCTCGTCTGAAAATGTAAGGATTCAGCTCGTTTGATCTTCATTTAGTATCGCTGATAAATTCCCAGCCTGCGGAATACATGTTGGAAATTATCGGTGCCGGAGCTTCTGGAAAGTCAACCAAAGACTGGTCCCAGGTGTGGAATCAAAGCCAGGAGGCCAAGGCCGTCCAAGTTGAGATCGACCATATTCACGATGAGCGAGCCTCGGCAACTACCAACGATGAATCCGAATCCCAGAGGAGTGAATATGCAATGCCTTTCGGCTCCCAGCTATGGCATGTCACATATCGCTCGTTCCAAGGCATCTGGCGTGAGCCGTCCTACGTGTGGGCGAAGGTCATGCTTGGAACAATGTCATCACTGTTCATTGGATTCACATTCTTCAAACCAAATAACTCTTTACAGGGGTTCCAGGATGTTATATTCAGCGCCTTTATGGTGGTATCGATATTCTCAACATTGGTACAGCAGTACGCAGACCCCAGGAATCCCCCTCAAACTGATATCAACCGAAACTAACCTCATCAAACTACCAGAATTATGCCAAAATTCGTGGTCCAACGCTCTCTCTACGAAGTTCGCGAACGGCCCTCAAAAGCCTATTCCTGGGGCGCCTTCCTGATCGCAAACGTTCTCGTGGAAATTCCATACCAAATTTTTGTCGGCGTGATCAGCTGGGCCTGCTACTATTTCCCGGTCTATGGTGCAAACCAAGCCTCCCAGCGGCAAGGCCTGATACTCCTCTTCATCGTGCAGTTCTATGTCTTCACATCTACATTCGCTAGCATGGTTATTTCAGCATTACCGGACGCCGAAACAGGCGGCACCATCGCCACACTGATGTTCATCATGACCCTGACCTTCAACGGTGTCTTGCAGCCGCCCAGTGCTCTGCCGGGGTTCTGGATCTTCATGTACCGTGTCTCGCCGCTGACATATCTCATAGCCGGTATCACGGCGACGGGTTTGCACGGGCGCCAGATTCATTGCTCGGATGCCGAACTGAGTGTCTTTAATCCTCCAACTGGACTGACCTGCGGCGCGTACCTTGATCCGTATGTCAAGGCCTCTGGCGGTCAGCTGTATAACCCTGCTGCTACGAGTGGGTGTCAGTTCTGCCAGCTATCAAATGCGGATCAGTATCTGGCTTTTAGTAATATCTGTAAGTGCTTCCTACCTCACATGTCCTCACCTTTCGCTAATTTCATTTGCAGACTACAGCGAGCGCTGGCGTAACTACGGGCTTGGATTTGCCTATATCGGATTCAATATAGCTGGCACTGTTTTGATGTACTACATGTTCCGGGTGAAACACTACAATCCAAATTCGTTAGTGCGAGGGATTAGGAGTGGTGCTTCATTTCTTTGCCGGGTATTCAAGCGGCATTCTGGAAAGACGCCAATGGGTAAGGAGGCAGAGAATGGTCGGCTTGTTTGAACGGTCCTTTGTGGGTTGTCTGATATTGAAGCTAGGCCGGGTTGCACTGAACTCAAGGATGGGACAGCCTAGAAAGAAAGAAACAAGCCAACGAGTGGAATGGGCGACAGTTTTTTTAAATTAATTATTATTATTTATTCCTCTCATTCTGGAGTTATAGCCCTACGCGGGATCTCAAATGTGTCGGTAAGGAGTTAGGTGAGCTGAGCAAGTTATAGTATTGAATTGTAAGAGTATACGACTAGCTCAGGAAAATCTATGAGATGTTTTCATTTCAAAGGTTCATTTCAAAGGTTACCGAAAAACGTTACTAAAAACTAGATATATATATATATGTATATCGCAATCATAAAATCATCAACTTTCCTCAAACTCCCTAAATATGCTAGAAATCACCAAAGAAGTATTAAGCTATAAAGATATCTCCATATAGACTACCGTTTTTGAGATGTCAAGTTGTAATTTATCACATTAATTATGTGTTTTGGTGTGATCCATTCGTATATGAAATACGTTAAGGCTCTTTTAAAGAGTACCGATAATTAATATATGATCTCCTTCACACCATATACTCTACTATTATACACTATTATAATAAAAAAGCTCAAAGTTGTATTTAATATCGCAATTTATAAACATAGAGGAAGTACAAAATGATAGGTAGTAATACAGCCAAATGTATGCAAATGAGGGTCACGCCGGACGCCCTCTAACTCAATCACCGCCGACGATTGCCGCCACCTAAGAATGCCTTCTTCTGGCGAACATAGCTGGCCACAACGTTCTCCACGCTGCGACGGTCGTGCTTGCGGTCTCTCAAGAAGTACAATCTCGCCCTTCTGCGCTTCTTATCCGATCGCTGGACAATCTCCACGCTGTTCACGTTGGGACTGAAGACCTTGACCGACATCTCAACAGCGACACGAGTGAGCTCGTTCCGCATGAGGAAGGATGTTTCAATTCCGCGCAACTTGATGCTCAGAACAATTCCGTTGAATGGGTCGCCATTCTTGAATGTCACTCGTACGATATCGCCTGTCTTGACACTGCGCGGGTTTCGTCGGTAGTCGAACATTGCCTTGCGCTCACCCGTGGGGTCGAGGACTGCCAATTGCGATTCCGTAACCGCTCCGATGGGGTCCTTGCATGCTTTGCGAGCAGATGGCGGAGCAGGGTAGATCTTGAGGGGCTGGCGCTCTACATGAGATAGCAACAATTAGTAAAGCTTGCGTTATTTGGACTCAATTGAAAAGGACATACCAGGATCTGGACGGAAGCGAAGAGGTATTTGGGATAGGAATTGCTCAGGCATGTTCGGGGGAAGAGGTACCCGTTCGGGCCTCTTCGAGTAGGATGTCGAGATGAATCGGCGGTTGATGAAGGGTTGGATAGGCTCCGAAGCCCTCATCAAGGACCTTAAGCAGCCCAGCGGGCGCATTGCTGGTAGAGCCGCCATGGTTGTGATGTGGATGTCAAGTCAAGAAAGTCGGAGTCGAGTTTTGGCCGGATCGGCAGAATTTCCGCCAAGCCTCCAATTGCCCGTTCGGGTTGCAGATAACAGCGATTCTTTTTTCTCCTCCAACTCCAGGATACCAATCAACCTCGTTTTCTTGTTCTTGCTTTGGGGAAAGTCTTTCATTGTATCGGCTACTACTCTTATACCCTGCATTGCTTCATACATAACCTCTGATCACACACGATGGCGCAAATCGCCATGAGCAGGCTCTTCCGCCAGACCACCACCGGCTCGGTGCGCCAGTCTATTCTGAGACCGATGCAGGCCCGCAGCTATGGTTCGAACTCAGGTATGTATTAGTATGTCCATTATGGTATCAAATTCTCATCGGAGACGACCGGAACAGTAATCCCAACCTTCACCTCAACATCCTCCCCCGAATTAGACGAAGCCCTGGAGCGCTTCCGCAATGAGCTGTTCATTCCCCTTGCTCTTCCCAAGCGACAGAAAAAGAGCGTGTTCAGGGAGAAATACGCCAAACAATTGGAAAATGAGCCGATTACCGTGAAAATCGGCGAGAACGAAGAGTTCACCCTAACACCCAAGAAGCACCACGATCTGCCATCGAAGAAAGACGCTCTCGAGGTCCTCAAGCTGATGGTCGCGACCAAGAACTTCAGCAACCTTTTCCCGTACCTCAGTGGACTCCGCATGTCAAATTATGCCATCAACAGCGACCGATGGGAGTTCATCATTCGCAAAACCAGCGAGGCTGGCAAACTTTCAACCGTTATCGAGTGCGCCAAACAGTCCCAGCGGACCGGGTTGACTCTCAGCAACCGGAACATCGCTCGCCGTCTGTTCTTCGAGCTTCACAAAACAGCCGCGAAAGCGGATTTCAAGGGGGTCCCGACCGTCAAAGCTCTAAAGCTGGCGAGGGAGGCAGCTAGCCTGATGGATGCTGACGAACACTCCGTTCAGAACATCCAGGACGACCCCAAACACCAGCCTTTTGTTATCGGCACGCTTTTGGAACTCAGTGCCGCCTGTGCGAAAATCAAGGAGGCCGAGACGGCCTTGGTCCGTGGCTACGCTCAGAAGCTTGATGCAGCCTGGTCCCGAGGAAATTTCAAGGACGATGCGGCCACTGGCTTTGAAAACATTGAGAGAGTCGAGGAGAACCTTGCCCTTTACAATGGCATGCTTTTGGCCCTTGGGTTGCCGAAAGCATCACAAGACACTGAGAATTTCAAGGCTCGCTGTGATGAGCTTAAGCCTGTCCTGATTTCGCAGTTGCAGAAAGTCAAGAACGCCGACGTACTTGCAGACAAGGTGGTTAAGCAATTACTCGCGGAAAAGCCCAAAGAGAAGGTTGAGAAAAACGTTTAAGCTTTGTTGTGATACCTTTTGGTGTTGATTGAGCCACATTGGCATGTATATTACTGTACTTCCCAGATATTTTTGAGCTGGCCGTGTATTTCAGACAATAGATATTTTATTTCCTGCCACATCTGACCCCGCTAGGTGCTATTTCAGATATACGCAATAGTTTGGTCGGTTTCATTACCAAACGTCCCTGCAGTCCAAGCTTCATGTACGCTCTAAGGAAATGCTATTTCAAACGCCCACTTTGGGATTGACACGCTCAGGAAGACAATTCCAGGGTATTTTCCTTGCTGATACGGGCTCGGCCGGGAAGAGTGGCGGTGCCGCCGACAACAGCAGGGCCAGAGACGGTAAGCTAAAGACGTAAATGTTAGTTCTAATGAAAGCGGTGGAATTGAGCGTGGCGTACCTGTCCCTCCTCGGTCCCGTCGGGAGAGCCTTCGGGGACATTGGTCAGAGTAATTTCAGTGCTACTCAGCGGAGCACCAAAGTGGCTAGGACCGGTGAGGCATCTATAGTCAAAGGCGTTTGTTTGGGCAATCGCACCAGCAACACCGGGACCAGTCAGGGCATACACAACCCGCGCCCCAGTGAATATTCTAAGCTCGGTCAATTGCTCGGAGGTAAGATGGGCGGCAGGGTTGCCATCAATGCGGTGGGAGATGCAAAGCAAACGCAATTCATCTAGCGAAAGCTCAGAAGTCGGGCTGACACGAGCCAATTGGCTGAAAAAGTTGCGCGTCGGTATGTTTCCTGCATCCAAGGTCCGTGCCTGAAGCCAGCGTCCAAGAGAGGAAAGGATACCAGTGTGAGGGCGCATGATATTCTCGTGGTATTCAGCCATGGTTTGCGATGAAGCAACAATGACTGTGGGAGACACGCCAGCCGTAGCCAAAGCAAAATCGACATTCTCTCCGGCGACAGAGTTAAGGGCGATGGATGAGTTGGCAAACAGTGCAGCCAGAGTTGTGCAGAGCGGGTAGGACCGAGAAAGAGAGTCGATAGAAAGAACAATATCGGTTGGGTTGAAACGCTGGGTACGAGGGAGGGTGGAGGTGATGGCTCCAATAGCAGACACAAGGTTCTAGTTGAATGTTAGTGAAAGTGGTATCACATGAGTTAGATTGGTCTTACCTCTGGCTGGAAATCGATAAATTGGCCGGATTGCGAGGAAGACGGCCAAACAGTGTTGACGGCAGGGGTTGCTGTCTTTGGGTCGTACTCGGGCACATCATAGCTGGCGAGTTCCTTGAACTCCTCGACCAGTTCATGCCAAACTGCAACCTTCAGAGTATCCTTGACGTTCTCGGGAAGTGCGTTCCAATCCATGTGTCGATTGCCATACTTGGCGACCCAAAGGACGAGCGACAATTGATCGTTACCCTTGGCGATGAGAGACAGGTCAAGAGATCCGGCTTCAGCAATAAGAACATCCGCTTTTGCCTTTTGTAGATGTGCTGATAATGTCTCTGCTGGAAGGTTGTGCGGCACAATGACCGTCTTGTATCCATAAAAAGCGCCAGCTAGATTACGCAAGGTTAGACATCGAGACTCACACACGGAATGTTAGGGCACGTACCAAAGATTGTAGCTAAAAGCTCGATGGAGTCTGTAAGGCAAACAGCCACCGTCCTCACACCGGAGTTTTGGAGATGATGACCGATGACATTGATTTCTTGGGTCACCTGGTCCAAAGAGTGTTCGATGGCCTTTCGACCTAGGACAGTGTAGATCTTGCCTTGCTTTCCCGACATAGTACCATCCTCATTCAGAGCTCCACGCACAGCGGTCTTCCAGATATCGCGCAGGTCTCCTCTTCGACCGCCGGTCCATTTCGGGGCGCCCGGGTCCTTGACGTTCAGTCCAAAGCGGAGAGGCAAGCCATGTGGGGTCTCCAGGCACCTGTACGTAGCAGATTCACCCTGCTGGCGGATTGGGGCTGCTGTAGATTGGCGAGCAAGTAGGAACGGGTGCACATCTGGATCCTTAGACGAGACCACAGAGTAAACCCCAAAGGCGAGGACAATTCCGGCGACAAGGGTAGTGTAGATATTCCAGTCGGCGAGAACATCGGCCACCAAAGTATCCAGCTTTTCCGCGAGTGAAGTATCAGCAGCCATTTTAGTTCGTAAATCTGGAGAGGAAGAAGTGTCAACAATCAGCGACTATGACGTTGAGGGGTACGATAAGGGTGTGTCAGCTTGGCCGGGTCAACTTATGCCCGTGCAACCCCTTCCTCGAGCGCCGAGCGCAGCCACTTTGGGATCGTCAACTTATACTCAACAACAATAATGACCTTTTGAAAGAGCAATTGTTCATAGCTATGTGCATTACTAACTAACAGCTCCTTGTGTTTGTTCTCTCCCAGGTAAGTACTCTGAACAACTTGATAATACCAGTAAGTCCAATCCCTATTGTCAAAAAGGCCTCGAAAAAAACAGTCTAAGCATCTACGGACCGGTAGCTGACTTCACGATCTCAGTCTCAAGTCAATTTCACCTCTTTCTCCACCCTCGATATCGTCGTCACCATGTTAGCAATGGCAACTCAATCTCTTCCTTCCACCCCGAAAGCGACACCTCCGCCGGCTCCTCCCACTCCAGAGGGTACCCTGACCCCTGGAAAATGGCGACACCCTCAGCTGGATGAGATCGTCCGGCGTCAAAATGCAGCTACATTTGATCAGAAAAATGTTAAGAAGCTGGTCTGGAACGGTGCAGCTTTGGTAACGAGCTGGACATTTGGATCTACCTTCAAATCCTAGTGAGTGCGATAAGAACTCCGGTGCGTCGCGTCGCGTGCTAACAGCCTTGTCTAAGCTCACGCCAAATTTTTGATACCAACCACATGTATCAAGAAGTCCCGTTGTTCATTCTCCAGCTCTTCTTCGTTTTCAATGTTCTAGTGGCGCTCTATCCCCTCTTCCGGCCAAAGGACGACCTCTCCGACATTCCCCTTACCCCCACCCAACGGTCACTTCTTGGCTTGGATCCTGCTATCACACCACCAGCAACCCCTGGGACAACATTTGTTACCCCACCCAGATACCGGCTTTCCACTTCACGCAAGGCTAGTCCTGCAAGCAGACAGTCCTCCCCCATGTCCGCGAATGCAAGCTTTTCTGAGCGACGCTCTTCTATCAGCACACCCTTCTCACCTGCCTCCAGCCCTCTGCTTTACAAAGCAATGTCAAATGGAGGCAGAGAATCTGTTCAACGCCAGAGCTTTGGATCATCCGCGTCCCCTCTGGCTCGAAGTAACTCCTTTGGAGAGTCAACCATGAGCATGGGTCCAAGTACGCCTTCTCCGCTCATGGGAAAACGGGGAAGTCTGGGAGTCAAGAACAAGTGGCTGTATGAGAGAAGCCGGCGGCTTTCGGCCAGTGGGGGAGCTCTCTGATTCTTTGTAGTTTTCTGAACAATTTCGCGAACGGGCGCTTGGGTCATTCATGGTTTTGGTGTTTAATGTCATAGCGGTTGTTTCATTCACAATGTATTACAAGGATACCAATTCGAGGTTTATTATTACAAGCTTGTTTCATTTGACATATTTGTGTTGTTTATAAAATCGGGGGCTGTTAGATATCTTTCCCGTCTTAGGTGGTATGTATGGATGCTAAAAGAGCCTTTTGGTACATGCCAACAAATAAGAATGTGGACAAGGGAGATGTATATGAGAGACGCTATCATTCTGCTGTGCTCTCTCGTCATGTAGTCCACTGTAAATTGTACCGGCATTTAGCTGATCTGCCATACCCCGTGTTCAGGCCAAGATCCCGCGCCCGGACGATTAGGTCCGCCAAGCACTTCTAGCACTGAACAAATAAACAGGCAGAAAGCGCCCTCGCCTCATCTACACATTGACGTTTGCTGTGAAGATCTGCATGAAGCCTACAACGGCGTGAATACCAACTCTTTCCTTCCGCTATGGGAGCTTCGGAGTCCAAGCTTGTCTTCAAACAGGGCATCTTCCGCCTCTCGGAGGAACAGGAGATCCCCGCAGACGACCCCTACTGGACCAGAGTACGTTATGATGCAAGATGACTATCTGTCCTAGAAACTTGAAGGCTAACAACGCTGGCAGTTCTGGGAGCTTCCTGAATCAACCGAAGATGTCTTTAGCCTTTTCACACCGGCTGACATACGACGCACGCGCGATCATGCCTTACCCAACTTCCAAACGCTCCTACTCGCAGTCACCTCGCGACTAACGGAATTGAGAAACCATCCCTCATTTCCCGACTCCGATCTTGCCCCCGAGCGTGATGTCCTCAACTGCATTCGGATCCTCACTCGCCTCCTCCCCTATGTTTATGAGGCGGAGCATCTGGAGCAATGGGAGGATAACTTCTTCTGGGCACGGAGAAGGAGAAGGACCAGACAATCACAGATTGCTGGGGAGGTCCTGTTTGACGAAGCACAACCGGAGGATAACCAAGAGGCGACATCACCGCGAACAGAGGACTACGAAGATGTGAAACCTCTTGCCGAGGAGTTGATAGACACATTGGTGGACTTGCTCTTCTTTACCGACTTCACAATCCCTCGACTTCCAACTGCGAAGAGCAAGGTCTCCTTTTCGATTTGGCAGAGTGGTGTTGGCTGCAACACAGCTATGGGGTGCAACAAAACATTGGAGAGCAACCGATGCGAGATTCTACGGCTTATGCTTACTCTGACTGGAAAGGCCATGTATTTGCCATCTAGTAAGTCCGGAGTCTGATGCAAAGAAGGTATTCCGACATTTATTGACTGGTTATAGATACACTGCCCGTCCAAGGTGTCAAGGCAATTACTTACATCACAACGTGCCAAGATAAGCAGGCTGTCTTGACCCTCCTTTGCTCTCTTCTCAATACAGTATGTTCTACTCACTCGCCGGTGGAAGCCATGCTAATTCAAAAAAAAACAGGCAATGAAGTACAACCCTGCGTCGTGGAGAGTCCCATACGACCATGTTGTTTGGAAAGATCCCAGGCAAATACTGGTGATCTATTGCGTGCAACTTCTCCTTGTCCTCTTGTTGTATCCCATTCCAGAAGACGGTCGTGGAACTCCCCCGAAGAATTATTATCGCCATTACTTCAGCAGGCTACATAGACCTCAAGACTTCCAATTCCTGGTGGATGGCATGACGAGAATTCTGAACCAACCGGTATTTATTATCTGCTAAACCATGTATTAAGACATTATGCTAATGGATCAAACCAGATGCAAGCTACTTCTTCTTATCTTCCTGGGAGTCAAAAATCGGTGAAATGGGCCCCTGAAATGTTGGTCCTTTTCTGGGAGACCTTACAATGCAACAAAAGGTTCCGGTCATTTATCATCGACTCTAATCGCTCCCATGACTTCCTTGTTCTATGTATCTTCTATGCGATGGAGTATAGAATGGATCCTTCCAAACAAGGAGTGGTCCGGATGTGCGTTTTCATCCTTCAGACAATGAGCGCAGAGTCAACGTTTGGCAAGAGCCTAAACAATAGCTTCGAAGCTCAAGAGACCTTACCACAATCGATCCGGCTCCTCAAGTTCCGGGGTTCTTATGGTGACTATTTGATCATGGTTTGTCTTTTGTCCCATCTAAAAGCATAATACCATACTAACCGCCGTAGTCAATTCACACATTGATGACAACCAGCAAGGGGAATCTGGACACTGTGTATCCTGCGCTTTTGATCATCCTCAACAACATTGCTCCCTACATCGAACGCATTTCTCCGAGCGCCTGCTCGAAGGTCATTCAACTTTTCTCTTCCATGTCTGCACCCAGCTTCTTGTTGGCGAACGAAACCAACCACACTCTTCTTGCATCGTTGCTTGACTTTATCAACATTATCCTCGAGCACAAGTTCATCGGTAAATCCCCTACCCGGATCTTCTGTTTCGGCCAAGCCGTTTCTGACTTTATCTAGACAACCCATATCTCGTCTACTCGATACTCAAATATAAGCAACGCTTTGAAGCTGTGCGGGCTTTCACTCTCGAGAGTGGCCAGCAAGAGATCGAGCGGCAGAATGAGAAGAGGAAGGATAGCAGTTCTTCAGATTTCGCCGTCAGCCCTACACTTTCACAGTCAGAGGATGATCTACACACTCCTTCGGGTACCCGGTCACCGTTGACTAGAATCCCTGAAGAGAACAGCCCATTTTCAATTGGCGATGACGACTCCGATGATGACCGCGAGGAAGAGGGAGCACAGACTCCATCTCAATCATCATTCTCAGCTCACACCTCACGGAGACCCTCCGTGACATCTACCACGGACGAGAACGGAGTGCAGCAGGTGCGAGCAATGTCCGAAAAGGCACGGGGAAAGAAACCTGCTGGACATCCTCCTTTCTCCCGACAGAACAGCATGACCAGTCAGACAAGCATGTCTGCTTTATTCATCCCCTCTGCTAGTGGCTTCACACCAACCGTCCCATGGGTAAGTCTATGCAGACCGAACCACCTTTCCACTAAATGTTCTGCTACTAACAATGTTTCCCAGCTCGAGTCCTGGTTGCCCGAACTTCCTTTACACACGACCCTCACCATCATCTCGGCGATTGCACCTCATATACCTGATGCAGCGCTTGCAAGCGCAGCTAGCCCGGAGGCCCGTACACTAATCCACAACCTCCCATCATTTGCTGAAGAGCCCGAGGTTACAAGCATAATCTCTGAACCAACCCCTGTTCGCGTGCAATCATTCGAGTGGTCCGCACTTTCCATGGGCTGGTACGAATCGCTGCTGTGGGGCTTCATCTTCTCCAGCGAGATGGTAGTCGGTTCCGCTTCTGGTGCAACTCCAGGAACAGTTGGTGTCTGGAACGGCACAGCCATTAAACTCTTCAGAGTCCAAGAAGCTGCCGCTCAAGGTCCGACCTTACTTGCGCCCAAGGGTGCAGTTGATGCTGTGGGCAGCAACCTGGTCCAGCGCATCGGAAATCTCAGCCTTCGGGGTCGGAATTCACAGGACTCCGGAGCTGCCTCTTCGCCAAGTGTGCGGGAGGTTTAAGATCATATTTCCGTGACGTACATAGTTTTCATTTCACAGCTTGACCTCTTCGACAATTTCGCTATCTTCCGTCCTCGAGCTCCCTGGATGACGGTGCTGGTCTTGCGATTTTCAAGTTTTTTTTTAGCACCTTCTGGCATTCATACCAATTACCATACATTACTGTTCCGGGTTTCTTGTGGTCTCTTCAGTAAACAACTACTACTATCAGATCAGCTCTTAATTGGTCTCCCATCTTGGGTACACCTTTGAGTGTTCTTTTTCCAATAGTCAAGGAATCAACCATATGATAGATAATAATGGGCTTTAAATGATCAACTCGATTTTCTTATATGTTATTCAATTCATAAAATATTCCCCCTCGACGTTATGGTCATCGATACCCCTTGTGGAAACACGTGTCCGAGTTCCGATCGTCATTGCAATTTGCCTCTTCAATTCAGTCAATTGAATCCACCTTCTTTCAATTCCAGCTCGATACGTGAAGGAGGATCAATTATTTGAGTAATTTTGTGAGCTAATGCTCTCTGCCTTCATGTTATTCCTTTCTAGCGTTGTTGTGGCTCTTCTCGCGGGTCCGAATCCAGCCATTGGGGCGATCACCTCTAGCCTACAGAGCATCTTAAAAAACACCCATGGCAGCACAGACTATGGGTATCCCACTGATCTGACAAGAGATCTCTTACCTGTGAGTTTATCTGCGATATTATATATCGATAAACTGTCTATGAGCTTTCCGGCATCTAGACCATGTTGTTAACCCTGGGGGTCACGATTGTCTAGATTCCTGTTCATTCTCATAAGTAAGGATACTTCTCATGGTGCTCACTCCTGACTTGATCATATACTTATTAAACCAAAGTGACTATTGGCGAGACGAGCCTTTCTATACCGGTATGCCGGAGCTCTAGTGCTTAATATCTGATTACCCCTAACATTACCATGCACAGGTCTCTCGCATGGCTGTACATCTACCGAAGCTGATGTCTGGCTATACAACGGCACCCTCTATGTGAGTTTGCTTAATATATGATATCTTGCCCGTTCTTCTGGGTAGTATACTAACCAAACAAGGTTGGCCATGATCAATCCGCCCTGAAGGCGTCGCGAACTCTTGAATCATTGTATATCAATCCAATTCTAGACGTCCTAGAGCGCCAGAATCCCGAGAGTCCATTTATATCATCGCCTACTAAAAAGTGAGTATCTGGGCAGGACCCAATATGGTCTCACTGCTAATGCTTTGTTGAAACAGTGGCGTGTGGGATACTGCTCCCGACCAAACGCTTTACTTCTTCATTGATGTGAAGACATCTGGCCCCGAGACGTTTAAGGCTGTGATTGCCGCTTTAGAACCTCTACGAGAGAGGGGCTACCTTACTACCGTCAAGGATGGCAAGACCGTTACCAATGGACCCGTCACTATCATTGGCACGGGAGAGACACCGTTCGACATGGTTGCGCCCATCAAAGACCGAGACTACTTTTTCGATGCACCTCTCGCGGATCTCAATGATCCCAAATATGCTGATGTAACTGGCGTTATCTCGCCTGTTGCTTCAACAGATTTCCAGGAAGCCGTCGGCAAGATCACTGTCGATACGGATCCAATTCTCTCAGACGACCAACTCGAAGCTCTCCGAGACCAAATTGCCACTGCAAATGAGCGAGGGATTGGTGCTAGATATTGGAATACGCCATACTTCCCGATCCGTGCACGAAACCTTGTCTGGAGGACTCTTTTGAGGGAAGGGGTCATTCTGCTCAATGCCGATGATCTGGATGCTGTAGCTTCTCACTTTTAAGTGACACCAGGCTCCAAAAATGACATGAAGGCCATACATGCAGTTACTTATGCACTCGATTACATTTACGCCCGCTCATGTGGCTTCTTACTGGGATTCCGGTTAATCTGGTGGGATACGTTCTGGGATTCTCCTTGATTCAAGGATAGAAACTACCGGCTTTTCTGTCAATGCGATATTCATGTTTGCCATAACCCTCCGTCTTCGCCCTTCTCAAGGCTTCCAAGATAAAGCATAAAGCCCTCCGTCAACTCCTGCCAAATGGATACCATACCATGTCTCATTCACTTCGCAGACATAAGCGACACTTGTGTGGCGAATTCTTGACATCGATGTGTTTTATTTGACGGCCAACACAGCGTTCATCCTCTTTCTTCATGTGCCGTGGACATTTGATGAACTCGCCGCCTGTCGAGTGACCACAGGCGTAACGGATCTGCAACTGCATGCAGACTTCCTGTGTGTTGATGTCGGGCACTACGGTGCATGATCAGTGGCTTCTCTGAGCAAGCGAGGTAACACAAACGTAGACTTACCTGTTAGGTCTCCGGGCGGTCTGTGAGACATCTCGGCGTGACCAGGATGCGGCTCTGTTACACTTGAATCTGTGCTTCTCATGTTCGATGAAATGTTGATATAATTAGTCCGCTCAATAAAATATTCATCTGGTTAGTCTTGCTTACCCTTAGTGGTATTTTCGGTTCTGCTTGTGTCTACGAGTAGCAGTTTAGATTGGGAAAAGACTGGGGAAAGTGGAAGAACTGGTGAGAGAACAAACATCCAACCCTTTCAAATATCACATATTGGCTAATACTGGTTTTGAGCAAACATGCTTGCAAGCACCAAGCGTCATGGTCTCTATGCAATGAGCCCTCCCTATGTTCCTTTCATTCAGGTAGTCTACATAAGTACCTGGTCTCAGTCCTATTGCTGATACTTTCTCTGCCTCAATACCACCTATGCAATCCAACGACCTAATCAAAGAGCTCTGAATGTCAACATATCGACCTTCCTAAAGCGGCGATCCATGTGTGCCTGGCACGTGATCTCCAAGGGCGCGAAATCGAGCTCCGCGGTCTCCAGCTCCTCTCTTCACCTTTTCCACGACTCTCATTGGACGAACGAGAATGGCGGCAGATCTGGCAGATCTCTTGGCCAAGGTGCTCCCCACCGGGGTTGAGGTCACTGTTCGCCATGTCTCCTCAACACCCACTCCGTGCGAAGCTCTCTTTGCAGCTGCGCCGGGCCAGGTCTCGGAGCCGACATTCTGCGAAAATCACTTCCTCTCTTTGTCAACTGACTGCAATGATGACGGTGAGACAATTATCTTCGGAATGGAGGTGATGGTCTACAACACGGCCCACTTAACCACCATCTTCATCTCCAAGGCCGACTCGACTGGCTTCCTGCATCTCCTAAAATTACCGCGCAAGGTGTCTGTCCTGAGACTTGTCTCCAATACATTTCTCTCATTTCTGGCTCGAACCCGCCAACGGCCCGGTGTACGTCTGGTTCTGTCGCTGTTCGCCCGCGCCCAAAATCAGTACCTGTTCCCGGGCAGCATTGAGAACGCCGAAAAGCATGTTCTTGACGATCGGGGCCTGATCAAGTGGTGGTGTCGTGTTCTAGATCCGATCTTACGCGAGCACGAGCCAGAGTCTGCTCTTCAAGAAACAAAAGCGCTGGATCAAACAGTCGAAGCTGCCAAGGCCTCTGCCACTGCATACTTGATCGTTCCAAGCTGTGACCGCTTTGAGACACTGAATTTCTTCCCGCCTACGGCCAAGACCGATCCCCAGGATCGCCCACGGTGGCTCAACAGCTACCCACTGAAGCAATTGTATCACGACCCCTCGGCTCCTCCCCGCTGCTTGGTGCCTCGTTTCCCCGATGATCCCAAGACTCGTTTCCTCATCGACCTGGACGGTGAACTCCCCGAGGAGAATGAAGGTCAGCCTGTCGCCCCTAATGCCGGACGCTGGCGCAGCGTACGCTCCTTGGACCAATTCTGGGAGATGATGTCCTTCCGCCAAGAATGCTCTGCTGGTCGGTTAGTCGGCTTTTTGTGGCTGGTCATCAATCCTCCTGGTTTGATGAACTCGACGTCAATGGAAAGCCAAACACGCGGTTCCTCTGACAACGGCCTGGTCTCCAATAGAACAGAGATTTCTGGGACCATTCCAAACGAGCAGAAAGTGGAGGATGGCTCTAGCCAGTCCCAAGAAATTGCTACCTTGACGAAGGCAACAACCACTTCCACGACCACCGATACCTCCCCCAAACTTCTCCAGGACGATGGATCTAGCACTATCAACCCTTTCGACTGGCCAGAAGCCGGACGTGGACAAGTCGTTCTCAGCGAAGCAGACTACAAAACCATGATGGATTCGGTTCTAGACCATTTCTATGACGAGAAAGAAGTCGTCGCCAGTACCAAACTCTACGTTGACCAAGTTTCTTGCCTCGCGGATGAGCTTACTTGGGGCAAGAAGGTTGTCGGAAGCAATACCTTGAGCAGCACTACTTCCCAGCCTGTCCACACCAATACCAACAATGACCTAGATCTCGGACTGATCCGCAAGCGAAAGAAGTCATTGGGCGAGGGCAACACACCCGTTGTGAGTGGGAACCAAGCACCGAGTGAGGCGGGAGACACGCAAGCAGCTCCGTCAGCACCGGCTGGTGTCAATGTTCTCAATGCGAGCTTGGTCCGGAAGAAGAAGAAAACATGATTAATGGGATTTTGCATTTGCTTTCGGTATCATGGGATAGGTCATGGAGTTTGGGGGAAATATTGATGTTTTTTCTTCATAATTGACATTCGAAAATAAATGAATAGCCATAATTTCCGCAATTGAACTACATTAGTACTTTTCTTTACATCCGGAGGTTCCGAGCAGGCTGCTATTTTGATACATCGATTATTTATAGTGTCTGAAATGAGACGCCCTCTGGTTGGTCCAATGCGCGTCCACAGGTGTCCTGTGAGAGCGGAGACAGCCAACTGCCGAAATGAAATCCACTCTCATCCAATTGCTTATTCTTCTTCTTCTCCTCCAGAATGTCCTTCTCGTATGCTTCTATGTTGCGTTCCCTTCGTGTCCCATGATAACGCCTACCTTTTCGTTCCTCCTTCGCAGGTCTGACGATGGCGCGCTGTACGCGTCCGTCGCGATCGGTTGGATTGCCCTGATCTGGTATGCCTTCATACTGGGAGTTTGCGGCTTGGGATATTTTCAAATGTATGATTCGGCCTGCTTTTTCAAAATTAAATATAACTAATGCAATTCCTTTCTGCTCAGATGGAAATATTTCCTCGGCCAGCCGTATCGGTCACGGCTAACGAACGCCGCCGCCGCCGACGTACCGCACGTCACCGCCATCCGACCTGTCAAGGGCCTTGAACCGCACCTCTATGACTGTCTCGCTGCCACCTTTCGACAGGACTACCCATGCGACAAGCTCAGCATTCGTCTATGTGTATCGACACGCGCCGACCCGGCCTACTCTACCCTCCGCAAACTAATCACCGACTTCCCGCATGTCGACGCGAGGATTTTTGTCGAAGACGAGGATCCCCTTTTGCAGCAGGATAGCATCAATACGTACACGCTCGGACCGAATCCCAAGATCCGGAATATGAGCCGCGCATACCGTGAAGCGAAAGGAGATATCGTCTGGATCATTGACTGCAATGTCTGGGTCGGGAAGGGAGTCTGTGCCCGGATGGTGGACAGACTGTGCGGGACTGGACCCTCATCGAGCAAGAAATACAAGTTCGTGCACCATCTACCTGTGGCAGTGGATGTGACAGGAGATAGAAACCTGCGTGAAGAGCGTCAGGCACTCCTAGATGCCAACCCAGAAGCCACGGATGCTGGTGGAGTGCCCGCAGCGATGACGTCCGTCCGTCCGGAGGATGGGCCTGCAGCTATGATCGCGACTGGAGGCGGTCGTTTGGAAGAGCTGTTCCTGTCCTCCGCGCACGCGAAAATGTACACCGCAATCAACACGGTTCTTGTTGCGCCGTGCATCGTGGGAAAATCCAACATGTTCCGCCGCTCCCATCTCGACTATCTCACCAGTCCGTTGGCATCGGACCCCCAGGCTCGCCATCCCGGCATCGATTTCTTCTCCGACAACATCTGCGAGGACCATCTGATCGGTGATCTGCTGTGGAAGAAGCAGGTGCGGGAAGAAAAAGAGCTCCGCGAGCGTTGGGGCAAGCATGCCATGGTCTTTGGTGACATGGCTATTCAGCCTGTTGCCAACATGAGCGTGCCGGCATACATCGCCCGTCGTGTCCGGTGGCTGCGAGTCCGTAAATTTACCGTTCTGCTGGCTACGCTTGTCGAACCAGGCACCGAGTCATTCCTATGCACAACCTATGGTGCCTGGGGCATCACTACTGCATTGGCGCCGTATCTTGAGCGCAATGGCGTGCAATTTGCTGCCTGGCTTGGGACGTGGGGTGCGTTTTTTGTCTTGTTCTCACTTGGCATTATCTCCTGGATCCTGGTCGATTGGACACTGTATATCAAGCTGCATTCGGCAAAATGCATCGAGTTGGATGAGGATACCCCAGCTTTTGCTCGGCCTCAACGCTACCGGTCATCCCAAACCACTCGTCGCCCGTTCATGCAATGGTTCGCCACCTGGCTGGGCCGTGAACTGCTGGCCCTGCCCATCTGGATCATGGCCGTGTATGGCGGTGTGACAGTCGTCTGGCGAGACCGACGCTTTAAGGTCGGCTTCGATGCGAAAGTTCGGGAGATCGATCCCTCTACTCCGCTACCTGTGCAGGTTTCGTCTTCTACCGGAGCGGTAGCGGGCAAGGTCCGGAGTGATTGAATTGATGTGTAGATGAGAGCATATGAACGTTATGTATGTATACTAGAGCAGCATTCTAAGCCCTGTAGCGTGTTTCAATGTAATGTCATGATAAAAAAGAATCAAAATGCATTAATATAGACACTAACAAACAACATATGCAAGAATAGAAAGTTACCCATATCTCCGATTCTATGCATGAAATCTTTAAACTTTTCTTCAATCATATCTGCCCAAAAAAAGCCATGTCATCCCAACCTCCTTGAGATAATCAAGCAGATCCACTAGCCTCACCCTCAGTAGCCCCTTTCTCCAAACTAGCGCCACTATCCGAATTCAAGAGCCACTCAACAACCTGTCTGCCCGCAGACATCTCACCAGCACTCTCAGCAGGCTTCTCCTCACCCTCATTCTCACCAATAGTCATCTCAATCTCCTGAGTCTGAGCATCATCGCCCTCAGCGCCCTCGACATCCTCGTCACCCTCAACAGCAGCCCACGCCGTCCGCTCAGCGAGGAACACAGCGTCGTGGCCAGCATCGTTCTTAACATCAAGGTCTGCGCCAGCTTCGACAAGAGCCTTAACGCATTCCAGGTGCGCGTTAAGCGCAGCCCAGTGCAGGGGCGTGTTGCCGGAGTTGTTGCGGTGGTTAACAAATGCGGAACGCTGGGCTGCGTCTGCGGATGACAGCTTTTGGAGCAGAGTTTTGAGGATTTCTGAGCGGTGTTAGTAAATACAAGAAAGAGGCGAAGGAATATTTGACATGACATGTAAAAACACAAGCAAGTCAAGTACAAATCGTTCGATTGACATACCAGAGTTTCCATTCGCAGCAGGGAAGTGCAGAATGCAGGATCCAGAGCCGCCCTCGCTCTCATCTGCCATGTCGATGGCAGATACCACGATCTGGGACTCGTTGCAGCTGTGTTGGCTGGCCAGGTTGGCGATGTCCTCATTTAGGGCCTCGAGGTCGCCTGCTCGGGCGTCATAGATCAGATCGTCGACTGCCTCGGCGGAGAGTGCGATTGGCACTGAAGGCTTTGCCTGTGATGTCGTGGAGGCGGACATGATGTGTGATGAACCAGGTTTTGGTATTATTTTTTTCTTTCTTTTTTGGTGGGGTTGTTTTTGATATCCCACTTTATTTGATGTAGCTGGAGTGGGGTGTCAGTAATTGGTCAATGTTCACGATTGGAGATGACAAGATAAGTGACAAGAAAACAAGGGGTATGATGTATGTAAAATCATAAAGGAATTTGGTGGAATTTGGAATTTTGCATAGTACGACAGCATGCCCCCCCCCCCCCCGGCGATATATCCATGCAATTCATGTCGATAAGCATTTCATTGTCAAGGACATGTTCCAGCCACAAAATGGGAATCGGTGTTTGAGGTGTTATTCCACGAATTGAATGTCAATCAACAGGGAGTACATTCTTACCTTTGCTTTCAGTTCTTTGCTTTCTAGCGTGGAGTATCCCGGCAACAAATGAAGCGATTGCCGCAAAAAAATAATTTGATATCGCGGGTCATGTGACTGATAGTGGGCTATCAGTCAAGGGTACAACAATAGAAGTCGTCGAATGAAAGTGGATGCAAATAACTACGCGCACATGATACACATTAAAATTACTGGGAGAGTCTCATATCGAGACAATGCTTGTGTTGATACATAGTACATTGTACAAATAACTTTGCTCAATCGTGGGTAGAGACGACAGGGCCTGTCTGCCTCTATCCACATGCAAGGCAGAACGCCGAGAGAAAAACAAATCAAACAAGCTCAAACGCCGAGTCCCACGTCCGGTGGGATGGTATCAAAAAGCTCCGAAATGGCAATGCGACCGGTGGCAACGAGAGAATACATCATACAACCCTCCCTCCCTCCCAGAACTCAAACAAACAGTTACCCACAGAGCTCTAATCCCTGAGCCAAGCCCGCCTCTTCTCCTCCTTCTTCTCACGACGTTTTTCCTTGAACTGCTTCAACTCTTGCTTCGTCAACTTCTTAGCACTGCGCTCTGCGCGCAAGCTCCGGCCGTCATGGCTATTTGCCGCGGCATCAACGTCGAAGAAAGCGTTCATCTGTCGTCGAGATTTGTTCGCATCATTGTGATTTTCCGGATTGATTGAATCAGCTTGCCATCGTCCAGTGAAGCGGTTAAATGTGCCGGTAGCTGCATATGCTGCAGAGGGGTCGAAACCGACTGCGCTCGTGGGCTGTGCTGGCTCTTCGTGGTATTGCGCATACGATGCCGTGGGGTCATAGTTGCCGTGGATCGCGGGATTGTAACCACCAAGGACTGGCTCTTTTTTCGGAACTGCGCTTTGGTTGCTGTCTTCTGTGCCGGGGGCTGCTGGGATTACTGGGGCTGCTGGGGCCTGAGGCACGCGAGGGTTTTCCCACTGTGAAACTCCAGTGAAGCGGTTGTAAAAGTAATATGCCCCTGCGGTGGCGTCCCATGCAGGTTCCCATCCATCGTCCTCGGTCTGTGCGGGCGGAGCCTCGGTGGGAAGTGGTGGTGGGAGATCATCGGGGAGTGGTGGTGCAGATGTCAGTTCATCTTGTTCAGGTTCATCGGGTTGAGACTGGGACGCGTGGGTCTCCGGTTCTTCAGTTTGTTGGTGTTCTTCGTTCTTTTCCGCGTGGTCTTTCTGACTATCGATGTCATGCTTGGCTTCCGTCTCAAGGCCCGATGGAGCAGGGCTGGGTGAGCCAGTGACGCGCTCTTGGGGAGCAGATGCCGATGCTTCTGGTGAGGCAGACATGCTGGGCAATGAAACCAATGATTTATGCAGGCAGGTAACCAATTGACAGAAGAGAAAGAGATCAGAGGATGCGATCTACCAAGTCGAAACAGAGGGTCCGTGCGGGGCATTTACCGCCACCGCCTACCTAAATGGGTCAATTTGGACGCTAACCCTAAGTATATTAGCGCAGGAGTATACACATGTGCACTCAACATCCGAGGACTACAAACCTACATCTCCAGGACCGTCACAGTTCAGATTTTGATTGAACATGTCTCACTTTTACATCAGATCAAATTCAGACTATTACCGTGTTATCTCTCCTACTTCAGTTTTGTGCTTGCCAACGCTCCAGCAATGGCACTATAACTTCCAGCGATGGCATGGCACTATGCTGGTTTGCAATCATCATCCCATTGCCGGTGCTCTCACGCAATAATGTACATATTTACACAGCGCAGTGACCAATTTCTGATTTTTTGTCTGTTACCGATCTGTTTTCGAGATACAGTGCAGACTGCAAGACTGCATACTGATTATGCACTCAGACAAGCATCTCGGAAGCGCGATCTCAGCTGCGTGTTCTCACACATGAGTATAGCTTGCTATCTGTAATGTCCTATATCCTCTCCCCTCCTTGCGAGTTCCCTATGGAACTTCCCGCGGGAATATTCATAGTCAACAACGAACTTCCGTGTGGAACTTCGGCCACAGTTATTTGATGTGGTGCAATTAACAAGAAATATGAAAACAACAGCTAGTTGTTAGGCAACTGTTTGGTGGAATGCGCGAGCAGGAATGTATGTAGTCGGGTCTTCCGGGTTCTATATTTTTTCCACTTGCGTGGACGCCTCGTGAATTGCATACGCAAGCCAAACAACAGATGAAGGCTCTGATACTGCTGTTAAACAAACGATTGGAGCTCAGGAAAATCTTTACATAGGAAATCTGATGAAAAGTTGATCGTCATGTCCGATCTACGAACCTACAATACTATGGACACACTTCGTATAGATGAGAGATGATAGATCTAGTTACGTATGTAGTTATAAAGTTTTTCATAGTGACATTTAGCTCAGTTTATACATAATAGAGAAGCCTTTTCTAGCAATAGACTGTAGGATACTGCGAATTGTTCGAACTCGGATATTTCTTTCCAACCTGCTAAGATATAGCTCCTTGCTTGATTTAACCCTTTGAACTTTTTCGGGTGATTTTGAGCGAGCCCTATAGCTCGGGCACAGTTACCGGCTGTTCTAATTGGCCTTTCGGGGGTTCTAACACTGGAATGTTGCCCCTGTGTTAATTCCTTGAACTACAGCGATGTGAACTCCCTGATTTCAGTAGAACTAGCTGCTTTGTGATGGGTTTGGCCTCTCACTATTGGATTGATCGCGAATTCCTCCATCCGTGTGGCTGACATTCTATCTTGTTTGTTGATGGTAAGCTTCACTAGGGGTAATCCTCTTGTATATCTTATTTGAGGTTAAAAAGGACCTTGTCCTGGCCGTCTTCGATGCTCGCCATCCAACATCCAGTCGACAAATTTCGCCAATATCGTGTCTCATCTTCGTTCTTTTAGACCCACGCCCACCTCCAGCGTCATTCACTCATTTTTAGTATCCTATTTAATTACTGGCTTCAACTAATACAGCTTGCCCATTATGAAGGGAATTACTTTTCTTTCGCTTTTTGGTGCTGCACTAGCTCATCCGGCGGGCCTTGTGAGTACTTCTATTTCTAGGTATATCAGAGCACACATCTGACCTGAGGGATATCTTAGTGGTGGGGTACCGATGTCTGCTACACCAGTCCAGACAATACCGACAATCAGTGCTCGGATGTTCAACAGAAAGGCTTTGACTGGTCTGAGCTGGCAAACGGTGACAATTGGGACTTTGATGGCTTCCACTTCTCTGGGCTCGAGCCCAAGAAGGGCTGTCAGGGATCTAATGACGGAGTAGGTCATTTTTACACATTTGAAGCTCTCAATTCTAACTCCTTAAAGGGCACTTGTCTTGCGGGAAAACTTTCTCGTGATGATGACTGGACAATCGAGATTTCCGCCACCGACGCTCCATTCTCAATCCGAAACTTCCATCTTTCAACTTCCCGGAGCACGGATGTCCTCATAATCTATGAGATGCCTGACGGTTCTTCCTGTCATCATGTCGCTTCGAGCTCGTACAGGGGAACTGATGTCGCCAACGACCAGTGCGGCGGTGCTGTGTCGGTCGAGTTCACGCTTCCCGAAGAGAGCAAGTTCGGCCATTGTGATATCGAGATCCATCAGATCGACTTTGACTGCTCTACTGGATCCAAGCCGCCAGGTCACCCCGAGCCTAGCCCGAGCCCGACTCCTTCCCATCCTCCGTTCCATTGGACCTCGTCTGCTACGCAGGAGGTTTCTACGACTAGCCACTCTTCCCAGAAGATGACGACTTCCACAGTCTGGACTACTGAGGAGATCACCATCACCAAATGTCCACCAACCGTCACCAACTGCCCTGATCATTCCACTGTATTGGTTACCTCTACATATCCATTGTCCACCACAATCTGCCCGTCCAAGCCCGCAGAAACGGATCCTACCACATCCTCTCATGTTGTGCACATACCGATCACGAGCTCGACTGCTTTCCTACCTCCTTGGACCTCTTCTGCTACGCAGGAGGTTTCTACGACTAGCCACTCTTCCCGGCAGATGACGACTTCCACAATCTGGACTACGGAGGAGATCACCATCACCAAATGTGCACCAACCGTCACTAATTGCCCTGGCCATTCCACTGTATTGGTTACCTCTACATATCCATTGTCCACCACAATCTGCTCGTCCAAGCCCGCAGAAACGGATCCTACCACAACCTCTCCTCATGTTGTACACACACCGATCACGAAATCCATCAGCACCACGACCACTACCGAGCCCAGCCCGCCCGCTGTTACTGCGCCTTGCCCCAACGTGGTACCCAAGTGTATCAACACATGGCTCTCCATTCCCAAGTGCGACTCCAACAGCGACGCCGCATGCTTCTGCCCATCCACCGAATTTACAGACAAAGTTAGCGGCTGTATTCGAGCCTGGAGCAGCTCCAAGGAAGAGGAAGATTCCGCCCTTGCTTACTTCGCTGGCATCTGCGCCTCCTTCGTTCCGAAGAACCCTGCTATTGTTGACATCGCTACAACCTGCACTTCGTCGTACCCCGTTCCTACGATCACTGCTGGCCCTCAGATCACTGACAACACACGTACATTTGCTGAGACTGTTGGTGTAGCCACCTCTGTCCCCCAGGCTCCTCCTTGTACCACCATCAGCTGGGCCTCGCATACGGCAACTGTTCCCCACGTTGGGTTCAGCACGGTCACTTGTTCCTCCACAACTTCTGTGAATCTGGTGGTTGTTACTACGACCAGTCCTCCTAAGACCAGCCACTATGCGCATGTGTCGTCCTCGAAGATGACAACTCGATGCAAAACCCACTCCACCTCTCTTCTTACGCCAACTGTTCCTAAGACCACTTTCTCCAAGCCCACAGGATCCAAGCCAACTGAAACTGTCGTCCTTGCCAATGCTGGGTCGAAACTACCCTTGTGTAGTTTCTGGGCTTTTGGCATTTCACTTTTGGCGCTTTTGTTTTAATAGTCTCCTTGTCCAAATTTTGAGAAAACGAACTTTACTTCATTGTGGTCGGTCGTGACTTGTTCCATTGCATATATTAAATGCAAGGCAATGCGGACTAGGGCTCGATCTGATTAAACTTACATTCTGGCAATAATTATATACTACTTATTTATTTGAAGATTATCTACTTGGATGTAACGTTGGAAGTAATCTCACCGGTCTAATCGCCGCCTTGATCTTCCTATAACTGACTATAACTAAGATTCTGACCATCCTCCACATTATACCTAGTCCATACTCAATAAATTACACAAATGATTTTTGCAAATCTATGGCTACGAGGTAGGTAGCAAGTTCACCTCCATCTTATATACCATCGCTCAAAGTCTATAGGGGAACCCCGGCACTCGTATCGTGCGCATTGTGATCAATGAAACTGACTCATATGTACGAAAAGGCCTAACTTGAAAGAATGTCATACGAGCTCATCGAGCTAATCCCACGCCAAAATATCAGTAAGATCATGTACATGGCCAGGTTCCCACTGAACAAGGGCAAGATTCCCGGGATCGAAGCAGTAGGTTTGTGCTTGACCGAGACGGTTGCAATCGTAACAGTAGGTGCTGTATTATATGATCAGAGTGGGTGCTCGATGCGCGATGGAGAACAGCACAACCAAACATAATGACACTTGGGAGCTGTAAAAAAGTGGTTCGGAGTTTTATATTGATCGATGCGGAAACGCCGAATGTAGGTCCATATGCATGAGAAAAGGCAAGTGTGGCAAACTTTTGCAGATCTGAATAAAGCATAGGGAAATGATCCTTTGGTCCGGGGCCTTTTAGCATGCAGCGTAAGCTTGAATGGAGTGATCATGGATATCTCGGGTTTGTGGCTGTGTTGGACTACACTTGCATGGATCGGGCAAAAAGGAAGATACAAACAATAGGCAAGATTCGTCCGACGCGTAACTTACGTTGTAGGCGAAAAGTATTCATTGGATGAAGCTAGTGAGAAAATTACTGAGTATTGCTTACAACATTGGGCATCCCTCATGAATAGCCCAAATACAAAGTACCCTCTGTGAGACAGGGCCCACTTTCAGCTTTCAGCTAGCCTTCATCATCCACGCGGAACTGATGGCAAGGGGAGAAATAATTGAATATGGAGCTGATAAAATATTTGCGCTTAGTATACCCACGCTAGGTAAGATAACGCCTCTTTCCGATCTTCTTTCGATTCAAAGCTCGGAATGGACCGAAGTGGAGACATTTTCTAGCCACAAGCGTCATCGAATAGGGGTTATTATATCGTACTCTGTACCTGGAAGTAAAATTGAATTCATAGAAGACCAGAAATTTTGTCAAGCAGTAAGTCATCGCCGCTGAGGAGTGACTCTGAACCTGTCAGAAGACCAATGAAAAGACAAAGGACTAGTCCTACAATAGCAAATACATATAAAGAAAGTACTACAGATTGGATAATGTAGTGATAAATGCGAATCACATGTCTGCGTGGCTGGAGACATGTCAGATATAACATCCTCGGCAAACCTAACTTACGCTATTGAGACATTGATGTTGTAGTCCCCACTTCAAGGTCCGCTAAAGTGATGAACAGGCTAAAAACCCTTATTTTGTTCCATATAGCGGTCAGTCGATCCACCTAGATTCAGTTCTTCACGCAAACTACGGAGTATACCTTTCATTCACCCAATCGGGTCAACAAGGAATGGAGACCCAGCTGGTCATAAATTTCAGAGAACCCACCACGGAGCTGAAGTTCGTGATAGCATGCATACTATCGCCGAAAACGCTGAACCGTTTCGGCCCGATCTGGAGCAGGATTTCGATCCCATAAATAGGGACGAAAAAATACGAGGGCAACATCCAATGACAAGTAGATCTGCTGTCGGCTCATATCTCCCCTAGGCCCTATTATATCGGGAGACAAAACCAGAAACGGGAAGGACTGTCTTTCTATCGATCTGCTGTACTAGTACTTATGTACTATGTGCCACAGTTCAGCCCCGATCAGGTTTATCGAAAAAAGTAGAATGTGGCTGGCTAGCACTACTTGAAATGCATACAGTAGTATATCTTTGGTGGTATATTTACCCTCCAGTGTTCGCTTTCTGGTCCTAAATCTATTCAAACCATTCATGCAGAACAGTTTCCCACTATGGAGAACGGATTACAGCAACAGCTCCAGCAACTACAACAATCGAGCCCTGCCTTAGATGATTTAGCACGTTCAGAGCTCTTCAAACCAGCCCCGCGCTCTTTCAACCTGGAGCAATCTACTAGACTGAGTTACCAGAGGGCGAAGGCTTTTGCTAATGCATATGGTATTCCCTACTTATCTACTCTGCCACTATATACAACTAATAACCAGAGCAGGCTTGACGCTTAAGGATGTTTTATACATCACCCCTAAATTCTGGAAGCTGCATCGAGAACCTCTACTGGCAATTGATGGCGGGGCTTTCACCCTCCTTAGTATTCAGTGCAATCTCTTTGTGGGCACGCTGGCTCCTTTTGCCTTGAAGCGTCCGGAGCTTCAGCCAATCCTCCAATCTGCTTTGGATTTCGATATCTCGTGAGTTCATCTCTAAGCAAATCTTCAAACACGCAGCATTTTAAGATTCGTAGCTAACAGGGAGTTGATATCTAGGGCACAATTCATGTTGACCGAAGTGAATCATGGATTAGATGCACGGAATATTCAGACAACCGCAACGATTCTGCCCGATGGTGACATCGACCTTCACACTCCTTCCGCAAACGATGCAAAGTAAGAGGAATATCGGAGTTCAATTATTTTGAAATTGGCTAACAGATAGTCTCAGGGTCATGCCGCCAACTACACCGAGGGGTGGTATTCCAGTGATTGCAATTGTGATGGCTCGTCTTGTGAATGAAGATAAAGACTATGGAATCCGGCCATTCCTAGTCCAACTTGGAAACGGAAAAGAGATGTGTAAGGGTGTTATAGCGAAGTGAGCCTCCAAGAACCCTCCCATGTCTAGACCACAAGAGCTAATTTATAAAAGGGCCTTGCCTCAACGAACTGGTGCCCATCCAGTCGATCATGCTCTCACATACTTTGACCACGTTCGTCTACCAAGATCCGCCTTACTTGGCAGTGCGGAAGAAACAGAAAACAAGCGCGAAGGGTTCTTGTCCTCGATCCATCGCGTTGCAGTGGGTACTCTCTTCCTCTCAGGGTGTGTCATCCCATCACTCAAGCTCGCCGCCTACAATGCCGCGTGTTTCAGCCAGAACAGGCTTGTCAGTGGCCAAGACGGAAAACCGGTGGCAGTGATTGATTTCCGGACTCAACATATGCCCATCCTCCATACTATCGCCCAGTATAGTGTGCTAGAAGCATTCCTCGTTTCTGCAGCGATGGCGTTCCGAGAACAGAGCGTGGACCCCCGAGTGCGCCATGGTATAGCCACAGCTTTCAAGGCGATAGCACTTGGTCATTTCAACAAAAGCATCAATGCTATGAATGAGCGATGTGGATGGCATGGACATTATGAGCATAATCAGCTCCTTCAGATGGAGGTAAGATCTCAGTTTTTCTTACTCGTCTTATGGTTGACTAATTCACCTTTCTAGCTGGAAATGCGCGGCGCATCGACTGCAGAGGGCGATATCCGCGTTCTTGCCATCCGTACGTGTCTGGAACTTGAAAATGCCGGAGAAATTACTAACAGTAAAATATAGGACTCGCGTCTGAACTATTGATCGGTCGGTATCAAATGCCTCCACCAAACGATCCCAGCAGCCCCATTGCTCGACACGAGGCGTCCCTGTTCTCCGAAGCGAGGGATCTTCTTCAAGAAGGTGCCAAGGGAGCTCACCGAAGCGAGCGATTCAATCGGGATATCCTTCCGCTCGCTCTTCCATTAGTTCAGGCAGTTGGCCACAGAATGGCATATGAAGCTGCTATAGACGCCAATATTGACTCGAGCTTGCTTGACCTTTATGAGAGTGGGGTTTTGAAGGAGGACTCTGCGTGGTACGTTGAACAAGGGGGACTCAGCAGAGGAGTTCAACGCGAAATGGAAGCTCAGGCGGTGGATGTCTTACTTCCCCAGATGAAGGATCTCCTGTTGGTTTCTGGTGTCCAGCCATATAGCAATGCCCCCATGACTTCGAAGACATTGTGGAATGATTTCGTTTCGGGGTTGGAGGTCTTCGAGGGAGATGCGCCTTCAGATCTGTTTCCTTGATTTTTGAGGGGTTGATTATTTATAGTTTGAATCGATATAGCGATTGATTTTCGTTAGATAAATATACTTATGTAAGTTTTATAAGACTACCTAGGGTTGACAATTGTTGACCAAAAATCTCGGGGCACCCTATTTGGACCCACACCCGCGTTCAAAGGCGCGTTTTTGATGTCTTGAGAAATTGGAGGCTGCAATTCCTCGCTTTTATGGACATCCATGCAAGATAATGATCCTATTCACACGGCCAAGATTGTTAGAAAATGGTTAACTAAGGACTGTAATTGCACGATGGTATAGTCACCATATTCGCGAGATTTTAGTCCCATTAGATACGCGAGGTCAAAACCGAAAAGAATTTTCGATCGGATTAATCCCGATCTTCCAAACTGTGCTGAAACCTTGGAACTGTTGATCAATTATTTAATCTTTTTCGGATTTAATTGAACAGGCGTAGGTGGTGTTGGGAGGAGAATAATTTGGCCGGGTGGTTAGCACCATGGAGCACAGAGCTTAGGGATTGCTAAGTATTTGTAAATAATGTGATTGGATTCATTGAACAATTGCGCATTTAAAAGTATTATTTTTGTTGTTATGCATTGGTTGTAGATATATATTTGGGGTGTTGTTTCCTAGAACTATAGTACTCTACATACTATACACCTATACACCCACACTCTGAAAAAATATATATCTTGAACCTCTACGTTAAAGACAACTCCCACCCCAACCACTTTAGTGGGAAGTAAAGAAGAAGACCATTTCAATCAAGCGTTTATTATAGAGGTAGAGATAATTGTTTAATAACTTAATATGAAATTTTAGTAAATTTGTTTCGTGAAGACTACTAGAACGGCTAGGTTATCATCAATTAGCGTTGCGTTTTCTTACAACTCACTATTTTTGGGAATTACCCCCAAGTATCAACTGCTGTGCTATTGCCTAATAGCTACTCTACTAAAATGACGTACTACCTCATACCATGAGCAGCACAGAGTACACCAGGCGTCATTTCCCACTACATTCTCCATATCGTCCTCATTTAAGTGCCCAAGTTTGACCATATAGTTCATCCATGAAATTACCAGCAATAAAATTGCGATATACATTGAATGGATCTAGCGAGATCCGGGCCATTCTCAGGATCGTCGAGAACTTGATCCGAAAAATGCGATATGAGACTACATTGAGAACTAAGGTACACCAGTAATGCGGACCATGCATGTATAGACCAAGGGGAAAGATTGCTTGACTGAAAAATTGAGAGAAGGGGACAACGTGTATAATCTCAAATCATGCAAACAGACCGATTCAAGTCCTGTGAGAAGCCGCCAGGGGGAAGCTTGGTTGTAATCCACGCCATGATTCTCGAGGCAAAGCGAAACCTCCAATCGGAGACTTCATTGGGATGCCCTGTGATTACCATTACGGTGCTTGATTCCTCGCAGTCTAAGGAATTAAACAATGAAGGGAGTGCCTTAGGTCTCCCTACGTGGCTTTAGTACCCGAAGTGCAGTGGGCGCCCTTGCAGGGGATCCTCATACGGGAAATCAACCATTTAGAGGAAGAATCCAAGTGGCCTTATCGACGGAGTTAGTTTCCTGCCATGAGTAGTGTATGCGTGACATGCCTTAGCTCCCGAGTTGCAGAGACAAAGTCAAATCAAAGGGAGAAAAGCCCCTGTGTTGGGAAATTGAAGTCTCCAGGTACACGCTTAGACCCACTTGAAGAGCTTAAGCTTACTTTGATTAGGTTTATGGGCTATGAATGTGGTTCTGTAGTCAGAGACCAAGGTATGACATAGCTATATCTGAATTATTCATGTTTTTATCCAACATTACAGACAAATTGTGGGCGCGAGCCTCGGCTGAGCAGACGAGCGAGGGCAAGGGAATGCCAGGGCAGTCCCTAGTCGCGTGAAGTGAGAACTTGGGAGTAGATCCATACCAGGACCCTACACAGGAGCTCTCTCGTTGGTCTATAGGCCCTACAGAGTGGAGCGATCCTCCTCTCCCTTTCCTTCTCAGTTACATTCCGAGGAGCATACTGGAGATGATCTTGTTAGGAAGCAAAACAATCTGGCCCTGGAATATGGAGTCAGGGCGACTCACAGACCGCCAGTCAAATCTATAAAGATGAGGTGATTCATCGCCCTCAGTTTATTTTTTCTTCATCCGCATCAAACACTCTCTTTCAAACTTTCCTTCTCTATTCTTCCATCTTCTCTACTCTCCGAGTTTTCACTCTTTCAAGTCCAAACCCACCGTCACAATGCAGTTCTCTCTCTCCGCTATTGTCCTCGGCCTCGCTGCCACTGTCTACGCTCTTCCCCCTGGAGGCTCCGCCAACGCAGGTGGTGCTGGTAACGCCAACGGTGTCGGCAACAAGGGCAACACCGACGTTCGCTTCGCTGTCCCCGACAACATGACCGTCAAGCAGGCTCAGGCCAAGTGCGGTGACCAGGCCCAGCTCTCCTGCTGCAACAAGGCCGTCTACGCCGGTGACACCACCGACATCAACTCCGGCATGCTCGGCGGTACCCTCAGCAACCTGATCGGCTCTGGCTCTGGTGCTTCCGGCCTTGGTCTCTTCGACCAGTGCTCCAAGCTGGACCTCCAGATCCCCATCGTCAACCTTATCCCCATCAACGTCCAGGACCTCATCAACCAGAAGTGCAAGCAGAACATTGCCTGCTGCCAGAACTCACCTTCCAGCGCCGTGAGTACTCCCACTATCACAGCCGATCGAACACTACTAACGCACCAAACAGAACTCCGACCTCATCGGTCTCGGCCTCCCCTGTGTTGCCCTTGGATCCATCCTCTAAGTGCTTCGCTATGTTTTCTCGCATCATGCAAGAAGCACCGGTCATCATGCCGGCTCTTTGGACCTTGTTGCAGAGCTCGACATGACTGGCGATGTGGACTGTTATCGATTTCGGGAATGGGAAGCAGGCTTTTGGCTTTTGTTTGATTAGTTAGATACCTGTTCGTTTCACATCTCGTGTATCATTTAACTTGTGTCGTGTGGCACCCCTCGGAGAAAGAAGATGTTTTGATTTTGCTTATTACGTTGGTGTTTCGCATCTGCTTCTTGTTTGTGCATTGGAACCGCCCAGCTGTTGTCTCGGGTAGGGCTTCTCTCGCATATATTACTTTAATTCATTAGATTCGCTCGCATTCATTATCTTCACTGGTCTGCAACTGTAGAATGAGAATGACTTAGAACGCAAATCCATATTCACTCACTCCTTCATTCATTATCCCTATCCCATAGTACACTATCCCTTGCAGGAAATCCCCCCCTCCCCTTGAGCCATTCCCCCGCAAGTTATGCCCTTTGCGTAGTCCTAGTGCGAGTTTGCGAGCTTTTTCCTTTCTCCTTTTGCTTTGGCCTCTTGCTTTCGGTTCCGTTTCCTTATGACCCATAGACCTAAACTTATGCCAGTCATCGTCTACCAGCATCTAAACAAATATAAACGTCGAATTTTGACTTCATTCAAACTCCCATGCCAACTATGTACACATAAACCGAGACATACTCCAATTGACAAACTTCTACCCCAGTCTCCCAAACCCAACACCACCCCATACACTATTCCTCCTCTTCTTATCATGCAAACCGCCCTCCACCCACTTCTCATCCTTCTTATCCACCAAACTCTCCTCCTCCGTAACCCCAGCAGAATCCAACCATTTCGGCGACTGTAGACTGCGCGACGTCTTAACCGAGATCGACGAGCGCGGAATATTCAACCCACAATGTTTCCTCAACAAAGCCGTCATAGACCTCTTATCCTTCTTCTCAGCCACACATTTCTCAGCAGACGAAAAGCCCTTCTGGGCCGTTGTCGTAGACGAAGCACCCTTTCCCGGATAACCACCAGCATCATCTGAGGCTTTGCTCGTGTTTTTATCCCTTCCCATCTCCAAAGGCTCCATCAGCACCCTCCTCGGCGAATCAACAGGCGACCGACAATCCAATTTCAAAACCGGATACGCGGGTCTGGCCAGCGCCCTGGTCGCGCGATCTATCGGCGGGTTGGACGTAGTATTCCCGTCGAACAAAGTTCGCATATTCCCATTATCTGTCCTGATCTGCATACGGTTCGCTGGTGCTTCGCATGGTAGGACTGGCTCGTGGAACGAGTGGTGGACCATGGTTGAGGTGGAATCCATGCTTGCGCGGTTCAGAGAGGCTGTTTCAGAGGTTGTTTTGATTAGGTCGTTTGAGTCTTCGTCGTGGAGTTTGGTGCTTGTTGTTGAGTGTCTTTTGGAGAGACGGTTCTTTCGCATGCAGCGTGACAGGGTGGATATGAAGCCCATTTTGAATTTTGGGGAGTTGGTTTAGGAGTTGGGATTTTGTAAGAATTTGCGTGTGCAGTGGTAGGTAATGGTATAGGGTTGGGATGTAAAGTTGGGTGTTTTGGTGTTGATGTTAAGGGAGATTGGAATAGCTGGTAGAATGATGGGATTGGGATATATGAATCGAATAACTAATTCCGGGAGAAGGGAGAGATAGATACTAAATTCAACTGCATTCAATTCTGGGCTGGAGACACGTTGGACGAGGTATGTTGCTATCTAGATCTTCATGGGGTAATGCTGGTTTGTATCGGCTGCTGTGCAACGGAATTGGAATTGATCTATTTGGTCGAGCAGTTGGATTACGTATACTAACCTTATACTAACCTTGGAACCTCGAACACACCCTTCTAACCCTCACCATCTAGGCAGTGAAAATCACAGTACATAAAAACATACCAGGCATCACTGTATAAGTGTGTGGTAAGGGTTGCCCGGGGAGAGACCAATCATGGTGGATGATATCATGCACAAAGGCCGCGACGCAGGAAGCACAATTAAGAAATCGAAGCTAAAACTGAGACAAAGCCAATCGTCTCGACCGGAAATGTTAGCCTGACTCAAGAATTCCCCAGAGGATCGACTGCATGCAAGGATGTATCCACTCTCTTTTCGACCTCGCATGAAAAGACTCGGGCTTTGAAGAGAAAACCTCATTCTTTCATTTCGATTCCGGCTAATGGACTTAGAGAAGGACTCCCCTATTGCATTAGAATCATTATATCATTATTGTTGGAGGTTGGGGTTGAAGGAATGCCCGAGTATCCGAGAATCTACGTGCAGATCCTTGATACAATATCACGGACCCTCGCTCGGGAATGCTTATTATTGACCGTTGACCAACCCCTTTGGAGATTGGGTGACTCTTATTTTGGCGCCGGAAATGACGTGGATCATGAAGTGAAGATAGGAAAAGGCCCGGAAATATTATTCAAAATGCAAATATACAAATCCAGGTCATCAAAAATGCCAACTAGCTGATTCTATTGGATCTTTCCAAAAAAAAAAAATAGGAAGCTAAATACGCATCTGTAACATAAACCCCTTCAAAGCTTGCTGGAGGGAGCGTCGGTAAACAAAGATCTGGTCCGGGTCATCGCCTCAAGGGCCTCCTTCTCGATGCGGGTGAGCAGGACCTCGCAAGTCGGGATGTCGTGAATCAAGCCGATAACCTGACCGGCAGTCCACACCTGTATGACGAAGTCAGCAAACACACACGAGACATGCATAATTTTGAGAGTAACTTACGCCGAAATCAACGTCGCCATTAAGAAAGACCTGACGACCCCGCTGGCCGCTAACATAGGGTTGAACCTCGCTGAATTCGCCAGTCGTACTCTCCTGCTCAACCTTCAATGCACCCTTAGCCACCTTATTAGCGAACAGGCGGGAGGTATTCTTCCACCGACGCAGCACAAGCGCAGTATCAGTCTCCTGTGCCGCGACGATAGCCTCCTTAACCTTCTGGTGGATCGGGGCTTCCACAGTGCTCATAAAGCGAGTACCCATGTTGATACCCTCAGCCCCGAGCGCCAGGGCAGCAGCAAGGCCCTGGCCATCGGCGAATCCACCCGAGGCAATGAACGGAATGCTGAGTTCCTGGCGCGCACGGCTCAAAAGGATGAAGTTGGTGATATCGTGCTCACCGACGTGGCCGGCACACTCGAAGCCGTCGATGGAAAGGAAGTCCACGCCGAGCTTGACGGCGGACTTCGCGTGGCGGATTGTCGTGCACTTGTGCAGGATGATGATACCGGCCTTCTTCAGCTGGGTGATGACGGGGCCTGGGTTGTTACCGGCGGTCTCGACGATCTTGATTCCTTCGTCGATGATGACTTGGGCGTAGGCAGCGTAGTCGGGGGGAACGATGGCGGGGAGGAGGGTCAGGTTCACTCCGAAGGGGTATTTGGTCATGGTGCGACATCTGCGGATTTCTTTGCGGAGGTCCTCGGGGGTTGGTTGGGTGAGGGCTGTGAGCTGGATTGTAGTGTTAGATACCGTATGCAATTAGGGCTTTCGTTAAAGAGTATACGACGTACAAGTCCAAGTCCGCCGGCGTTGCTAACAGCCGAGGCCAGCTCAGCGTATCCAACCCATTGCATACCACCCTGCACGACGGGCACTATATATATGATTAGCGGCTGGAAATATTTGCGGAATAGCGAATTCGTAGCGCACCTCGAATACCGAGCTTTCGCGTCAAGGCTGTGTTGAAAGGCATCTTGTTAAGTCGGGGTATCTAATCTGATGATTGCGGAGTCAGTAACTTCCAAGGAAACAACATGGAACCTGAACAGGGACTAGATATACTAACATGAGTATGAGTGCTTCTTTAATCGCTTCTGAAAGTATAGAGTCAAGCAGACAGTCAAGTCTTTGAACACGAAAGACCAGATAATAAACCGATGTCCCAGCCGCGGACCTCTCTACTGTGGGGAAGGTCCGAGGTGCCGAGGTTGCACCTGGGCGGCAGGCACAATTTCTCGATTACTGAGCAGAGGGGACAAGCCCGGGGCCCTATGTCACGGGGAGCCCTGACCCCGGGCCTTTATTCTGCTTGTGAATAATAATGAAGATATTGACCATGGACCAAATAATACCAAGCCTAAATCTGAGAGGGGAGTCTGATGTGGTTGGCCCCTTGACATGTGACAGGAACCAAACGATTTTATACGGCTCCATCTCCAATCTGGGAATTTTACAGTTGACAGCATTGTACGGGCAGAGGCAAGTAAGACATGAAGGCATTGCTTTGAATTATCATTAAGTATTGTAGATAACTGCATAATTTGAGTGAACATCACCACTGTGCAAAAGACATAAATGTCTCAGCTGCATGCTGCTTCATGGCTAATGCAGGCTTTTCGACACTTGAAGTGACCTTCGAACCGCTGTACCATGTACAAAAAAAAACCTGGCAAATCTACAAACATCAAGTGATGTGATACATGTAGTATGTATCCCTGAATATGAAACCCCCTCCCCTCATTGGTAGAGTGGAACGGGCGATTAACGACGGGACTCTCCTTCTGAGAGCCTCTAGATCCCTCGGCGTCCACGACAGAAAGCCGCAGTCAGTGAGGGAAAGCTAAACACGACGACATCATCCCAGCCAAAACCAGTAGACGACGTGAGCGGAGACTCTTGAGGAAGAGAAAGAAAGGAAAGTTGCGGACCGAAGAAAGTGGGAAAACAGGCGAGGTGATCACATGACTGCAGTAGCGTGTGGGAAGAACAATACTCCGGCTGGTAATAGACCTGATCTGATTGGCAGATGCTGACTACCGGGTGCCAGTCCCGTGACTAAGGTCTCCCGTACCCGAGGTCGTCCGTTGATTCCGATCGTTCGCGAGCCACTTGGGATTTCTGATCGTGATCAAACAGAACAATCTCAACTCCGCAATCACAATGTTCTCTCAGAAGGTTGCCCAGCAGTCGCTGCGACGGCGTATGTTTACCCCCCAATGCCTACCTTGCCGAAATTACGATCTAACTTTCCCCGGACAGTTGCCGTCCAGCAGCCGTTCGCTATGCGGTCGTCCATGATGGGCGCTTCCCCTGTCGCCGTTGCCCTCGGCAAGAACATTCAGACGAGGTCAGTTACCCAGCGCTAAAACGACAAGTTTCAATTGTCTCGCCCACCCTCGAATCAACCGCCTCACGAAATCCTACGTCATCCGCAATCGCCAGAAGTCCATACTAACCAGAGAATCGTGGTCTATAGACAACAAGTCACCTCGGCCCCGAAAACCGAAGACCCCAGCCAGATCCTCATTAAGCAGCGTCTTCAACGCCCTATCGCCCCTCACCTTACCATCTACAGGCCCCAGATCGGCTGGATCGGCAGTTCCCTGCACCGAATCACTGGTGTCGCTCTCTCCGGCTCCCTGTACATTTGGGCTACTGCCTACCTCGTCTCCCCCACTCTCGGCCTGCACCTCGAATCGGCCTCCATGGTCGCCGCCATGGGTGCCCTCCCTCTCGTGGCCAAGGTCCTCCTCAAGACCACCCTTGCCCTTCCTTTCACCTACCACTGCATGAACGGTCTCCGCCACTTGATGTGGGATCTTGGCCGTGGCCTCAGCAACCCTGTGATTATCAAGACTGGCTGGGCTGTGGTTGGCCTCAGCGTTGCCAGTGCTCTTGGTCTTGCTTTGATTTAAATGTTTCCGTACCTCATACCTCCGAATTTCCTTATGTGTTATTAAAGTGATTTTTCTCAAATATACACGAATCTGGTCAATTGGCGCAAGCTCAAAAGGCGCTGATTCTTTTTCTTCTGTTCAGCTTTTATTTTTATTTTCATCGGAAATCACGTTCGGATTGGGCTAGATTACTTGCATGATTTAAATCTACAAGTATGTTAATTTTGAATTTTGAAACTGTGCATGCTCACCCTAGGTTTATCTAGACTTTCTTGGTCTACCCCTAGATGTTTACTGACTTCTATATATTAATGTGCAAATGTAGTCGGTCAAACTTGGTATAGTTCCATTAAGCTATCTTGCCCGACGATGGATATGCGAATGAGAAAAGCAGCTCAAGTATATGAACCCATGACTCGAAATCCATATGCGCTTTCACAGCTCACTCTCACAAATTGTACTTTCATTTTGTGTCCTCGGGGCCCAATGTTCCTCATGATTTTACCATTTTTCCACCTGCAATTGATATTCTGTTGACAACGATACACATCGCATTATGATATCCTAGTCGTCCATCAATGCATATCCCGTCGTAAAGACCGTAGTCGAAATGCCTTGGAGTATGATCTGTCACGTAAGTCAGTACTTGCTAGTATCATTTCGTGACTTGGCTAATATATATCTAGTGGATCTAGATAATTAACATAACTGTATAAAACAACACTCACCTATTGTCCCGTGTCGCCTCAACGCCAAACAAAGAAAAAAAGCCAATCAACTGCCATTTAGGCAGGACTAGGAGGTGGGTTGGGTGGG